AGTCAGTCAGTCAGTCAGTCAGTCAGTCAGTCAGTCAGTCAGTCAGTCAGTCAGTCAGTCAGTCAGTCAGTCAGTCAGTCAGTCAGTCAGTCAGTCAGTCACAAAGGACGCCCTTCTTTCTCCAATCTCCCGTGGCACAAACAACAACGACGCAGCCTTTTTTTGTTCGATCCCTGCCGGTCGACATTCGCCCTCCGCACTGCGGGTGATCCGCCTCTGCGCCCGTGGCGATCCTGTCATTCCTTTCAACAAACAAAGATTTACACATGCAGAAAAACACACATATGCACACACACCGCGCTCACTCGCCTATTATGGATGCTGGTCATCCTACGATACAGGCGCGAGGAGGTGGTGGGCATGAGATGACACCTGAGCAAATCGCTGCCGCCATCCAAGCCAGTAACGAAAATGAGATGTTGTCCAACTATCTCTACATCATCTGCGGTGCCGTCTCGGCCGCAGTCATCCTCTGGAAGATATTCGACGTCACGTCGAAATGGGTTCGCACCGTGGTCTGTGTCAACGATGACCACCAACGGTACTTTGCCCAGCCTCGCCCCAAGGCCGCCTTCATCAAGGAGAACATCCTCTACGCACCGGTCAGTAAAATGTGCTGCCACCTAGACCGCGGACGCTGACAGCCCTCCCAGATCTTCCGCAAGCGACACAACCGAGAAATCCAACTCAGCAGCGCCATCAACGTGGGCACGCTCCCCAGCAGATTCCAGCTCCTCTTCCTCGTGGCCTACTTTGCCACCAACGTCGTCTTCTGCTGCATCGACCTCAACTTCTCCTTGACCTACGAAGAAGTAGCTGGTCTGCTGAGAAACCGTACCGGTGTGCTGTCGGTCGTGAACATGATCCCGTTGTTTCTCCTGGCTGGCAGAAACAACCCGCTCATCGCGCTTCTCGGCATCTCCTTCGACACCTGTGAGTGGCCATGATGCTTTTGAGGTACCAAAGCATGCTGACAATCTCCAGATAACCTGATTCACCGATGGATGGGGCGAATCGTGATCTTGGAGGCTGTCGCCCACACGCTCGCCCATCTCGCCAAGGGTGGATGGGGCGATGCTGTACCCTACATCTTCACAAGCCCCTTCCTCCTCTGGGGCTTCATCGCCACCATTGCCTTTGTCTTCCTCGGCATCCAAGCATGGAGCCCGATCCGCCACGCCTTCTACGAAGTCTTCAAGATCCTCCACATCGCCGTCGCCGCCCTCTCCCTCGTCGGACTCTGGTACCACATCAAGCTCGGCGAGCTGGATCAGATGCGCTACCTCTACGTCGTCATGGGCCTCTGGGTGGCCGACCGCGGCGCCCGCCTGCTCCGCCTCGTGTACAACAACATCGGCCTGCGCCAACGAACGAGAACGGTCCTCGAGGCCCTGCCCGGCGATACCGTCCGAGTCACGATGACGCTGGCCCGCCCATGGCGCGCACGCCCTGGACAGCACGCCTACCTGTACTTCCCCGCCATGAGCCTGTGGCAGTCCCACCCGTTCTCCGTTTCTTGGGTGGACGACACCGACGACGTGACCTCCGACAGGCTCGCCAGCACCCACCAGGATCGGGCGGCGATGCGGAAGATGCAGGTGGCTTTCGTCATCCGGGCGCGCACAGGATTCACCAACACGCTGTACCAAAAGGTCGCCAAGGCGCCCGGCGGCCGGATGGATGCCATGTGCTTCGTGGAGGGCCCCTACGGCGTGAGCCAGCCGCTCGACTCGTATGGCACCGTCGTGCTGTTCGCAGGTGGTGTCGGCATCACGCACCAGGTTCCCTACATCAAGGAGCTGATCCAGGGCTACGGGCAGGGCAAGGTCGCCACGCGCAAGATCCTACTCGTGTGGACGATCCCCAGCCCGGAGCACCTGGAGTGGATCCGCCCCTGGATGACCTCGATCCTGGCCATGGACAAGCGCCGGGACATTCTGCGCGTGTCCATCTTTGTGACCAACCCCCGGTCGACCAAGGAGATTCATAGCCCGTCGTCGACCGTGCAGATGTTCCCGGGCCGCCCCAACATCGAGACCCTCCTGTCGCGCGAGCAGGAGCAGCAGGTGGGCTCGTGCTGCGTCACGGTCTGCGGGCCCGGCGCTCTCGCGGACGAGGTCAGGCGGGTGGTGAGGAGCAAGCAAAGCCGCAGCAGCATGGATTTCATCGAGGAGGCCTTCTCCTGGTAGGAGTCAGAGATGGATAGCTTTTTTTGTCGTTAGATGTACATATTCACACGTCGCCAAACGCATCAGAACCTTGGATGGAGCGGACAGGCAGTCATTACAGACAGGATTACATACACATATATGCATGCATGCATTCAAGCATTGGCTTTGCACCTACTTGCCTGTGATTTCGCCCACATTGATGATCTGCAATAATTACTGCGGCTTCCAGATCGCTTCTGCGAGTCGAGCTCGGCTGCAGGGTCTAACTGCATGGTCATCCTTGAAGGATCATTTACCTCAATCGACAACGTGCGCATCAGCCACCCCTGGCAGATGCAACTCGCAATCATCAGTAATACCAGCCAATCTGCGACGCCTGTCGATCGTAAGCAACAGCGGCAGTTAGCTCGAGATAATGGTTGTTGCGGTGCCTTTGACAGAACACGCCCTGAAGCCCTAGACGATGATGGACACACCATTCGGTCGTGTACGCCAGTACGTAGCCTCCATTAGATCTGGCAGAGAGTGGAAGCGGTCCTGTCCAGTCGCTGCTCAGTACAGTCGAGGAGATGAGACACAATCACACAAGCGCCAGACACGAGCTGGAATGTAAGTACGTATTCGCATCGTGGTCAGCGTCGACGCAGGTCACAGAGCGTCAAGAGCGCGTGCGGGGACTCCCCCTTTAATCGGGTATATGCACATACCGGGTTATCGCGGTGTCTCCACGGACCCTTGGTCAGCTGCGAGCGTCACGCGAGGCGACAATAGGCTCCGAGTCTATTGAGCATCTGCCCGCCGAGTACGGGCGCTCAATTCAGTGTCATTGGCGTTCGCGCGGAGGAAGTTCAGTCTTTCATCTCTCTCTTTGTCTACACCTGCCATCGATTCCATCGCTTGCTTCATCGCCCGAACATTGCACGGCACCACCCGCGACAAGCTATCGCGACCCCAACTCCGACGGTCGGCCACTTGGCGTCATCCCGGAGCATCATGGCCACACGAACAGCCATCCCCTTCCTGGTGGGAATGATGCTGCTGACAGGCGTCTGCAACACCCTCCTGACCAAATATCAAGTACGTCCTAGACCATAGCTCCGACGAGGATGCTGAGTTCGTGGCGTGTTGACTAACAATGTACAGGACAACCAATGCGTGCGCGACTGCGAGAATGAGAACCCGAACAAGCGAAAGGCCTTTGAGCAGCCCGTCCTGCAAACGGCGCAGATGTTCGTCGGCGAAATGGGATGCTGGCTCGTCGTTGGTCTCCTGGCTCTCCGGACGCGCTTCTTCTCGAACAAGTCCCCGTCGGCGCGCGGCTACGAGGCTGTCGACACGCACGATCGCGGAGACAGCGATCCCATGGCAGAGGATGTAGAGGGATCTTACAAGGGCAAATCGGTCTTGCGCGGTGCCAGGGTCACCTTGCTGGCATTGCCAGCCATCTGCGACAGTACGGAAGACCCCTAAGCGTCGCATCGACTCTTGTGTAACTGACACCTGTGCTAGTTTGCGGCACGACGTTGATGAACGCCGGTCTCTTGCTGGTCGCCGCGTCCATCTACCAGATGACACGAGGCGCCCTCGTCCTCTTCGTCGGACTCTTCAGCGTCGTATTCCTCAAGCGCCACCTCCACCTGTTCCAGTGGCTCTCGCTGGTCGGCGTCGTGCTCGGCGTAGCTGTCGTCGGCCTGTCGGGGGCCATCTGGCCGGACGAGCAAAAGATCCCGCAGGACGGGAAGTTCAGCGACGATGCCGAGGTCGGCGGACTGTCCGACACGGCGGCGGCGGTGATTGGCGTGCTCCTCATCGCCGGTGCGCAAATCTTCACGGCGACACAGTTCGTCTTGGAGGAGTGGATCCTCGAGCACTCGAACATTGAGCCGCTGCGTGTTGTGGGCTGGGAAGGCATCTTTGGGTTCAGCGTGACGATGCTTGTCATGTTCGTGCTGCACATGGCCGTTGGCCGTACGGACGCGGGACGCTATGGGTACTTTGATGCGGTGGAGGGCTGGCGGCAGATGACGACGAACCCCAAGATTGGGTATACCAGTCTCCTGATCATGGTCAGCATTGGGTAAGCGATCTGCCTTCTCGTGGGAGGACCCCTTTCGATACTGACATTTCCAGTGGTTTCAACTACTTTGGCCTCGCGGTCACTCGCACCGTGAGCGCGACCTCGCGATCGACCATTGACACATGCCGCACGCTCTTCATCTGGATCGTCTCGCTTGGCCTGGGCTGGGAGAAGTTCAAGTGGCTGCAGATTGTCGGCTTCGCTCTCCTGGTCTACTCGACTTTCCTCTACAATGGCATCGTCCAGCCGCCTCTCAAGTGCTTGCAGACGGACGAGGAGATAGAGGAGCTCTTGCCTGAAGATCCTATCGAGCGAACCCACTAGCAGCGACCATGTCTTTTTCTTTTTGAATATCTCTCGCTACTATATACGACTTCTGATTGGACATCATGGGATGGCGTTTAGGTCACCCCGTACTGGGTTCAGGATCTCATCGTGGCCGACGATTCACGCGCCATGTTTTTGCACAATAAATTATATATTTGACCATTGTGATTCGGTTCGGTGCCTGATTCAGTCATGCGTCGTCAATTTCAAATACACAAAACAAAAACAAAAACAAAAACGCCGACTCCTATCGCGCGCCCAAGCGAAGCCCATCTTGTGATCCCAACGCCGAACGGATGCCCTGCAGGGCGCCCTCAAGAAACAGTACATAGCAGCTCAGCTTCTAGAATGAACTTGCCCTCCTTGTATCTCTCCGACGGCTCAAAAGCCCTGTCGTACGTCCAGCCGACCGTCTCCTTGCACTGGCGACACGAAATGTCCCGGACAATGTGGCGGCCTGTCGTCATGGCCCGCTCCGAGGGAGTGCCGGCGTCGTAGTTGACGACGCTATGGAACAGGAAGGCTTTACCATGCTGTCCCCTAAAACTCTACATTGAAAGAAACGCTGATCAGCGAGACGAAGGATGGGCGGGTAGTAAGGGCGCGTGCGGCACTCACACGACTCATGATATCCTCTTGGTTGGCGAGGTGCGTCTTGCAGTTCTTGCAGCCGTATATCTTGTCACTGGTGAGATATGTGTTGTAGGAGAGGCCCATGATGACCGCGGGTTTCAATGCGAGACGATGCCGGTGGACTGCTTTGGGAGGAGATGGCGAGACGATTGATGAAAGACGTGGTGAAGTCACCGGGGTCTGATGATTGATGGTTGAGTGAGACTGGGGTTACTGCTGGCTGGGGGTGAATGAGGCACAGGCCAGCAAGTGTGGCGTTGCACCTCCAGTCGCCGGTTCCTCCGGCCGGATCCTGTTGTGAATAGAGGGTTACGTGCGTACTATGCTCGTGTTACTTAGTGCATGCTGTTAGAGAAAAGAATCGAGGCGTACCCCGACTTATCAAGGACGCTATTCGAGGTCAGACGCCTGGGTCATGTGAAACAGGCAGGCTCCTTCCGGGTATGTGCCAACAGGCGGGGCGAGCGCCGAGTGCGAGAACGACGCATCTATAAGGATCATGCTACGATCTCATGGTCTGGGTGTTGATTACTTCAATAATTATAATCATGGAGCACCGCACGTTTTCCCATCCAATGGAATGCGTGCTCTATTCTAAAGTGTCTAGGGTTGTCCGCGATCGATGCACTGCTAACTGATGTGCTCGTCGTTATCATTCCGCCCCGCCTTCTTGCTGTGCTTCTCCTCCTTGCCAGCGATGTTATTGTAGTGGTATATCCCCAGTTCGCGATCTTGATTCAGACGCTCGAGATCCTCTGCGCTCACGGGGACGCCCTCGACGCTCTTGACTTTCTTGCCCTCGGCAAACATGATCCATCCTCCGTAGCCGGCCACAACGCAGGCGAGGCCGACGAAGAGTCCCGTCGTCCAGCTCGGCCGATCGTACCGGTTCATCGCCCACATGAAGGCCGCGAGACAAATCTGGAAGAACGTGTTCCACACCATGAGCCAGATGACGAGGTCGAGCTTCCAGAGCTTGGTGGGCGGTGCGCGAACCCCCGTCAGCGGTGGATTGGGTGTCTTGGTCAAGGGAAACGGCACGAGATGTTCGTCGACATTTGTCGGCTCGGTCTTGGGCCCAATGCTTGGGTCAAGCGTGTCGGACCCTTGCAGTCGAAACCAGCCGGCATGGATGCCCGCGAGCCGGCGCAGGTGAACGTGGCTTCCTCGCAGTCGATATTTCATTAGGTAGTAGAGATCGCGGAAGCGCCAGGGCGCGAGACCAAAGCCTGTCACACAGAACAGGGCGTTTAGTATCTGGGAGTCCCATTCTATCCACTTCCTCCTGGGCGAGTTGATGTCGTTACAGGTGGGATAACACATGGCTGGGGCTAAATAGAACAGTCAGCAATGGCACAATGCCGAGACAGAAAGGGGAATCGCGACGTACAGGCATTGCACAGGAGCAAGAACAGCATGCCGCCCCATGCCACAATGTTGAGTCCGTAGATCGTCACGACAAAGCCCAAGGGGGTTGTAAAGTACTCCCAGAACGCAACAAGTCCTAACTTGGTAGACTGCCAGGCGCTGTGAGGCGGAGGAAAGTGGTAGCCATTGCGGTACGGAGCCGTGGCAGCTGGCTCTTGTGAGAATTTGGTGACGTTAGTGAGGTTGCGCTCTGTATCGGCCCGCGATGGCGTGTCCTTGCACGATTCCTCCTGTATCGTGGAGGAGCCGCTGACTTTGGCTTCCCTGGCAGCAGGCGTGGCTAAGGCCTTGGCTGGTCGACTCGCAAAGATGGTTGACGCAATGTGGCCAGTGGCGGCAGAGAAGCCCTCAGGGAGGCCAGACTGCTCGAAAGAATTGGAGAGGCCTCGCAATCGGCCGGTCACAGGCGAGGATGTTGAGGTTCGCCCTGTTGGCGAGGCATCCGCTGTCGATGGCGCATCGCCATGTCGCCCGTGGCTGGGCGAGGCCGCCCTTGCTTGGTCTGTGGTTGATGATGTGCCGTCGCCCGCGCCCACGACCGCCTGCTGGTTGGTTGTCGCTGCCATTGAGAGACGAGAGATAGTAATGACCCGGCCAAATCTACTATTCGGTAAAGAGTGGACTGGATGAATGCCTATGATAATAGAACGATTGGTTTTTGGTGACGATGAGAAACAAAAGCAGGGCAAATGGTCATGAGGCGGCGTACCCTCCACAGAAGGGGGAAGGCGCTTTCATCATAGAGTCTCACTGAACGGAAGCAGCAGCCGCAGCGTGCGTGCTCAATGCCTGTACGAAGGGTTGATCCAGTTTTTAAGCTACGGGCCATCGACTGGAGCCAACGGCCGGGGGCAATCTCAGCCTTTCAGGCTCCAGCTCAGCGCCCTATTTTGCACCGCCCGGCGCCCCCAGGGGGCGGACTCGCCAGACTCCAGTCGGGCTGGAATCGAGGATTGGATCTAGAGGGCGGAAGGGGGCTCAGCCAGCAAACGTAACAACGCACACACGTACACGCGCAGCTCACGGAAACGCCAGTCGTCATCGCCATGATTGACTGACGACTTGCGCGTCGACGCATCGCCCCCGACTTTCATTTCGGCAGTCTCGCGTTTCTCGCACTTCTCGTATTGGTCCCTGTGAATCTTCACACTAAGCCCTATCGGGCCACGAAGGCTGCGCGGCTGCCCCACTCGCCAGAAAACTTGAACTGGAAATTATCACGGTCCTCAGAACGCGAGTCGCTGCAAACCAGCACCTAGACTAGGCCCTCGGCATCGCCGCCCTCCAACGCGATGACTACATTCAGCGAGCCGCCCCAGGCTGTCGTCAATCTCACATCGACCGTCCTCTCCAATCTCGAGGACCAGCATGACTGGAGCCATCTCGAGATCAGCAACGCGCGCAGCGGACGGCCACTGATCAGCGGCCTCCCCCCACGACGCCTGTACACGCACCCGGACGATCAGATTGCGGCTCTGGAGCACGAACACAAGACGGGCGAGCGCATCTTCCAGGATCCGGAGACGGAATGGGTACTGGCCGTGCATCTGGCCGAGAAATGGACGCTGGCCGACTTTGCGTCTGTCTTTGATTCCATCGAGCATACCGGGCCGCGAGCCAAGAGGATCATTCTCGCGACGGTGCACAATGACTCTACGATTGTGTACTATCTAATGCACGAGGGCATGGTCAAGCCCCGACAGAACTAAAGAGCGTCCTGCGCTGGCATGGTGCTTTGCTTTGCTTCCTCTACACGGTGAAGACTACCTTTTGCACCTGTCTCTTGTCAAAGAGGTCATACGCCTCCACGGCGTCGGAAAGGGGCATGATCTTGTCGAACATGAAGCTAGAGGTCGTGTCAGCAGCACATTTCTCGTTCTCGAGGCAGGGCAGACAAACTTCAACTTCTCGTGGTATCTCTCGAGGATGTCCAGCGATTCCGCAAAGACCTTGCGCACCGGGCATCGTCCCATCTGGAAACGGAGATTTTTGCTTGGCTGGTGTCAGTTGTGCTGCTATTACTAAGAAGGGATTATCACTTACTCGTATCCTTCCGTCGCGGACCAAGGAATCTGTGCTGCGCGTCAGTACATACGATAACTTTTCCGGGGGACCTCCAGCATACCTCAGCGTTGTGGACGCCAATGCTGCTGATGACACCAAATGGGCGCACCAAGTCAAAAGCAGTCCGGAGAGCGGGCGAGAGACCGACGACCTCGACGACCATGTCGGCACCGCGGCCTTCTGTGACCTCCATGACGCGCGCCTTCATGCCGGCCGGGTCCGTCTGGAAGTTCAGGGGTTCGGCGCCGAGCTTCCTGGCAATGTCGAGGCGACTCTCGACGCTGTCGACGACAAACAGGTGTTTCGGCTTGAAGTGGAGGGCGGAAAGGGCCGCGCAGCAGCCGACAGGGCCGGCGCCGATGATGACCATGGTGGACTGGCTTACGTCGGTCCCCTGCGCCATGGCCAGGGCGCTCTTGACACCATAGAAGCCGGTGGGGAGGATGTCAGCCATGAGGATGAGGGCCTTTTCAGGGACGCTGCTGGGCGCCTTCATGACCGTCCCGTCCGCGTGGGGGATCCGCACGTATTCAGCCTGGCCTCCATCGAGGTTTGGGGAGCCGAAACATGTACTCTCCACACATCGTGCCGTGTCACCCTGGAGGCAGTACCAACACTGGCCGCTGTGTGTATCCCTGTGAGCGACTGTTCTGAGCAATGTGGTGAGGGCGGCCAACAAACGTACCATGACACGGTGAATGGGCAGACAATCTTGTCACCGACGGCGACGGTTTGGACGCCGGCGCCTGCCTCGATCACATGGCCTACGAACTCGTGGCCCATGATGGGGCCTGGGGCGGTGGGCTCAAGGCCTCGATAGATGTGCAATTCGCTTTACCACGTACCCCGGTCAGCATTGGGGGTGGTCGAATCAAGTCGTGGCATGGCGACTTACGAACCGCATAGTGCCGTTGCTTGCACCTTGATGACAATGTCCCGCTCATGGGCCACTTTTCGATCCGGTCAGCCACTGTTCAGAACCCCAGTGTCTTATACAAGACATAATAGATGGATGCGGCGTTTCCTACCCTTGGGGATTGGGCGGTCCTGAACCGAGACCTTGTACGGCCCGTCGAAGACGACGGCCTTCATTGTCCCGGACGCGTTCGACATGGCTGGTGTGGACGGCTTGCGAATGAGCGTGCGTCGTTCGTCTTAGCGTACGTATTACCGGCAACACCAATAAACGTGTAGGGGTCTATCGGCAATGACTTGTACCTGAGAATGGCAACACACGAGAATCAAGATTGCGGCAAATTGGTGCTAGTCTAGGGCAGACAGACAGACAGACGCTGCCGTTCTCCGAACACGACGACCAACTGGAAAAGCGGGGGTTGAGAGATATCAGGGCAGCCAGCCAGTTGTGTACATGTGCGTAAAATGCTACGGATCCTTTTTCCCTTACGTATCGTGCGTACGGAGTACCTACCTACTGCATGCCTTCTCCGCTCGCGCCTAGTGATCTCACTGGTGACTGATCTGGGTCCTGGGATGAGGCTCTCTGCCATCAGCCTCAGCCGTGAGTTTAATCAGACAACGTGCACCGAAACTCTTGGCATCAGCATGGTCTGTGTGTGCTGGCGCAGGAGGGTTGCGACTCTCGTTTCTGGATGGGAGCCCCCTCTGATTACTTTATGTAACTATTAGCCTAGCCCAGCCCTCCAACAAAAGTCCATCATGTAACAGGTGGGCTGTGCAATCGGCAATGACGGCGGGAACATGTCCATCATCATCATCGACTCATCGAGCAATGTTACGTCCTCGGATCATAGTGTCGGGTCGTCCTCCAAGGACCAAAAGGTCTGGGCGGGAGGCCTGCGACAATTCAAGCTTTTCCCTCCCCCGGCCAGGGCCCAGGCCAGGCGACCTCACTGGCGGCTCCAGACCAGACTCCAGTCGCCAGCAGACCAGTCGGTGGCCTCGGGTTCCCGTCAGGCCTCCCACGGGCCACGAGCGAATGACGGACGGACCCTCCAATCACACCCCGCGACTGGAGAGCGTCTTGTTGCAGGGGTGCGGGCGAGCGTCTTGTCGAGACTTGCAACGAGTGTCCAGAGTTGATTCACAATTTCACACTGCCGAATGAGATACGCCCTTGCTGCGTCGTGAAGCTTGAGATTCGCAGAGCTGCTAATTTACGGATTCCGGCACGCTGGGCCATGAGGGACTGGACCTCGGAGAGTCGGAACAGTGTCTGGCGGGCGGGCGGCTGGGACGGACGCGGCTGAAAAGCGACATGCATGGATGGAGGCAGAGCGAAGCTTCTGCTAAAAACCGCCCCCGCTGATGCGGCTGGTGACTGGAGCTTGGCTTTCCTGATGAATGGGTGAATGTGGGGGGGTCAGCATGGAGGGACTGGAGTCGCAGACAGGAACCTCGTGGTTCTTGTCATGGTGGTGCGAGGGTGTTGGTTGCTGTTGATCTGCCGCTATTGTCTGCCTCTGGAAGCCAGGTACCGGTGAGCGCTCGCTCCCTCATCTCTAGGTTCCCAAAGCATTGCGCATGCCTCGCCACTCGTCTGGGGATGGATGGATGGATGAGTCCAGGATGGCGGTGGTTGATGCTGATGACTGCAAAGCCCCATCCAGCGGGCGGAAGGAAACGCTTGGCTCCAGTGACATGAGCCCAGTCCTGGTTCGACGGACCCCTCGGCTTGGCCCTGACAGACGGACGAGGTTCTCTGCAGCAATGGGGAATGGGATGGAGAATCCGCCGGCATTTCACGTTGGACTGCTGCTTTCGGCCCAGGCTAATAAGGTGCTGACTAGCCGCACCTCGTGGGGATGGGAGGCCCCCGAGAACATTATTGCTCACTGGGTGCCTGATTAGGACAAGAACCAGTGCGAGCGAACGAGCGAAATAACCAGCCGCGGTAGCCAGTTGAGTCCGGGGTGCCTTTAGTCGTTCATTGTCTGACTGTTTGATTGTTGCTGTAGTTTTCTTTACTAAAGGACTTAAAATGTTTAAGTTGCGCGTACGAGTGGGGGAGTGGACAGGGCGTTGTCGACATGGACCTCACCTCACGTTGCTCTGGCGCTACTACGTAGCAGCAGCACATGCCACAGAGCAAGACTGGACTCCAGGTTCCATGTCCATGTCCATGTCAGGAGGGACCAAGAGGCCAAGAGCACTAGTCTAGAGGCTCCACAGGCGCCTTAGCCTCAGACCTTATCGACTGGCGGCCCCAGGTATACCTGACGGCCCTGACCTACTTGGTACAGCCTACAGGTACTACTAGACAGACACTCCAGTCCCTCCAGCCCTCAACATCGTCAAGAGCCTCCATCCCGCTCCATACGTGCCCTTCACCACTCAGATCTCTGGTTGCGTGATATTTTCTTCCTGTCCCTCCACTCTAGCGGAGAATTTGGTGCCGCATCCGCTCGCACACACGCTGCGCTGCGTCTCCCACGTCGATCACTATTCAGGGTCTACTTGAATCTTCCCCATCGACTTACACCAGAGTGGGCTCAGGCGTTCTGTTTCTGTTCAATCACTCAAGCACCTGCGACGGTATCGAAACCACGGTGCCTGGCCATTGCAAGTAGACTTCCTGCATTTCAGAGCGAGCATTGTTGTCACGGGTCATTGACGGGTTGTGCTACCTTGGTTGGTCTAACTGAACTGAAGAGATCCTCAGCCGCTGCTGTCGAGACTCGAGGACGTTACGAGTCTTACGACCAGACAACCTCAACCATCGGCGACGCTCCTCATTTGAGCTGAGCCTCACTTATCCCCCTGGCTCGCACCGCTGCATTCGCAGCTGCGACTCTCACCCTTCTGAGCGCTTGTGACCCGATCCCTCATTCGTGGCGTGGTCTTGTGTCAGCACGCTGCCTTGAAGATGCGCCTATGAACGGTCTTTGACGAAGCCAAGGATGCCTACAGTATACGAGCAGGCTGCCAGACAGGACTCCTACGCCGACGCGACACTACTATCGAGTGATTCTCCCAGCACACCCCCAATGCAACCGGTCGCCTTGAACCTGAAGCCAAGTCAATCACCCCCTCCTCAGGTCTCGAGTGTCCCCATTGTCATCCCGCCCGACACCGACGACGCCCAGGAGCACTCTCTGAAACCAGAGAGCCAGACACTCACAGGCGACAAGACACTACTTTACTTGATGGGAACCGGCCGGGACCTCTACTCCTCCGGCCTGGACTCGACCAGGTCACTGCCGGGATATGATCGGTCCAATTGTGGGAGTGATCGCAGTGATCTCCAGATCACACCGCGCTCAGAAGTAAGCTCGAATGGACACGAGGACAACAAGAGCCTGGGCCGGCGGGAGTCAAGATCTGATGACGGTGCGCCTGGTGGCCCCTTGGGCGGCCCTCGCCTCCAGGTCCTCGCGTCTGGAGCCTTGGAAGCCGTCAACAAACGAAAAGATCCCTATCACGAACAGCCGGCTACGGCCCGTGCTTCTTCACTGGACATATCCATGTCCACTCGCCAACTCTCGATCCAGGACCCCCATTCTCCTTCAGCGCCTCGACCCATACCGCGTATAGCCACGCACGAGGACTCTCCGAATGGCTTGCTCAGTCCGCCCAACGGTGGACTCCCTTCCATCGCCTCCTTTGGACTCGACCCCACCGGGCAGTCGCTACCCTCTCTTCGGTCGACGCTCGGCCCCTTGCCGTCGTTCTTTCACCCCGATCTGTCGCCCCGAAGCGCCGCGAGCCCCGTCTATCCTCACTCGCCGCCCTACGGATACTTGAGCCCGAATCAGCTTCCACCCATGTCCAGCCGGAATGGCTCGCCCCCCATCTCCCCGCCAGACAGCTACAAGAGGGGTCTGCCATCTCCTTCGTCCCTACAGCCATCGAGTCCGTACCGTACCCTCAGCCAGGGGTCCTCCCACCGTCCGAGCGTTGATTACACCAACGGCGCCGCTGTGGGTGACATACCAAGTCCAGACTCCAGGATCCCAGCCGAAGCTCCTGCCCCAAGCGTAGATCGCATGAGCATCGAGGGTATCACCAACCAAGGCCAATTTCGATGCTCCGTCCCCGGATGCACAGCGCAGCCCTTCCAGACGCAGTACCTGCTCAACTCACACGCCAACGTGCACTCATCCGCGAGGCCTCACTACTGCCCTGTGCCAGGGTGTCCGCGCGGTGAGGCCGGGATGGGGTTCAAGCGGAAGAACGAGATGATCAGGCATGGTCTCGTCCACGACTCCCCCGGCTACGTGTGTCCGTTCTGTCCCGACAAAGACCGCAAATACCCGCGGCCGGACAATCTTCAAAGGTAGGCTTCCCGTGGTCGACATGAGCCAGGGCCAAACGAACACCAGCTAACGTTGCTTGGCAGACATGTGCGATCCCGTCACGTCGACAAGGACAAGAATGACCCCCAGCTGCGCGATGTGCTTGAGCAGCGCTTGGAAGGTCCCCATCGCGGTCGCAGGCGGCGCGTTGGGTCCTGACAGTCCAACTCACTATACGTACATACGTGACTGTCCAGCTTATGGACATGTGGCCCAAAGCAGCAACACAAGCCGCTAGCTCGCCCCTTTCGTTTCGAGCGTGTTTTTATTCTTTTCATAGAGCGACGTCTTATATATACAGTGTGCATAGCAAAAGGATCGTATGGGACAAATGGATGCGCTGTTGATTCAGCAACGGCACAAAACAAAATGGCGGACGTTTCAAAGCCAGCAGCTCGTTTTATTGCGCTGGGAAAATATACCACTTGCAGTCAAACAAGCAACTCAGTGACTGACACATGCAACATCAGTCAAGGTCTCATTAGCAGTCCTCCCATGCGCCGACTTGCACAGGTGAGTCGCTGAACAGCTCGGCCTTGAGAAGATGCCCATCTTTGTGCATCCCAATTCCTTCAATGACCAGCCACATGCCCTCAGCATGCGCCCGCCTGGGTTCAATGTCGAACTCAGGGGTCCTGATGGCAACCCGCGGGTCCAGGAACTCCCCGTCGCCCGATACGGCGAGGACGACTTGGTTAGGGCCTGTCCCGTGCACGACAGACAGACGGATTAACAGGCTCCCACCGTGTCCGTGACTCGCGCCACCCTGTGATGCCGCCGCCGTAGTCTTGGTCAACCAGTCGGCGTAGATGGGCAGACGTCGTTGCTGGACGCTCTCGGACAAGGTCAAGGGCGCGAGAGGCGTGTGCAGACGTCCCGCTGCGTCGGCGGGGATGGGTGCCACTGTGACGGGTACGTCTGAAGATACACGCAGCCCAAAGCCGGCTTGCTGTCCGGCCTCAAATGTCGAGCATACGATTGTATAGTCTCCTGCGTCTACCATGGGAGCCTCTGCCACGACGTGGCCCCGTCGATATTCCCCGGACGACACGACGACGTCGCGCACTCGGACGGAGCTGACTCGCTTCCCGTGGCCCCATACTAGATCGGCGTGGATGGGAATGTCCCTGTTGTCAGTGGACAGCAGTATGGATATTGGTGTCGGCCTGGGGACCGACAGGCGGTACTGGGGATTCGAGAAATACGTCGTGCACGCTGCGTTGCCTCCTGCGGAGCGCCTGGTCCATGCGCCAATCTCCTCTCTTCGATGTGACATGGCGTCGACGGCCGGGTGCATGTCCACTGGGTTCTGCGAAAACACCGACAGAGTAAAGGTGTACTTGGGCAGGGGAAAGTCGTCCTGGGCGAGGACGACAGTGTACACTTTACCGGCCGTGATGTCCAGGCGCGCAAGGGTCTGCGGGGAGTCGACGTACGGTCCCTCATAGGTCTGCTCCCCCGTGATCTGGACACGCTTGCCGCCAGAGTCGAACACGAGGATGCTCATGAACCCCAGCTGGCGGGCAGCGGCGGCCATGGTGTCGCCGTGGCTCGTGCGGCCTTTGAGGATCCGGTGCTCGGCATCCTGGAAATGACGGCTGGCCAGTATCCAGACGAGACCACCCTTGGCGGAGGAGATGGCGTATTGCGGATTCTCGGCCAGGGCCGTCTTCAGGTGAGCCTGTGGCATCTCCCATTTGAAGTGGCATTCTTGACGATGGGGAAAGAGTTTGGGGTTCCAGTTGAGGTACATGGACTCAAAGTTCTGCGCCACATCCTCCAGGGAGACCCAGACGGCGTTCGTGTTCTGGTCGGTTGCCTCGGGCTGCTGGGTTTGCGGTCCCTTTCCAGCCCCAGGGCTCCTGGCGAGTGATGCTGGATTCGCCGTGAGCCAGCCTCCGGCCCATACAAGACCGACACACCATGGGTTCTTGACGAGGAGCCAGCGTCGGCCATCGACCTCGGCCAGGCCTTGCACAGAATAGTCGTGCTCGCCCACAAGGCCGGCAATGCGCTCTTCTTCGGGCGACGTGACACCCGTGCCTATCGTGATGACGACATCTTCCGCGTCGTGCGCTGCTTTGATGCTCGACCAGATGTGGTTAATATCCACCTCATCCCTAGAGCTCGTTAATTTCAGTAAAAGGAATCCCACTTGCGCGGAGTACCGTACCTCTGGAGAAACACTTGCTCGGGGATCCAGCCCGTCAACACCCAGAGATCGGTGCCAGAGTTGCTGCCGGGGAAGTCATAGCCTCCTCTGATCTTGAGGTAGGCCTTTTCAAGGAGGGCGGGCCACAGCAGACTCTCGTTCATGCGGTCGACCACGTAGAGCGCGCGATCACTGTTCGACGTCGGCAGTCTATCGTCGATGGTGACTTTCCGCAGGCATCCATTGAAATTCAGGCGGATGACGTACTTTCCCAGAGGGGAATATCGTGGCCGACCTCGATTGTGGTCAAAAGGGAAGAATATTGACGATAGCAACTAAGGGAGAACAAAGATGTTAGCCGACCATACAGACAATGAATGGAGAGGGGCGGCTCACAGCATGTTTGCCTGTCAGCACGTTCACTGCGGCAGACAGGCCAGCGACGACTGAGCAGTCGGTGGTAATGTCCTGTACTAGATCACAGGGCTGGTTCTTGGTTTGGAAGAGCTCCGCATCCAAGTCCACGTCCTCCAATTTTGAGCCGCGCTGCTCCAGCAGTTCCTGGGGTCTCTTCCAACCGTCAAATGTCTCCGCCTGGGTGGCTGACAGGGAGAAATCGGCTTCGTCACTTCAAAATATCAGCATAAGATCATCCTTGTGGCATAGCGCCAGGATGCGCACTCACGTGAAAGCTTGTGCACGCTCCCCGCGCTCGAAATCAGCATCGTTTGGATCTCTGTCCCAGGGTGGGAAGAAGCAGCCGTGAAGACGGGAGGCGCCCTTCAAGACAGCGTCCTCGACGGTCTGCGGTACTGCCAGTTCCGTCTTGAGCAACTCGGCGTACGCAATGAGTTCCTGGCATCTTTTCCGATGATGCTTCGCTTCAGATTTGGTTAAAGCCTGCGCCGCGGCAGTCATGTACAGCTCAGCAGCTCTGATGGCTGTGTCCAACGCATCTTGACCGCTGACTCGGGCGAGAAGAGCCTCAGCGGCCTGGCGGTCATGTCAGCCTCGCGGGCGGGAAGCATGGTGGTGATCTGCTAAACTGACCTGGAGTCTCCTCTCCATTCCCTGCTCTAGCGGAACATGGCACCTGGTCGCTTTGGGGTGATCGATAGTCCGCTGGGTGAGTAGCGGAACAGACGTCTTGTCAGATGTCGGTCAGCGAGCGACCTTGTGAATCGTTGTCGAGATTGACGTAAAGGTTGAGGTCAAAGACGGGTGGGTCGCATGGACATGGCGACCGTTGGGAACTATGACCACCAGCCAAGCTAAATTCTAGTCGAGGGGCATGCCGGCGACTATGTAGCGAATTGACGTTCAATTACGGAGAACAATGCCCAGCAAGTGGATGGGACGTAGCTGTAATATGAATGAGCGTGTCCTTTACATGAAGCTTGAACGTTGATCGCCAGTATCAATGAAATGAAACCTTCCGTTTGCCCTCTAGTTACAGTACTTACTTACTTAGGCACCGAATCTGGCTGATGTCATAGGCGTGACCACATGCGAGTCGATAGGTACGTCCGTCCTTCGCTATCGATAACGGGAAACCTTCAACCAGGTCTTGCTGGGAACAAGACGCTTGTTATCAGGCTCGTGACAAGGACTTTCAGTTGCGAATCGGATCCGCTGTCACCTCTGCGTGTTTTTTTTTGTACCAAGTGCTCGACAATCATAAGCGCCAATGCTGCCATCCATCACTCCGGTCCTTATTCGCACGCAGCAGCCGAGGTCAGCCAGGCAAAGTGGCTACCCTAGGGCCCCAGGCGCGGGTGCTAAGGCGCCCCTACCCCAACTCCCAGTGTGGGGAATTGCCGAATGACGCCCGTCCTTGACCGAGGTCCATGCGGCCGGCGATGACCTGGATCCGCGTCCAGGTTTCCGCCATTGAGCCTGCATTTCGCCATGTCTCCGGATTCCAAACACACAAGAATGCTGCGGTCCTGACGACTTCTGTCTGTGCCTGCCTTGCGTATCGCCTGTCCAAACCGACCGTATCGCCCCGAGCATCGCCCTCTTCGTTCACCCCATCAGCCGTGCGTCTGCCAGACTTGTCCCGAAGCTCGTGACAGGCCGCTATCCGCGCTCTCTGAAGCAGTCGCCGCGCAGCATTACGACCCCTCCAAATTCACCACAGAACACCTAGAAAATGGCAGGACAGTCGAAATTTGAGATATCGCCATGGGGCAAGGCAGTAGCCGGTGCTAGCGGTGCTGTTCTTGCGAACGCCCTCGTCTATCCGCTCGACATGTAGGCATACCACCCAAGTGTACTGGCATGTGTGTTAGTGCAAGCTGACTTTGCAAACAGCGTCAAGACCAAACTCCAGGTGCAAGTGAAATCTGCAGAGAAAACACCTGAGGATCCCAACACACCTGTCTACTCGTCTACGTGGGATGCCATCTCACGAATCTCGGCCGAGGAAGGCATCGCAGGACTCTATGCTGGCATGAGCGGATCCCTCATCGGTGTCGCGTCTACCAACTTTGCCTACTTCTACTGGTACACCATTGTGCGGACGCTCTACACCAAGTATTCCAAATCGGCCTCGGCTCCCTCGACCGCCGTGGAGCTGTCGCTGGGTGCCCTCGCCGGCGCCGTTGCGCAGATCTTCACAATTCCCGTGGCCGTCGTCACCACACGCCAGCAGACAGCCTACAAGCACGAGCGAAAGGGCTTGATCGCCACGGCAAAGGAGGTGGTGGAGGGCCCGGACGGTGTCACAGGACTGTGGAGAGGTTTGAAGGCCAGCTTGGTACTTGTCGTCAATCCCGCCATTACCTATGGCGCGTATGAGCGTCTCAAGACGGCCATGTTCCCAGGCAAGGTCAACCTGCGACCTTGGGAAGCGTTCAGTGAGTTGAGTCTGCTACTAGCGAGCCTTGGGACCGCGCGCTGACAGTGACATTAGTGTTGGGAGCCATGTCCAAAGCCTTGGCAACATTAGCCACGCAGCCATTGATTGTCGCCAAGGTTGGCTTGCAGTCAAAGCCGCCACCCTCGCGCAACGGAAAGCCCTTCACGAGCTTTATCGAGGTCATGAAATTCATCATTGAGAATGAGGGAGCAATGAGCCTATTCAAGGGAATTGGGCCTCAGATCCTGAAGGGTCTGCTGGTCCAAGGCATCCTGATGATGACGAAGGAGAGGTACGTGGAGATCCCCAGGCGCAGTGTACATTGGTCAGGCTAACATTCACAAAGGGTCGAGCTCATGTTCATCCTCTTCCTTCGCTACATCAAGGCAGTCCGACTGGGCCAGCTCAAGACCGCCGCTCAGCGTGTGTCCACTGCCGTCAGTGAGGGCAATATGCCAGCGCCACCACTGAAGTCCTCGACCTGAGAGAGCTTGGGGAGAAGTGTTGAGATGGCAATTGGGTAATTACCTCGAGTGTTGCAGGCGTTGATTGTGAAATTTGGGTTCTGGTTGTTGCGGCCTGTACACGCGCCTTGCAAGAGGCTTATGGTTTAGAAGTCCAGCATGAGATTTAGAACGTATAAATTTAACACCAAAAACAGACGACATGGTCATGACAAGGAGCTATTATTATACGTGTGTCACCAGTTCTTCGACAAGACTCAGTTGTCCAGCTGGCCGTTGAGGAGACGTCAAGCCCCGCGAATACAGAGCGCTTGCTCATTGGCGGATATTGCTTAGTCAAGCGTCGCAGCCCCACCAACTCACACTCACTCAGGGCAGGGCTAGTGTTCCCAGAGATCCCACACAATTTTTGATACTCCCGCTTCGCATTTCCCCCAACTCAGTTTGTCAACCTCACAAACCGGAAATCAGTCGCCATGGCCAGTACGTTGCGCAAAACGACACGACGTCGAGGCACACTTTGCTGACATTTGCGACAGAGTCAAAGAACAGCTCCCAGCACAACCAGCAGAAGAAGGCGCACCGCAACGGGTAGATTTTCCCAGCACCGTCGACCAACCGAAGATCCGCGCTCTAACCACCGCACAGTATCACGAAGCCTAAGACTTCGCGTTACCCTTCGCTCAAGGGCACCGACCCCAAGTTCCGCCGCAACCACAGGCATGCTCTGCACGGCACCGCCAAGGCCCTGGTACGATATTATTCCCTGAATTACGAGCGACGGGGGCAGTGGGCTAACAAACCATGTAGAAGGAGGCCAGGGAGGGCAAGCGTGAGAAGGTCTAAGGGGAGAAGTGCTCTGGTCACAGATGGAGTTCGATGGTACATTTACGGGCTTGGGGCTTCCAACGGCGGATGGCGCTTTGCGATAGACGAAGTCGACGAACCGACCGTCCACGAACGAGATGAAATGACAAAATATTCCGTCACAACGGCCACGTCAACTTGGATGCCTCGCCTTGCCCGGATCCATAGATGCTGGATCGCCCATGAACAACGCCTCAAGATCAACCGACTTCATTTGTGCTTGGCCAACCTCAGCCTGTCATTTCCACCATCTCATCGCACGATTCTAGAGAGCTAGCCTTGGCCATCCATCAGCATCAGGCCTCTCGTCATACTTGCTAAAGTTCATTCACTGGCCAGTCGAGTGCTGTCGCTTTATTTGATGTCGACGTAACGCAGACGTGAATGCTTTGCTTGCTGCAGCTCCTAGTTATCTCTCAACAGCTGCGCACATGGACAATCCTGACCCAACCCACGCCTGCTGTTCCACCTCTGCTGCGTGATTCTCCAGGCCCTTTATGATATATTGTCTATGCGACCCCAGTCATTGAATGTGTGTCCATTTAAGATACGAACCGAATCTGCCGACGAGCCCTGCAAGCGACAGCGGCTACGGATAAGGCTCGCATCGCCCAATCATACCCTGGTGCTGAACGCCTTTGGCATCGGGGATAATCTAACCTTAGCCCCGCCGCTGACAGCTGCCGCTCGCCAGGTCGGATCAGCACCTGAAGCTATTCAGACAGTCGGTGCTCTGACATGATTGATTCCTTGTGTCAAGAAAAAGTTTGCCAAAGACGAATCATTCTCTTCACCAGCGCTTAATAGTGTTGTACGTAGTAACAGCTGTCACCGCCTACAAAGGGGTTTCGAGCTAGTCCTGGTTCCGTTAGAACAACCTGAAACTTGTTAGGTAAGCAGGGAGAATGCGCCTTGGCCCAGATTGGGTTAGCAGCAGCCAGACTGGCTACAGCATCTGGCCCCGTCTGACACGGAAACGGGCTTTGTAGTCAGTTACTAGGCTAGCCAGCAGCAGCAGCAGCATTTTCGCTTCGTCGCCTTGCAACTCCTCTGCCCGACTTCTCTTCCTTACCTGCCAGGGAGCAGTTGCTGTCGTTTCTCTTTCGCTCTAGCAACGTATTTTTGGGGCTCAGTATCTACCTCGCTCGCCGTCTTCCGGTTTGTGCTCTCCGTGACGTTGGGGGGGGATCTTCACTCACGGCCGATGCTGACTTGCCCACCCGTACAGCTACATTCTTATTCTGCCCTTGGATCATGATTTAGTCCTGCTCGAATATCGAAATCTGCCGAAACTCCTTTGAGGTCAGCTGGTCACTGCAGGAGCCGCGTTAGCATTTCGAAAGCCGAAAATAGTACATTGGCCGACACCCCTTACCCTCGATCGAGCCCAACGTCCCTCGATATCAAGTTTCCCCACACCAAGGCACACTGCAGGCCTTCCTATCTACCGTAAGGTACACAGCAGCTGTCTCGAGCTTCATCCGTGCTCGCCGGCGCGAATAATGAACAACATGTCCGGAAATCACCCTGGCACCAACCGCAACAGCACCCCGGAGGCGAACGCGGGCTCCTCGCTCCGTCCTCCCTCTTCCCGAGCCGTGGGTGCTGGCCATTCTCTCCGTGCGTCTGCCGACGTGGCTGCGTTGACGGGCTCTTCTGCAGCCAGTCGCATCCGTCCTTCGTCCGACTTCTATGGCCAGAGCCAGCAGGGTCAGGGAACGGGAGGGTCTGAAAATGACCCCCAGGACAAACTTGCCCAGCAATGGATCGCGGACATTGACCAGTACGAGACAACGCTGGAGGACATGGCCGCCGCGACGCTGGACCAGGACTTCAAGGATGAGCTGAGTGCTATTGAGCAATGGTTCCGCGTCCTTAGCGAGGCCGAGCGAACGGCTGCTCTCTACGCACTCTTGCAGCAGACGACCCAAGTGCAGATTCGCTTCTTCATCCAGGTCCTCCAGCAAATGGGCAAAAACCACCCCATGTCGGGCGTGCTGTCCCCGGCAAACTTTGACAAGGGTATGCGAAGCTGCTGGAATGACTTTAGGACGTGCTCTTACTAACACGGAACAAAAGATCCCATGTCGAACCGGCTGAGTGATGCCATGAGCAAGCTGAATGTGGAGTCCAGTCGGACTTCCTATGCCAGGAACTCGACCGTTGGCTCGACGAAGCGTAACTCTGTGCTCGACCCCTCGACGGTCAACGCCATGTTCCCGGACGCCGCTGCCGCCATTGCTACCGAGAAGGCCAAGTTCACCCAGCAGACCGGCAACCCGCCGCCTTCCAACAGGAACAGCCTCGCCGTCGACCCTGCTCGAAGCTCGATGCCGCCTCCGGGGTTCTCTGGCGAATCGAACACTGGTAATCAGTCGTCTCAGACGCCGATGGGCCAGTTCGTCCAGCCCCCTCCGTCCGCGGGCTTACGCTCTCCTCGACCCCCTCTGTCGAACAACGCACCGATCCAGAACACGACGCTGTCTGCGCCCGACAAGAACCAGGGTGAACTTCCGATGCTGTCGCCGTACAATCCAAACGGAGGCAACTGGGCCTCCATGGTCAACACTCCGATGACAGCCAACTTCAATAATCAGGGTGGCAACAACAACAATAACGGAGGAAACCAAGCCGATATGATTGCGAATGCGACGGCCATGAAGCTTGCGGCGCTGTCCACCGTCAACAACCGCTTCGCTCTGGACGACGTCCGCAAGTACCGCAGGACAAGGTCGAACGATGGATCCGGAAAGGGTCAGGTGCCGGCTTCGCCTGGACCCCAAAACATGAACTTCCCAGGCACTAATGTTGTCATGATCAACGAACACGGTCAGGTCTTGAGCCAGGAGCAGATCATGGCTCTGCAGGCCCACCAGAACATGAACTTCCAAGGTCAGCGGTCGAGGCCCAACTCCCCTGGTGCTGCCATGCAACCCGGCATGGGCCCTATGCACTCGTTTGCGTCCCCGCAAAACAATGGCTTCTTGAGTGCTTACGATGGGTCGTCTGGGCTGATGAACAATGGCATCCCGACTGTCAATCTGGGCCAGCTTGGTGTCACTGGTCACGAGGGCTATCTGTCGGACCACTCCGACATGGTGCGAGGACGCTCTCCCCGCGGACGTCGCGGCAGCTCGAAGCCCCCAGAGGACCCGACCGATCCTACCTTGTTGCAGGACATCCCAAGCTGGTTGCGCAGCCTGCGTCTCCACAAGTACACGGACAATCTCAAGGACATGAAGTGGGTTGACCTGGTCGAGCTGGATGACAAGGCTCTGGAACAGCGTGGCGTCAATGCGCTAGGTGCTCGGCGCAAGATGCTCAAGGTGTTTGAGCAGGTGAAGGGTAAGTCCACTACGGAAGCCATACGGATCACAAACTGACTCTGCATGCAGAAGCGAAAGCCGAGGGCAAGCCTGCCCAGTAAGTAATGAGTTGATCCTATATAAGAAAAGATGATTTGATGCGGTGATGGGATCAGCTGGGCACAGGTTCGGCAACCTAAGTTACGATGTACAGGAGAGCTGCGCTGCGTTTGTGCATACGAGCAATATGAATCCGTGATGACGGGGATCAACGAAATAAGCATCAGTTTGGATTGGTAATATTCGTGTTGCGGGTGAAATAGAATGGCTTGTCGTGTGTGACTATGTGTTCTACTTAAAGCGCACATCTCCCACTTCGCCTGTCTAGAACCTTATCTTACTAGTTCATCACCCCATTGCCATCCACTCAACAACACCATTTAGCTTCTCAAGCATGGTATAGCGGGAATGACACTGCGCTATCCAGAATATATAAAAGCAAAGCTCAGCCAGAAACGTTGTTCTTCGTTGCCGAGAGTCCGCCGCGCGCGCGACTGATTTTCCATGCTGCAAAAAGCCGAACCACGGCGACGCCAGAGTCGATATGTCGCGGCGCAACGATGATGACCCTCGTGACGAGGATCCTCCCACCCTGTGCGCATTTCTTTTACTCTCTCTGGTCTTCCGTAATTGAAGCTAACATGATGCTAGCCGGTCCGGGTCGGAAGCATCTGACGCAGATTCTGATCTCGAGGAATTGCAGGGCGACATAGCCAAGTTCGATGCATCAGTACGCGACTTTCTGGCTTCCCATCGCGGCGCAGACAAGAGCGCGCCCACAGCAGGTTCTTCCGCGCCCTCCATCCGCGGGGGCTCCTCCTTTCGTGGCCGATTGCGTGGTCCGCGTCAAGCAGCCAAGCCCAGAGGCGACATCACGGCCAGGCTCTCCAAGGTCAACCAGGCCTTCCTGGCAGGCGACTATGAGCGCGCCCTCGATCTCGCCTCCGAGGTCGTCCGCATCAATGCCGAGACGCATCAGGCATGGACCACCCTGGCCTCCGTCTTCCGGGAGATGGGGGAAATCAACAAATATCTCTCCGCCTCTGTTTACGCCGCCCATCTACGTCCCAAGGAGGTGCACGGCTGGCTTCAATGCGCCTCGACTGCTCTTGAGATCATCGAGACCCAGGGCGATGATCCGGAAACACTACATACAGCTCGCCTCTGCTACTCAGCTGCCCTTCGCGCCGATTCGAAGAATCTGGAAGCCAGGCTAGGCAAGGCAAACGTCTGCCATCGCCAGGGCCATTTGGCAGTAGCCATCAACGAATACAAGCACGTACTACGGAGACACCCAAATGACCTCGACGTCGTCCGCCAGATCGCCGAAGCGGCCCTCGACAGTAAGCATTCCGAGTCGGCCGTGAACTCGGCCGTCGCCGCGTACAAGAAGTACTTTGACATCCAGCTCTCGAACCCGGCCATAGTGCCAGATCAGGAGCTGTGGCATGATGTTGGCATATACATTGAGCTTCAGTCGTCGCGTCGTCACTTTCAGGAAGCCATACAGGAGCTCAGACGTCTGGCTCGATGGTTGGTCGGCAGAGCCTCAGAAGCGTACTGGGACGAATACGACGAGGATGACCGTGAGTGGGACGCCGAGAATACGCGACGGCGTCAAGTAGCACAATTCAACCCTGCCGAGGCGGACGTGCGGTTATACGGCGATTCACTGCCGCTTGATCTGCGCGCCCGCCTCGCCATCTTCCGTCTGGGGTTGGATCATGATGAAGAGGCATTTGTAAGTCAATGAATTCGGACACATTTGCTATGGCTGCTTGGTACTGACCATTTCGCAGAAACACTTGTCGTGGTTGGATCCCACCGAGCATCACACTCGTGAATTTGCCCAGGATTTTCCTTTCTTGGTGTATGAACTCGCTTGCGAGCTCACGGCACATGATCATCCCGCTTTCGCAGCCAAGTACCTTGAAGTACTGCGCGAGGTAGCCGGTGAACCGGACGCCGCAGTCTTGTTGCAGCTGGGGCGGGCTTATCTCTACAGCAGGGAACAGGCAGCGGCTGAGGAATGCTTGCTCACTGCTTTGGAGATCGATCCAGACGCCATCGAACCTCGCGTGGAGCTGGCCAACCTTTACGAGTTGGCTAGGGAAGATGAAGAGGCCTTAATCTTGGCAGCAGAGGCCATGGCTCTTCGCGAGGCCCGGACCACACACAATGACGCAGAGGCAAGAACAGCAGCGGGCGGCCAGCGACAATCGCGTGCGGGCCAACGCAAGTCCGGCACTTCTACACGGAGAAAGCCGCAGGCTCGACCAGCAGACTCGACGGCGCCCAAGAAATCGGTGATCCCTAGGAGGTACCGACCGAAACGTCTGGGCGCACCTGGTCAGCGAAGACAGGAGGAACAAGAACACGCTGCCAAACTGTCCCGGCAGTACGAGACCGTGGTTGGGCTGAAGGAGAGCCTTAGGGCTGGTCACCTGGAGCTCAAGGACGAGTGGATGCAATCCTCCCAAGCGCTTGTTGATGATTTCAGATCACTTAAGCAGTTCTATTCGTGGGACAAATATTTGCAGCTATTGGGAGCCCAGAATTCCTTTCAGCCGCCTCCCCAGGGACAGCCTGGAAGTGAGCTTTTCCAGCTGTACGAGCGTCTCACGCGCAGTAAGTCATCCAATCTTGCCTGTACTTGTGACAAGCGATACTTACATCGGTGCCTCGCAGCTCTTGTACCTCAGCCAGACCAAGCCCGGAGCGACGCGCAAGCTAGTGGCATGAGTGGTCACCAAGGCATTTCGTTCGATCAGTGGTTGGACATCTTCCTTGACTACGCCGTTGGCTTGGCAATCGACTTTCGCCGAGAAGAGTCGTATCGTGTGTGCGAGGCTGCGCGTGACTCGACAGTATTCCAATCTTCAGCCCACAATTTTCGCATTCATATCGCTTGGAGCAGTAAGTCATGTTCTTCAACCATTGTGTTGTGATGCTAAATAAGTCAGTCTGCGCCGTGTTCACCAACGACGAAGAAAGGGCCATACAAGTTGCCCGGCAGCTGATGAAGGACGGCATCAACTCGGACTCGGACCGGATGTTCGCCCTGCTGGCGAGCCTCTGCCAGTCGCCCATCATCTGGTATACGTCGGGTCCAGCGCAAAAGTTCGTTCTTCGCCAGATCAGAGCTTTGGACACGGAGCAGATGACCACGTTGTCGAAAAGGGATGATATAGGCACAGAGGTCAACAAAGCCCCTCGTGAAGATATCCGACTGGACGCTTGCCTGTTGATGATGTACGGGCACATTCTATTCACGTCCACGAGCTACACATATGCCTTAGGTACGAAGCCTGCACAGAGTGAAAGTCGAGTTTGCTGACCATGCAGGGTACTTCCTCCGCGCTCATTCCCTGGACCCAGACAACCCGATGATCAGCCTCAGCATCGGGCTTGCCTATGTACACTACGCACTGAAACGCCAGGCGGTCAATCGCCAGTACCTGATCCTGCAGGGTCTGGCGTTCTTGACACGTTATGTGGAGCTCTGCAAGAAAGAAGACAGCGAGGCGTCCCTGGCTGAGTTGTACTACAATATTGGTAGACTCCATCATCTATTGGGGATATCTTCACTGGCGCTACAGTTCTATTCCCAGGCGGCGTCACACCTCGACAAGGACGACCCGGACATGAAAGACCTCGGATTGATGATTGCGACAAATCAGATCATCACACACCTTGGTAACGACAGGCGCAAAGCTGCACTGAAGCTCGTCAAAGAGCAGGTCATTATATGAGCATTAATTCAAGCAGAATAATAAATAAGTGTTCTTCAAATTGGAGTTGAAATATGGAGGTAGTCACTTTCGGTTGGAGCGGTGTACAATGACAGATACACCAGATTTTACACCGATAGCAGGTGCTGCAACGCCGAGTAGTCTTTATGGATACGAAATCCGTGATGAATACCTCATCGAAACATATCCGGACGAAAGCATCCTAAATGCCATGCCGAGAGGCCAACGAAAGTTTATGAATCTGTAGGGTAGCCCGAAACCCATGATCGCAGATCGCATCAGGCGTTGAGCAAGCCCCAAATGCCATTTGCGTCATCTCGGGAATGCCAGGCCTCAGATTCACAGATCGTGAATCTATGTCATGTTGTTTGGCCTAGTCAGGAGATTGAAGGCTCGAAGCTAAGATGTCTTCTCCCGAACCGAGCTGCACTGATTATTTAAAATACAAAGACGCTATTAGCTATTATCTACATATTCGTCCTCCTGTTGTGAAGATCGCTGCGCTCTGCACTAGTCCCTTTCCGGCTAACTCCAAGGGCAGCCGTAGGTGAGGTCATCGTCAGGGTGCTGGTCATGACGTCATAGTCAGTACACCGCGAACCTGAGATGGTAAAGCGCGATCGACTAGCAGAATGGCAATGACGAAGTCAAGGTTCCCGACATGTGCTTCTGACCGGTGGGAAAGATGGAACGTACGGAATGCTGCGCACCCGAGCTAAGTTGATTTAGCGACCTGCGTACGTACCAGACCAAGGACGGGGCAGTGAGCCAGAGCCCGCTGATCACTTGATCTACCGGCCGGTCCATCTCATTGATCTAATTACCCCAGCATCCCCCATCTGGTGATACGATTCGGTTGATCGCCCATCCCTCCATCCAGCTCGTGCTGTTTCGCAATCCCTGGCCCAGCGAAGAACAATTGCCATACGAGGTGCATAAACATCCCAGCCAAGGACAACTCGAGGGGGCAACTGCAGTTGCTGTCTTGTCACTATCGAGAGGTCTCTCAGAAGCTCGTCGTCCGCCCTCCATCATGACGGAACCAGCCATAGCGACAGAAGCTCCGCCTGAGGCTTTGCCAGGTATGTGATACCAAGCTCGGGAACTCGCTCTCACGTCTTGTGTAATTATGCACCTTTGCTGATCTGATCACCTTACCCATGCAGCAGTCAACAACTCTGGGAGGCTCAAATATGCGGACCCACGATCACTACCAAGCTTCCCCTCGTCGGGGTTGAAATCCGACGGAGCAGCTGCAGGGGCAGCCGCGTCACTGGGATGGAGCAACCAGAAACCCATTGAGCTTTGGAAGCCAGACAAACTGTCCTCCGCCTCCGCCGCCGCCGTCCTTGCGACAGACTACAAAATGGCACCCCAATGGCAGCCTTCCGCCAATTCGGATGGCCACAAGGCCGCGCTCTTGGCTGTTGGGTCTGCCAGCTCCGCGTTGAAGCAGAACAAGACGACAGAGCCGGCAGCAAAGGGTCAGCACGACGGCTGGGGCAACACAGCTGCGACCCATGCCTTCCGTCAACCAAGCCCTCGGAATGAGCCCACGGATGAGCAGCCGATCTCAGGAACGCATGGGTCGACAGCAGCGACGCAAGCATTCGCAGCGAACCGCACTGACACTATAGCTCGCGCGAATGCGCCCAGCCCTCAGGTGGCCCCGGCTGATCGACCGCTCGCCGCTGCCATGGGCGCCATGGCATTGAACCGACCGCGCTCGACATCTAGCCCCATGTCGCCTGCGTCTGCTTCGGGTGACAACCTTCAATCGCGCGCTGCCTCGAACGCGTTGAGTGGAGCATCCGTGGCACACCGCGCGTCCATGCGCCCCAAGCCCACAGCCTCCAATGGCGGTGCCGTCCCTGTGACTACGATGACACGCAACATGTTCACTTCTCACCCCATGGTCAAGCCCGAGGTGGATGAGCGCAATGATGCCGAGAGGTTGCATCAGTCTGCGGTCGAGATGGCCAAGAAGATGTACAACCAGCAGCAGAAGATGGTCGAGCAAGCCAAAGCCAGGGGAGAGGATCCCGACAAGTTCACGTCCCCTTACCTGAGCCTCCAGGATGCTGCGTACAAGCAAGCTCAAGACAGGCTGTCGAAGCTGGAGGATGAGTACTCCAAGAACCGGAACATGCAGGAGTATTACGGCAACACGCAGGCACCAGCTCCTCGGCGTCGCTGGTCTGTTGCGAACAAGCTGAGGCGACGGGATTCTGACGAAAACTTTGACGACCGAGAGGAGTCGCAGCGAATCCGCCAGCAAATGTCCATGTTTTCGAACAAGTTGACCGAGGTCGACCAGGCGAAGCGCCAGAGTGACCGTGATGCACTGTTGGCCGCTGCCCAGCGCAATGTGAAGGCTCGTCTCCATGGCATGGACGAGAAGGTCTACAACGATACCGGCAAAATCAACCCAGCCCTGCACAGCGACTGGAACCTCAAGGCGCAGCAAGCTGCCCAGCTCTCATCCGACGCCCGCAACGAGAATACCGGAAAACTCAACTTGGGCGGCGGCATGTACATGGACCAGGAACAAATTGATGCTATCGCCGCGAAGCGGATGCAGCCCGTGCTAGACGACATCAACGAGAAGGCAGAGAAAGAGCGCGCGCGTCAGGCGGTGCTGAAAGCCGAGGAGGAGGCTCGCAAGGCGGAGCTCGCGCGCGAAAAGGAGAGGGATCGCGAGGCCAAAGCACTCAGCAAGAGAATCCGAGGTACGTTGAAAAACACCCTGCGATCTTCATAGCGCACAGCTAACCCATGACCACAGACGAGGACAAGGAAGAGCAGAAGGCCAGGAAGATGCAGGCCAAGGAGGAGGAAAGGGCGAAGAAGGAGCAGGAGAAGGCTGAAAAGGCCGAGCAGAAGAGGCTCGCCAAGGAGGGGAAGCGCAGGTCGAAGGTCGGTACCGCTGCCGATGATCAGGAAGAGGAGACCGCGCCCGCCGATACTGCCCGCGTCTCGGGAGACGATGCGATCCTGAACGATGAGGTGCACCCGGCCATGGATGCAGAAGACAGGGACGCCGACGTTGTGCCACCCATTGACAGCACCCTGGGGGATCCGCCCTCGCCCGAGGCCGCCCATAGCCTGGCCGCCGCACGGTCTGGTGCCGACGAGGAGCATCAAGACGAGCAACACGAAGTGGACCAAGACGAGCACCGAGGTGACCATCGCCACTCATCCGGCTCCAAGCTCAAGGGCTGGATCAAGAATCGCCTGTCGCGCGGCCGATCCATGAGCGAGAGGGACGGTGACGCTGCCGACGAGGAGAAGAAAAAGAAGCGCACCAGTTTCTTCAAGGGCAGTGGCGCACTGAAGAAGGACAACCCCAATGCCAGCAACGCCAGCCTAGAGCAAGGGCCCTCGAGCATGCGCGATGTAGCCATTGCAGGGCACGCCGACGGCGAGGCAAGCCACGCTGCCCCTGAGCGAGATTCCAGGGGCGTCAGCCCCGTGAGCTCAGTGGCCAGGGATGAAGCCCCGGACAGGCTCGAGCCGCCGAAGCCTATTGGGGAGAGGGCTCCTCGGGCCAGTGTCAGTCCTGGTAGGGACTCTAGGTTCCGCGAGGAGATGTGAGCGAGTTGTTACTGTTTGAATGGGTTTTGTGTGCGTTATTTTCTTTCGATATCCTGGGCAAAAATTTCGAGCGGACGTTTTTCACATCGTCAGCACAATCAGTTGGAAACACAGAGTGGTAACAAAATTAGGAACAAGGATATGTATCGTAATAATAATGTTCATCATATACATATATCTAACATTTCATCGATGATCTACGCCGGTATCGTTTTCGACATTACGCTTCTAACGTGTCCCTCGCAAACACCAAACGCCAAACATGCGCAATAAAAACACAGAGAGGACATGTCCTCTCCCCACGGTGCTTCAGTTATCGTCGTCTCTCGCATTAAAAGTGGCCATTGGTGTTGGGGCCGTGCACCCGACCCGGCAAACTGGCCTCGCTCTCCTCCATCTCCCGCGGGCTCGTGGGCTTCTGGAAACGCATGCTGCGGCTCTTTGTCCGGCGCGCGGGCCACAGGTCGATGACAAAGGACAGGACGTAGAATGTGAAGATGAGGGAAATGATCCACTCAAAGTAGGCGGCAATGTTCTTCCTGTCGGTGAAGGTGAGGACGCCAAAGGCAATGGCCAGGCCGAGTTCGAGGAAGATGAAGGTGAGCTTGACCCAGAACGAGGCGCGGAGGACACGGTGCTCGCGGTGTTCTGCGGGTGCTCGGTTAGTCTACACGCTTCCCAGAAGAATAGAGGATGGTGGGTTACGTACGGATGCCCAGGCGCTGGTACTCCCAGCAGATGAAGATGGCCGAGATGAGATAGCCGCCGATGAAGAGGAGCAGGAACATATCATGCAGCTTGGGGTGGCGGTACGTGTCGAAGATGCTGAGGCAGATGAGGCCCACGGTGCCGACAACGGCAAAGAGAATGGTCAGGACCACGAGCACCTTTTCCAGGACGGTCTGGTTGGGCACCAGGCGACCCTTGTGCCGCAGCCAGCGCTCGGCGGCAAAGGACAGGTCGAACGTGACCGTGGTGACGACGGAGCCGGCGATGAACAGGGGCTTGAGCGTAAAGGCGCCAATGTCGCTGATGTAGGGCAGATACATGTCGCGGTCGAGCGAGGGCAGCCGGCTGCGGTCCATGTCCACGGTCACGAACCACCACAGCAGCATCCCGAGCAGCATGCCCAACCACACGCAGGCGGGAAATATCGGTAGCCACTGTTCCTGTTAGCTACACGGACTTGTCTTGCTGGAAGGGCTTCAACGTTGAAATCCACCTACCCAGTACGAGATCACACCGCGGACGGCCATGGTGATTGATGGTTACAGAGCGTGACTCTGCTGCGTTTATGTCGAAGTGTTCGTTGGAAGCGATTGCGTGCGCTTCTTGTTGCCCTCGTTTGCTTGCAGTTGGCCTGGTCTAGTGAGGTGACAATTTCTCGTGCGTAGTTGGATGCACCTTGGGATCGATTGTGTTGCTGTAACCTGTGTTTGTTGTCCAAGAAGGCCAAGCCAACAAGGGGTGGTAATCCGAGACAAGGACTGGACTGGACGGGATGGATATATGGCAGGACGGTCGACGTCACGGCACTCAAATCAAGACTGGGACTTGGCGTGGCTTGGAAGTGTAGCGTCCCCGGGTTGCGAGAATTACCAAGCCTCAATCAAAGGAGCACCGAATTCGACATGCTGTCTCCATGCCTAATTAACGGTTGTGACGTGACGCGCGGGAGCACCGTCGATTGTGAGTGGGCCCCCTGAGAAGAGATCGAAGATCATCGGATTTGGCTGCAGCTGTTCAAATTCACGCGGACATTAGACTCAAGATTGAGTGCGCAGTCTGTCTGACTTTCACTGTCAAGTCTCCACCACTTCTTCGCTTCGCCGGCAGTCTCCCGTCGGTCTATGACATCATTTGCAACGAATGATTAATTCCAAACACAGACAATCGGAGGCCCCTGGCGGGAACATGTGATTGGACTAGTGATAATTCTGATTGAACTAAAGGTCTCTGCATTGCTGCACCATCGAATATTGACATTAGGAGTTCTTGGTCGGTCCATCCTCTACTCTGCCTTTGGAAACGCCTGATGACTGAAGGTCTCTCTCACGACAACAATCGCTGGAGTCCATGCGCTGAATGTGCTGCCTGGGCTCAAGCCCGTTGTTGTATCTGCCGTCCTAAGGAAGGGTCCTAAAGTCCTCCCCGGTGATGGTTGGGATAGTCTCGAATTGCTGGAATGCTGTGCGGACGCTGTAAGGGGTGCTGCCGTCTAGCGCGCCGTACTTTTTGAAGATGGTTGTCAAATGTACTGGATCGTGCAGGCGGCGGCCAAGCTCATAGACAGCATTCTGCAGCGTGGAATTAGCATCCCGACTGGCGACAACGCTGCATCGACTCACGTAATCGGCCACTCGAAGACTGTTGATGGTCACGAGCAGGTACCTCGCCGACTTGGAATCCAGGTCCTCCATCCTGTCGGCGAGGATGTCGAGGGCCTCAATCATCGTCTCGGCGTACTGAGGTGATCGTCAAGTCAGCCCGGCACAGACACGGCCACTCACGCCGCAAAGAGAGAACTTACGTAGCGGTAGCAGTTGGCAATCTCCTTCTCTTCCCCGTCGCTGAACTCTATGGACAGATCTGAGTTGTCCATGTCGGCATCGAACAGGTCCAGGTCGAACTCAACATCGTAAAGCGCTTTGCGCATGGGCTCCTAGCAGCGATCGCTACCCTTGCTGCATTCAAGAATGCTCACAAAGTTGAAGATAAAGGTCATTCTTTCGGCCAAGTGGTGAAACCTTTGGCACACGTATTCTTGTGTCAGCACGTCGTAGAACTGAGGCGAGTGTCCCTTGGGGGCGCCAGCCTGGGCAGCAACTCGTGCGCCAGCTCTTGCACCAGCTTTCCCGCCAGCTTTCGCATCAGCCTTCACACCAGCTGCGGCCGTACTGCCAATCAGAGATGTGATGGCGAGTAGACCGTACGCGCCGAGAATCCGAGAGAACCTCATATTTGGACAGATGTGGGGGAAGCAGAGAGATTCAAGTGTCGATACGCAGACGCGAGGAAGGCTTATGCAAGCGCGCCTTGTTGTCAGCAGGCCCTTCGACACGTTCAGCTCGAAGGAGGCAGAGCAGAGGCTGGAAAGTCGGAGACGATAAGTGATACTGGGCGAGAATGCAGAGGTTGTCCGGAGTCAGTAAGTGATATTGAAACGATAATGAAGAGGTTGACTGGACAAGGATAATGCGGACGTTGGTGAGGGGACAGAGTCGGAGCAGAAGACGAGATGTGTGGCAGGGTGCCTGAAGCTACTAGTAGGTGCAGGTACCTGTAGCCATTTCCAAGTGTGAAGTATCGGACCTGCCTCGCCTACTTGTTTACTTACTCCTGGTGGGCGATGATGCCCGACCGTACCTGCCTCAGTCCCGCACGTGAAGAGGTCTGGAGGCCTTGACACTCGGAGCCAGACATGATGGTGCTGATGAGCAGACACTGTCGGTGAGACAGACGTTTGGCATGCTGCAACCTCAATGTAATATTGGCTGCAGCCGCCTCGGCCGCCATCATCGAGTGACAGCGTTGGGTAGCCACGGCTCACCTGCTCGCAGACATAGATACGACTCATTCCCCTCTTCCGAGCTGTCAATTCGAACTTTCGTCGCACGCCATCGACGCTCTCGACCCGGGCATGCCGAATCTGGAACAATTCTTGCCAAGGCACGTAGACAAGTCGCGACCATGAGAATTGTCTATCAGCCAGAACCCCATAGCACCAAATTCATCCTGATTCATGACCAAGCATGGAGAAAGGCGACTGGTTCACCGCGGAGAGCTTGGGAGACCAGCTGGATAAGATCGCAGGCAGAGCCAAGCGGTTGGTTGACCGCGCCTTCCCCCTTGAGCAGTTCTAGGAGGCCTGTGGCATGATGGGGAGCCGCAAGACGAAGGGCCAAGGTGACACTCAGTGCTGCAGCATAAACGTTGCCGACACCATATCGTCCATCTCGAACTCTGTCCTTGTCTGATTGCTGCAAATTGCAATATTGACTTACCCTTCTTCATGAAGAAGAAAGGGAGTCGAGGGACGTTGCCTGGCGCGAAGTCCAAAAGCCCCGAGTACCAGCCAATTAGATGCGCTATTACTCAGCAAGCCCCACCCATCATAAGTAGCTAACCCCAACGGCATCCGTCTCTCCCTACTCCGTACCTCGCCTTAGATATCATATCGCGTTTTGACTGTTCACTTGACACTGCAATAGCATATCTGATTCAAACTCGATCTTAATTAACCAATCCAAGAAGCCGGGAACTCTGCTGCCGTCATCAATTAAATTCAGAGCCTGCGGGAAAATTAATTTGCTTTTCACTTGGTAGCCGCTGCTCCAACCAACCAATCAACCACCTGTCGAACCGGTCAAATCCGTTCCTCAGCAAGCGTTCATCCACAGGTCACCGCCGCTCACTATGGCGGTCTCGCCTGTGGTCACAGAGCTGTCGCGACCCGCGACTGAGCTCCGCGCCGCCGCTTCACCTCTGCGATCTCTCGCTTCAGGTCAAGCCTCTTCAAATGGCACACCCAAGCCGGTGGGCGCACTCCGAAAGAACATGGGGGGAAACCCGCCCTCACTTGATTTGGCCGAGCAAATGAATGAGGATGAGAAGCGAAAATGGGTCAAAGGTGAGAGAGATTGCGTAGTGGAAGCCCCAAGCACGCAGAGCTAACGTGAGCTCCCCCACGCAGGCAAGAAGCTCGGTGAAGGTACATACGCCGTGGTGTTTCTGGGTCATCTACGCGACGACCCCTCGACCCTGGTCGCCATCAAAAAGATGAAAAAGGTGTCCAAGGATTATGAAGAGGGCATGTCGCACGATGCCATTCGCGAAGTCAAGCACCTCCAGGAACTGCAGCACGATAATATTATTGCGCTGCGCTCCGTCTTCTCCTCCAAAGACCAGAACCTCAACCTCGTCCTCGAGTTTCTGCCCCTGGGCGACCTGGAGATCCTTATCAAGGGCGATCAGCAGCGCAAGATCCCCGGTGTCCGCTACGGCGCTGCCGATATCAAGGCGTGGATGGGCATGCTCACGCGGGCCGTCTGGTTCTGCCACGAGAACTTTGTGCTGCACCGCGATATCAAGCCTAATAACTTGCTCATCGCGGCCAACGGCGAGCTCAAGCTTGCCGATTTCGGTCTCGCGCGTGGCTTCGCCGATCCGTATCAATACATGACAGCCAATGTCATCACACGATGGTACCGACCACCCGAGCTGCTCTTTGGCGCGAAGCATTACTCTGGCGCTGTTGACATCTGGTCTGTGGGCACCATCTTTGCCGAGATCGTCCTGCGCAATGCATATCTGCCCGGCGGCACGGAGCTGGAACAGGTCAAACTGATCTGCGAGGCTATCGGGACCCCAACAGAGGACAATTGGCCCGGCGTGACGAAGCTGCGAGACTACGCCGTGCCCTCCACCAACCCAGTCCGTGGGAAAGCCTACTATGAGAGGACCTTTGAGATCCTGGGTCCCGAGGGCGCGGATCTGCTCATGCGGACGTTGACCCTCAACCCAAACCGTCGTATCACGGCAAAGGAGATGCTACAACACTCGTACTGGCTGGCCCAACCACAGCCCACCCGCAAAGAGGACCTGCCGCGCAAGGCGGGAGGAGAGGAGACGATGGGTGCTGATCTGAAGCGGAGACCTGGCGTGGTCGAAGAGGACCGTGGCAGTCGAATTGCTCGAAAATTAGATTTTGGTGCCGGATAGGTAGATGGGAAATTATGACAGACTGTACACTATCTATCTCACGATGACGCCTCCCACTCAATTGTTCATGGCCTCCTCCTCGCCTGTGGGCGCCCCATTCTTGGCAACGTGCCCAAACAGACACTGCCATAGATCATTCTTGTCAACCATCTCGCCAGCCGTCCTGTCCTTGCTCATCAGCTTAGTGAGGGCAGCCTGCTCCATCTCCAGCGTGTTGGCCGCCTCGAGGGTTTCGTCCAGCGACCCTGCCTTCTCCTTCCCCTTGCCGTTGACGACGGCACGGGCAGCGTGCTCCAGGCGCCTCTCCACACTGAGGCTGTAGATGCTTTCCTCCACGGTGCCCTGCGTCACGTACAGCCACACCGTTGTCTCGTGCTGCTGCCCGATGCGGTCGACGCGGGCAATCGCCTGCAGCTCGAGCGCCGTGTTCACGAGAGGCTCGCAGAGGAAGACGTTGTTGGCGTTGACTAGATTCAGTCCGCTCGAGTGAGCTCGAGCGTGCATCAAAAAGGCCTCCACGGCCGGGTCCTGTTTGAAGCGTTCAATACCACCCTTTGCGTCGATGGAGGAGAAGCCGATCCGGTGCGCGTCAAATGCCGTGGACAGAATTTTGAGGAAATCCTTGTATTGCGAGAAGATAATGGATTTGGCTCCGGGATCGCTCTGCCGCAGCCATAGTAGATGGCGCACGATGGTGTCGACCTTGGTCGTGTAGGACGGTCCTTCGAGATCAATGTCCTGTATCTCGGACAGCTTGGCGGCGTCGAATTGGGAGTAGATGGTGCCCTTCTCCAGAATACCCGAGGTGCCCTCGGGGCTTGCCTGTCCGGCTTTGGCGTGTTCGTTCTCGGTCCCATGCAGCTTCAGTTCCTGAGACTTGAAGACAATGTCGTGTAGGGAGGAGGGCAAAAGGTGAGTCTTACACACCGGGCAATTGCGATGAGCCCTGTACCAGGTCTTCATGCAAGGCTTGCAGAACTGATGCCCGCACACAGTCAGGACGCCAATGTCAAAGTGTGTTTGGCAAATGACACAAAGGCGGCCCTCGTCCGACTTGGTACCCGTGTCCTTGAGGTTGAGTACTATAGCAAGTCAGTACGATAATCTGATACGGCAGTCCATGGCGGTGTAACTTACGGTACCGGTGTTTGGACTTGGCAGAAGCCAGCTTTTGCGTCAGATCTTCTTCATACTTCAGCATCCGCTCGGCCGCATCCTCGGTCTTGGGTCCTTCATAGGGCAGAACGCTGTCGGAAACGCTCTGCATCTGTCGGTAGTATTCCAGCCGTGCATTCATCGTGTCACGGAACGACTCGAGCTCAGACTCGAGGGCTGTCGCCGCCTTGTTCTGCTGTGTGAGCGCCGTCTGCGTGGCCTTGAGCATGGCGGCCGCGATGGCGTGCTCATTACGGACCCGGTCCGTTTGGCTGCTCTCCTTGCTCAGACGAGTGGCCAAGCTGCGAAGATCCGCAAGAGCCCCTCTCATGCTAAAGTCGGCCACACGAGGGTTGACCTGCTGCCGGATCTGCATCAGCTCAAGGAGCTTGTCGGGCATGGGCCCGCCTCCTTCTCTCGCCAGTCGTATCGCCTGCTTCGTCTCGTAGCTCACCAACTCGTTCGGTGGCTGGCCACTCATGGCATCTTGACGGTCGGCGATGGCGGCACCAAGGGCCTGAACGTAGACAATCAGTTCTTCCTGCATTTTCGCGGCATCCCCCATCTCTTCACCCGTAGTCTCCAGGCCAGGGTCCTCGTCTTGATCCATCAGAGGCTTGAGCAGTAGCTGAACGGCGTGCTCGCGCCATTGGTCAATTACATTGGCTTGTTCATTCATCGCACCGTGGAGGGCCTCCAGATCGCCGGCAACGCGGCTACTCTCGATCCCACCATGCAATTCCGTGGGCAACTCGGCGATTTCGGTGAACTTTTGGCGGGTGGCCATCTCCGAGAGCTTTTGCATAGTACCACTTGCTTTGTGGTGGCTGCTCTTGAGGAGCTCCTTTCGGATGAGTTTCGCCTCTTCGTATGCCTGGTCTTCCGCCTCCTTGAGCTTCTCAAAGTCCGCGCTCTCTGGCACCGTCATTTCCGTGTTCTCTCGAATCTGGAAGTAGGCGTTGGCGCAGAAGAACACTGCCTTGTGCTGCGTCTCCAAAGCCTGTCGAAGTTTGCGTCGCCACTCGGCGCGAACCGCGCCCTTGTTGTCGACAGACTCATCATCGGTCGAATCCATGTCAAGCGACGACGCTGATTTGTCTGCACGAGAGGAGTGCGCGCTAGCCTCAGAAAGGCCTGCCCTGGCTTCGGCTACCATGGCAGCAGCCTCCTCCCTTACCGCTGTCCAGATCGACAGTGCCTCGCGTACGCGCGGCGAATTCTCGTACAGCTGGCCGCGGGTCAGCCTGCTACCGAGGATAGAGCGATGATGCGCCTTGATGCCATTGTCGCTTTGTTCAATCATGGCCCGGAGAACTTCATCAAGAGTCCGCATGGGACGGTTGCTGTGGCCTAACACCCGTCTGCTGTACGCGCCAATCTCTGGATGCAGTGCTGTCTGACGCAAGCGGTTGAGCCAGGTTCGCATGGCCTCCTCGTAGACCGAGGGTTTCCAGTCTTCTACAATGGGTTTGCCCTGCTCATCAACATCGCAAGCTTCAGTCATCTGCTTGAAGAGCGACTGGTAATGCTGCTCCTCGACGGCGGTGAAGGGCACGCTGATGGCGAAGCGGTGTTGGGGAGGCAGCGCTATCTCGTGGCGCACAAGCGATTTCGTATGTCTGATGGCTATCGTCCCAACTAGGCTTTGCAGAACAGGCTTGTACTCTTTCACGAGAAACTTCCAGACAGTCGGCGTGGTGAGGGGCTCATACCGAAGGAAGGTCAACAGGTGGAAGAGGTCCGAAACGTCGTTCTTCAGGGGCGTGCCAGTGATCGCCCAGGAATTGACGCGAGGTATGGCACGCGCTGTTTCGGCCGCGTTGCTGAGGCCGTTCTCGATCATCTGCGCTTCGTCGATGCATAGCCTCCACCAGTTGATCCTGACCAGAGGGGATTTCGGTCGCTCATACTTGCGTTCAGTGCGGCGTGACCGCTGAGGAGGTTCCCGGGCAAAGTGGACTTCTGACTGCAACACGTGGTAGGTTGTGATGACAACGTCACTGCTGGACAGCCGCTTCACCAAGGCATCGTCGTTGTCAGGCTGTGACTTGGCACACCCGTTGTAGATCTCGACCTGGAGTATCGGGGCATGGCGCGCGATCTCCGACACCCACTGATCCCTCAAAGACTGAGGGACCACGAGCAGCGTGCCTCCACTGGGCGGGCCGTCTCCTGGTTCTGGATCTGGTCGGGGATGCATCAGCACCAGGCCGATGATCTCCAGCGTCTTGCCCAGACCCATCTCTTCCGCCAAGATACCACCTCTCATCGCAGTTTCTATTTGCCGATAGTGCACAGTGTCTCGGACGATGGTCTGCATAACGTCACTGACATAGGCCGGTTGGCCTTGCGTATCCCTTATGAGCCTGAAGCTGTCGGTGATCGGCGAGGCGGTCTGCTCATCGCGCACAACTGTTCCGGCTGCCGTGCATCGCACGCCCTCACGCCTGAGCAGCCACTTGAGACTTCTGCGCTGATACGGGAACAACGTAGCCTCCAGCCCCGGCACGGAGGAAAGTGTGTCGTCTGTTTCGTCTGCAGAGGGCACATGCGCGGCATCGTAAAAGTCCATGGGCGACGATGCAGCACTGTCAGGCGTAGTCTTGGGAAAGAAGCGGTCGATGAGGGCCTCCGAAGCGCCCCGGCTGTCCGTGTTTCGAAGACCCTGTCGAGGCGATTGCGTCTCATTCCAATAGAGCCGACCCTGGATGGTGAGTCTGGCGCCGTCCGCCGTCTTCACGATGGACATGTCATAGTCGGACCAGATAGCACCAGGGACGTCACTGGGTGCCTCGCGTCCAAATTGACGAAGGATGCGGTCGAAGCCACCCTCCACTTGTGCATGGCTGAGCGAGAACACAAACCTCTGCCTGATACCGCTAGAAGCCTTTGTGTCGAAGCAGAATGTCTCTCGACGTTGTCCACGGAAATATCGTCTGTATCCAGTTCTTGGCTGTCTAGATGGGTCGGGTCTGAATGATTCGGGAGGATCATAATGGGAACCAAAGTCCAAATGATGACCGACGTTGCGATGAAACCCGAGTAATGAATGATACTCAGAGGGCACGGGCGTCTCTGAGATCAAAGTCAGAGATCCCTCCGCAACGCAGACAGCATGAGCCATCGACGGCGGCGTCCTTTGGACCTTGCGTCGCTTTGGCGGACGACCCGGGCCATCCTGGTCGGCAACAGCCTCAGGCTTGAGAAGAGACCCAATAACTTGGAATAATTCCGTCGGAAAGGGACCTGCAGCATGGTTGATGAGCGACAGCAGCATTTATCTTGAGAGAACTTACCTCCTGGGTCTACAACGTGAACGTCGTAAGGGCGAGGCCGCCGAGCAGTTGGCTTAGTTCGAGCCATGAGTATCTCACAGCATGTCGCGGTCGATATTATGCATCAGAGTGCTTAGGTTTGTGAGTGGCCGGGGTCCATGCAGAGCAATAAGCAATGTTGTACAGGTAAGTTGGTGGTTGAGGTTCGCTGGCAATCGAAACGCGATGTAAAAGCTCACTTATAGTTGGGGCGAGGCTGAGAAGTAAGTAAAAGGAATAAAGAGCCGTTACTGTCCAGTCACACGAGATACAAGCTGGGGTTGTTCCTGGGGTAGACCTTTCTAGATAAGTACCTTATGTAAGCATGGAAGCAGAGTAGAGTATCAGGCTGTGCTATTTGGGACGTATGGGAGGTGATGGAACTGTGTGTGTGATTCCGTGGTAGAGACTGCGTGGCGATTCACCTGCAACGTGCGCTGCAGTCACGTACTGCGAAATGTCCTGGAATCTGGTCCAGGCAACCAACTGCAGCAAATGCTGGATCGCGATTGCGATTGCGCCAGTGAGAGCCGGTCCGCCTCTGTTTCTATAGGTTATCAATTGTTTCTACCGCCAATGCTTGGGAGTAATTATTCCGATAAGCATCAGAGGTTATATAATGATGGGCGTGGTTGTACGCGGCTAAGTGTGAGCCCGCCAGGCATGTCTTGACCGACCGCGTCGCTGACTAATCTGCCTGGCCAAAATTTCCAGCTTGGCCTCGGACGTCAATCTTGGGTCCTTCGCATAGCAGGAATCAAGACTGCTCGAGTTGACTGCCGACCGCAACCCAATTTGCTGTAAGGCCTACATCAGACTTCTCACCGTGCCTCGTTCTCTAATCCATCTACAGTAGATGACTCTCGAACGTTGGAGGCCAGTGTTGCGCCTCTGGGCGCCCACGCCGTATGCGACAGCCATTCGAAACCAGACCAGATGCCTCCACAGCACGCGCCCTTCGCATCCGATACCGTCACCGCGTCCATTCGTGCCCGACGTGGAAACCTTCCTTACACTGATTGGCCGTGGCCTGAGCCGATACGCATCCAAGTTCCCATCGTGGGACTCTCTCTTCTCCTTGACCGGCCCTGAGCTGCAGCAACTCGGCATCGAGCCAACACGCAACCGCCGCTACCTGCTACGATGGATGCAGAAATACCGCAAGGGCGATCTGGGGCCGGGAGGGGACTTTGAATATGTCAAGGATGGCGAGGCGATCTTGAAGCTCGCCCTACCGCCTGCGGACCAACTCAAGCAGACCAAGTTCGTGGTCAACGTCCCTCACCCCGAGGCCGAGGTGGCAGAGCCCCCAAAACTCCTACCGCGTCCCATGGGCTACACTGTCAGGGGCGAGAAGACAATTGCTGGTCCGTACGCCATGCCGCTCCCGCAGAGTGGCGTTAGCGTCAAGGTCACCGAGGGAATGTGGGAACACCGTCGTGGCCGTAAGATTGATGGCGGAGAGCGCAGGAGATCAGAGGTCTTGTTCAAGAAGCGTTCGGCTGAGAGACGGGCACAGCGCGAGGCTGATTTGCTCTCCAGGCTGTAAGGTTACATCTGTGTTTAGTAGTCGGCGATTCTTTGTACAAACACAACGTGTAATATTACATCAATAGATGATGAGCGATTCATCGAAAAGAGCATGGTACTGGGCGGTGTGTGCATACATCTCAGCAGCCCATTCAGTCACTGGCACTGTCTTCGTTCCCCAAGTACTGCACGGTGCCTTTCTCTAGCCCACCCAGATTAATGTATGCACTGGAGTACACCACACAGGGATTCTGCGTTCTGAGCAATTCTCCTTGCTCATGCTTGTGAGCCTCCTTTAGCAAGGTGATCATTTGATGACTGTCGCTGGTCCGTTGTCTACGGTAAGGTACTACGTACCTGAACCTCAGGGTCCACTACTCCCCGACCGCCCGGCAGAGTATCTCGTCGCCACTTTTTTTTTCAACCAGGCTGTCGCGGCTGCCCAGAAGTGAGAACATTGTCAAAATTCGGACCTACAAGAGGACGACTTGCGATTGCCTCAGCACCTTCACGACCCTACCTCCCGATCAAATCAAACACAAATTCGTAGACGGACCGGGAAAAAACAGGCGGCAAACATGGACCCAGAGGCTTCCGCCGCGCCCAGCGCTCCGATGGCTGACCTGAAGGGTCAGTAGAAGCTCGTGTACAGCGAATGTTAATGCTGACTATTATTATAGCGGCCAAGGCGAAGCGTGCCAACGAAGCGCGCGCCAAGCGCACCGAGGAGCGCAAAGCAAAGCGTCGCATCAAGGCCGAAGCCAAGAAGGCCCGCAAAGCCAACGTCAAGCCCTCGGCCAAGTGGACACCGGAGCGCAAAGCAGAACTGAAGGCAAAGGGGAAAGCCAAGCGCCCAGCCAAGACCGAGCGGAAAAAGGCACGCCTGCTCATCCGGGCGCAGAAGCTGCGGACGCAGGCCGAGAAGATGCTAGCCGAGGCCAGGAAGGCTGAATTGCAACACCAGCAGTGGGTTCGAGAGCAGGTATGAAACGAGCATGATCTCCTACCCAGGATATGAGGCTGACAAACATAGGCGAAGTTGAAGGAGGCCGAAGGGAACGAGGACGCCGATATGAAAGACGATACATCTGATTCGGAGTCGAGCTCCGACTCGGACTCTGACTCTTCCGACTCCACCTCCAGCTCTGACTCGGGATCCGAATCGGACGACGGCGGCGTAGCTGTCAAAAAAGAGGTCAAGACTGTGCCAGCCGACGAGGTTGTCATGAAGAAACGACGTGAGAGCGACGCTGCCTCCGTTCTGAGCGTGCCCCCGGCCTCCGACACCGAAACGAAGAAGAGCAAGAAGGACAAGAAGAAGGGAAAGAAAGAAAAGGACGTCAAGGAGCCAACCAAGAAGCGCAAGAGCGAGGATGATGACGAGAAGAAGACCAAGTCGAAGAAGCGCAAGTCCGAGGACGTCGCCGAGGATGCCGCCGCCGGCGACAGTGAGAACTGGAACGTGGACGAGCTCGAAGGAGGCGAGGCTCGCCAGGCCAAGATGATGCGCCTCTTGGGTGGTGGCAAGGCCAGCGCACCGGCAGCGGCCAAGAAGGCAGCCAAGTCAAAGGGCAGCTCGACAAAGGCGGAAGCAGAGATTCAGCGCCAGTTTGAGGAGGGCATGAAGGTGAAGAACGAAGGCGGCAACCATCGTCGTGGTCTAGGAGCGTAGGGAAGATCAATCAATACCAGTGGAACGAGCAGATCAATGGTCCCTCCAAAACTGGGACGGACGGATATCCCACGCCGGTTGATTTTGTCAATGGAAAAGTGATAATTAACTTATGGAAAATGCGCGGTCGCTGTGAGCAGCCTAAGCCCGCACGCAAGAAACCCCATGAAACGACCGCCGTTGCCTTTTGCCCGTTGCGCCATGTATATATGTACACGTAAATGATTTTTCTCCATGTCGAACCCGTGCGCTGCCCGTCATGCTGCTCACAATACCGTTCTGTCGTCCGAGCTCGAGGGGCAGCTGTCGCGTGTTCGTTTCCCCCTTGTCTTCCCGCCGCGACGAGGCGTCGTCGCAGACTCGGCGACTTATCCAAAAAATCGAGAAAGAGCTTCGAAGACGAGACCGCCGAACACAATGAATCCGAGAACGGCTGGGCGAGCTATTAGTACTTGTCGACGCGGTTTGGGTACCGGCGGAACGTACCAGCCCAGAACATGGAGATGGGAGACTTCTGCACTTTTTCCACCCGCTTCCTAAGCTGCTCCTCCGACTTGCCCATCTTCGCCTCGTTCTTCTTGGCGAATTGGGCGTTGCGCCGGCGTTGCTCGGGAGTTTGCGCCTGCATTGATCGTCAGCCTCTGTGGCAAGTGAGGGTCTACATAGGGGTACTGTTGTTGATGCCACGTACCATGACTAGGAGACTGTTGCGATCTTTGGGATTTTTCGAATGAATACAAATAGAGAGAGGGGAGAGAAGAAGCGAGTGGTAGGGACCAGGCGTGTACTGGCTGTTATAAGACGTCGACGACGGGGACAGATTTTGGTTTCCAAGTCGAGATGGACATGTGGCAGTTAATCAATACGAGTCGCCTAGCTCCCCTGCAGCTAACTGGACAAGGCAGGACCCCTGGAGTGTGGCGCTCGAAACGCGGGGAGCACAGCCACATTTCGTACTTGGGAGTATACACGTATGGCGTTTTCATGAATCTAATATATCCTGACCAGATATTCAGATGACACTCATCCTGGACGTCTGGACACTGCTCGACACGCAAGATCTTCCAGGTGCCCTGCATCCTGCGATTGTACCGTTCGCGCCTGTTGTGAGGTTCACTCTCGAGTCAGCAAGGTAGATTTGGCGGCCGTGCGTTAATTAAAGCAAGGGCATATACACGATAAATTGCCTAAGCTCCCTGTGATGAAGTAGCAGTGCGTTAATATTCTCGTTCGTCGGGCTAAATTAGATTAGCTCAAACACAACTGAACAGGATGTCACCAGGTGGACAAAGGGGTTCATTGTTCAGTCCCGGAAGACGAGCACCGTGTCGGCCGAGACCCGGGAGACAGCGCCTGCTCACGTGACACCTGCGATCTTGTCAGGCAAAGACCGCCATGCGGCCATCTCAAGCCCATACTCATGCTGTGCACAAACTCACAAATCATGAACGCATCTCGATTAATACCGCTGCGGCGCATGCCTCTGGCGCCGCTCTCTATCAGCCAGCGACGGCTTTACGCGTCCAAGGCGCCCAATCCAGCTGTACAGACCCATGCCTAGAGAAAGTGCTCCCAAAAGACATAACATTGACGCGCAAGCAGTCACAATTCTATAAGACGTTCACTCGCCCCGTCGCGAAGGTTCTCCTCATAGCTGTGTTTACGTACCAACTCATCTATTGGTCCTGGGTCAAGCTTGATACCGAGGAGACAAAGGCACAAGCGGACGGTAAGGCCTCTCCACAGCAATGACGGCATTGGTGATGCTGAGACGTGCACAGCTACGATTGCAGGTCTCGAGGCTCAAGTGGACGAATACAAGAAGAAGGTGCTCGCAGAAGCCAAGTCCAAGAGCTCATGAGGACGGGTTCCGCGTACCAGTCCAAGACTGATGTGTGAGAGTGTACAAATGGTCCAAAAGCCGCGTGACGGAGGCTTTGTATTATAGTATTGGTCATTATCATAGCAGCAATAGTAATAAGGCAGTCGCCGATAGCAGCCCATTCAGAGCGCTCCGAGGCAGAAGGGCGCCCGCAGCATTTGGGCGAGATCGCGGCGTCCCGGGATAGTTGCAGGACAACGCACCGGACTCTGACTTCTCCCCGTAGCTGTACTCGAATCCCGTCATGCCTGGCAATGGGCACCCAAACCCCATCGAATGGGGGCAGCTCTGCACTACTTCGTAGCAGATTTCCCCACAGGGCAGGATCTCCTTGTATGGCCCTGGCCCGACCTCCTTGTCGATGAAGCTGTTTCTCGATGCGTTGTAGCCGGGGACGTCCATCAAATGGCGCCGCGACTTGCCGCCCTCCTCGTCGGGAACGAATGAGCCATTCGGGAACGCTGCGCCCACGTTGCGAGGAATGGCATATCTGTTTTCACTGGAGTAGTCCTCGCAACGGGGTATGGCTACTGTGCACAGCCAGCGCTTGTACGCTGTTTTGCAATCCTCGCAGTTCCTGGCGAGTGAATATTGTGAGGTTGGATCTGTCTCGCACTGTTCCTGTGCCAAGACCGTCTCAAAGTGGCCATACATCTTCCGAGCGTAATCATCGTACACTTGGGCCAGCTCGGTACCATTGAGTTTGCCATTGCCGGGAACAGCGTGTTGGTTCTCGGTGCAGAAATCCAAGTCAGTGATCACCTTGCATATTGTCCCTGGCACCGTCAGTATGTACATCACAGTCAGGGAGAAACGCTCACTCACCAGTCAGTGTAGCGAAGTCGGCGGGATCGAATGCCAGAAACCTCCGCATGTTCCCCGTACTCTCACCTGGTGTCTGGCTCTTACTAACGTTAAAGTGCTGGTCTTCCTGTGTATTCGCCACCTGCACCATGATCGCACGATACGTCGACGTCTCATTCAAACCCTCAAAGTAGAAATGCTGCCGTGGTAGCTTGTCCTCTCCACGGATGGACGTGTTCGTTCTGACAAGCATGCCTAGTCGACCATTTCCGTTATTGGTGGCCGAGATGAGAGCATTTTGCTGGATGCCGCACAATGAGCGCTCGATCCCGTTGAACACCGGCCAGCGCATGTTCTCAACGTAGAGCTCATACGGAGGGTTTGTTTTCATAGATTCCAGCCTGTCCTTTGGCGAATACTCGAACTGTTGGGTCTGCAGCAGCGCAGCACTCGAGTCACTGTCCATCCACATGAGCTGACCCTGCCCTTTCTTGTTGTCGGCTTGCCAGTCGTGGTAGTACCCGTCTTCTGATATAGCAACCTCAAAGTTGTAGTCGCCCTCAAAATCATCGGATACATTCGGTGCCAGTATAGTCACATAGACCGGATCGTCTTGGTCATCGACAGACAATGTTGCGAGCCCTTCGTCAAATTCCACCCACATGTCTTTATTCATGCCATTTGTGGTGATCGGACATCCGTCCTCCTGAGATACAGATGCCAACAGTCGAAGCTGCGGCGCGGTTTTCGCGTGCGCGTCATCTCCCACAAAATCCGGCCGAAGACATGTCGTCGCAGACAGGTAGAGTTGGCTTTTAGAAGTCTGGCGTGTGCTCTTGTCTCTGGACTGGACTTCAATGGGACCATCGAGACTGTCGGTCTGGCTTTTGTTGCTAGACTGGACGTTTCTTCTCCTGTTGGAATCGCCTGTGGACGACAGGACATAGCAGCGCGTGGAGCCTGGAGAAATAATGAACCCCTGAGGCTTATCCAGCTCTATCGGGAATGATTCTGATGGTGCCCGGCCCATGACGCTGCGGTCGAACAACTCAAAGTCCGGTTCGTATGAAAACTGAGCCGCATTGTCGGCTGGCAGGAAGTCTGCGCCGACTTCCGCTTCGGTTATCGACGCATCGAGGGAGGCCGTAGACAACTTGGGGGCGAGAAGTAGAGAAAGTACGACGCCAATGGCCATGGTGAATCAACAGCAGCCGTGGTTGGGCGACCAGGAGAGGTAGTATCGGTTGCGGACGTAATTCGATGTGTTGGACAACTGGGGCCCTCGATTTCGCAGTTCTGTGACTTCTGTTCGGTCAAGCGTCCGTATTACGCGTCATCCAGTACGGCAATCCATTTTCTGGAAGCATTCAAGACGCAGGGGACGAGTCGAGTTTTGGAATGGTCTCGAAAATGGGATTGGTTTGAGATGGTCGTCAAACATCAGGGTCCTGGACTCCTGATGCGACGGATAGTGGTCTCCACTAAATCTCACGCGGCCTCTTTGTGTGACTGCGCGTCCCTGAATGCAACACGACGCCTAGGGGCAACAGCTCCAAAGGTTGACCTACCTCAACATGGCTGTTGATTTAGTCGGCGATCGCTGACGTGATATTTTCTGTTCTCTATTGCTAAGCATGCCAATACTGCTGTTAGGACTCGAGACTGTACCTAGTGTGTTGCAGCTTCAGACGAAGGTCAGGGTCCAGGGCAAACATATCCATACCAAAGGTTCGAACATCGAATCTGACGTGAATTACTCGCCTACTCGTACTATGCTCTTGAACCTCCAACTGCCCCAACCACCTACATATGAACCCCTTTGGCTCTCGGATTTTCCACCGCCACACGAGTAGCTACATCCAACGGATGTAGGCTACAGCCTTTCAACATGAGTTCGCAGCACCCATATATCTTCCTCTTGAATTCCTCAAACCCTTCAACCTTCTCGTAGCGCATAGCTCGACCCGTGGGATGCTCGCGTAAGCCCGGGAGTTCAGTTCAAGCTTACTATTAGTTGGCGCATGAGAGCACCATGGGCGAGAAGCACTGAATCATTGGCCTGTTGGCAGGATCCAGATTGAGACCCTTACTGGTCCTTAGTAAAGCCCTCGGCCTTGGATCGAAGGTTCGAAGCAGTAGATCCAGACTGGAAATAGCGGCCCATGGTGGGGGCAAGGAACGAGCGGAAGATGATTTGAGCACCGCTGTAGCGTGTCAGTAAGGCAAATAGCCATCACGAAGAGCGCGGGGAATGACTTACTGGAAGGGAGGGAGCGCCAGCCACAGAAGGAAGACGAACTTGAAGACGAAGTAGAAGGGGAACCAGTAGATGATGTTCACGAAGCTCTCCAGAACGGTGAAGAAGGCAAAGACGACCCAGTACTTCTCCGTGTCAGCGCATACTGCCGCAATATTGGATATGGGGAGTGAACTTACAGTCAACCACTGTGTGTCGTCGCTGGAGCCTGGGCTGAACAGGGCAGCCATGGAGTAGTAGCCAGGGATGACGAAGCCGGCAAAGTTGGTCAGGAGCTGACCACCAAGGTTGAAGATAATCAGGAAGAAGTAGAGCGCAGCCAGTCCCAGCACGGCATAGGCTTTGGGGACGCCAGCCTGCTTCTCGAGGTTATTCAAGGTGGGGTACTTGGACAGCTGGAAGAACCGGTCAGCGCATGTTCATTGCAAGAGGGAGAAGATGGCAAAGTACCTCCTTGTCGAGCTGCCCAAGGTAGTTCTGGATGTTGGCCTGCGCGGAAGACATCTTGTATCGTTGGTATGGATGTGGTGTTGCGATTTGCGTGTGTGCGCGGAGCTGTGTGTGGGCTGACGAGGGCTTCGCGGATGCTCGGTCTGGGTTGCGGAGGGGTAATAATGCGAGGTGACTAGCACGCGGGGAAGGTCGGAGGTTGTGGTATATGCGTTATGAGGGATAGATGGGATTGCGAGGCCAGCGAGAACGATGCGACGATGCGAGGTTGGCAATCACAATATTCCAACAGTGTGATGTATTAATGTGAACACAGCTTTGTGCAGCCGACGGACGATCAGCTCTGAGACAAGCCGTCGGCGGGCTGAGGGCGGGCCTTGTTGCTCATGCGTCAAAAGGCGTTATCATCGTCATTCAGTGGGGCCTGATGGTGACCCCCCATTCCATCTTGACAGCGGACAGCGAGTGCACAACTTGCCATCGCAGCAACATCTCTGAACGCCCAAGCATTGTATAATTAATCGGATACACGATTAAATCTAGGGCGTGATAACTGCCACCTCCAGTATCGTGGGGGCAAGCGGACCCCCTTGAATACTCGGGACTGGTCTGCTTACGACTGTTCATGTGGTTCGTCCGTGACCCTGCCTGCTCTAGCGCATCGAGGATGCACATGTGCTCTGTTTAGATAGCACGGCATCACAGTTGCGGGTGCACGAAGAGTTGATTGGGTCCTACAAGCTCAAAACCAGGCCTGCTCTTGGACGACGCGAGAGCCCGCCGCGGTGAGCATTCTACTGGTGAGCACTTGGTACGTCTACCAACCGAGGCAGGCAGTGGTATTGTGATAATACGTACGTATAATAATGCACAAGAAACCGTAACGGCGTGTTATGATGGCTGAAAATGGTCTGAAATTGCGATGGCTGGGGATGGAATTGTCGCTAATGAGTGGGCGTGCCAGCGGCTGCTTACATAACGGCGCAAAACAAAGGCGGGCACAAGGTTCTTCTCGGACCCGCGGTTGGCCTCCCAACGTCAAAACAGACCTGGAACCACAACAATCGATCTTTTTGACGACGCCTCTGCCTCGACGCGTGGGCGCCTGTAGAACTTATCCTCCCCGTTGCGACAGGTATCGACGCGATTGTCTTGTTTCCTTTTCTTCTTCTATCGAACGAAACGACCGAATTTTGGAAGCGCCACTGTTTTGCCCATATATTCCGGCTTTGGGGATGTTTGTTGTGGCACAGGCGCAGCGTGAAGAAGAAATTACAACAACCCTCCTCTCCTCCTTTTCCGCCAGCCGTGTCGCGTAGCCGCAAGGCCATGGATCAGCGTAAGTAGGCCCTGTTTGTACCTGAAGCACGCGTCAATGCCTTCCCATCGCAGTCAGCATGCTAATTGCTTCACTTCACAGACGGATCCCTGGGGGAGCGGCCGGGATCAGGAACCCGACCTCGATCGCAAGATTCGACCACATCTACGCGCAGCATCACCACCCAACACCCCGTAGACCCAAACAGCTTTCTCGAACTCAGCAACATGTACGCCAATCAATGGCACAGATCCCAGCACCATAATATGCAACCGCGTCGGTCCATGAGCAGTCAGCAACTTGGTTCGGAGGCCATGTTGGTGCATGCCACTCATCAGTTGCAGGGGGGACCAAATGGCTTCTCCATGGGCAATGACGGTCGTCTTTCTCAGCACCCAGCCGGTTTGCAGCCTCATCATGGGGTGATGCCCAATCGCGGAGGCAGTGATCCCCACGGCTTGGCCCACATTGACCAGGTGCCCTGGGATGATGCAGATATCTCCATGATGGAGACTGGAGACGGTAACGAGAACATGGACTTTTCCCGGAAAAGCGGAGCCAAGGATTCCAAGAAGTCCAAGAAACGATCCAACGCCAATAACGATGGAGAGATGCGAGACTTGTTTGATACCAACAAGGCAAAGTCTTTAGAGGATGTCGCAAACGAACTGCGTGGGAACGAGCGTGGTCCAAAGGCCGAGAGGAAACGCCAGCTGTATGCCATGCTGTGGTAAGCTGAACTCCTAGCCCCCAACCTGAGAGCCAGCTAACGCCCGTTAGGCTCAATGCGTCGTGTGTGGAAAGCAAGAACTCGATCCCCCGAGGTCGAGTCTATTCCATGTATGCATCCCAATGCTCTGACGACAGGGTGATTGTTTTGAACCCTGCCAGCTTCGGCAAGCTGGTGCGCATTCTGTTCCCTAACATACAGACTCGGCGGCTGGGTGTGAGGGGCGAGTCAAAGTATCACTATGTGAATTTTGACTTGAAAGAGCAACCAGCAACTGAGAGGGGCACCTCCCGCCCCTTCCATGCACCCAACGATGTCCCTACGGAGAAGAGCCCCGAGGTGGACTTCAACACAACGATCACAAAAGACCCTGCGCCGCCCAGTACTCAGCTGCCGAGGCTTGACGACGTGGCCCATCGTCGATCAGAGACGAGGGCGACGGACAGTATACTAAGCTCGAAAGCGCACAGCCGCTACAATATGCCACATACGGACATTAATACACCCTGCGCCAAAACACCTCTGCAGCTCAGCTTCATGAACGAGGCGGATCGGGCGGCAGACTCAGCCGAGCCCATCACACTACCTTCTATTGGCCGTTACCTGCCTGCGAACACGGACACCGATGCTGCTCAATCGCTCACAGCCCTGTATCGATCACATTGTACATCTATAGTCGAAAGTCTGCGATACTGTCGAGAGAAGAGTTTCTTCCACCTGTACGAATGCTTCCACGGAACGCTGACCACGCCTGTTCAAAGACTGTTTGCACATCCAAAAATCGCCGGATGGATTGAGGAATGCGATATCCTTCTCTACCAACGGTGCACGAGACTCATTGCGCACTTGTCGCACCAAGTCATTCCACAAAGGGTTATGAGCTCGATGCGCAAAATTTCCGAGCGCCTGGTAGGACACATTCACGAATCGTTCCGCGGGCAGCCGAGCCATGTCCTGGAGGCCAAGATCGGTCCCGCGACGGTGTTTGCGGGTATCATGGACAGGATGCTGCGCGTCAACGTCTCCGCCCATGCCATGGTGCGGGAAATGACGAATGTTGCGAATCGGGACCAGATGTTTGTTGATTGGGTCCAGAATATCAATCCGCGCAAGATTGCCGAGTGCGTACCCACGTGGGGGATGGACGATGTGGTGAACCTACTCTTAACAGAGCTGAGGGATCTGCTGGAGCCGGAGAACGTGCCGCAAACCGAGGATTTTGCCATTTACATGTCGTCGCGGTCCCAAGAGCTTCGGCAGAATGGGCAAGAACCCGGTAGGAGGGCAACGGGGCGTTCCCACATTGAAAGGCTGGAGGCCTTCTTGATGAGTCTGCCCTCCAAGTTTCCATACGCTTCCCATGCGGACATTGCCTGGTGCGTGGAAAGAGTGGGCACCACGATTGTGCGAGATTTGACCATTGGCGGACTCTCGAGTTTCAGCTCATGGCTTGTACTCAAGGTGTTTATTGATGAGGAGATTTGGTTTCTGGCGGAGGCTGGAGGCTTTCTGCGTACCACCTCGATCCGCGGGGACGTTGGTCAAGACGATTCGGAAGCACCCAGCAAACGTGTTTCCAGCAGCAGCGGTGCGGTTCCCGACAATGCTGGTCCTACCGAATCCGCTTTGCCTTTGATCGCCGCCCCGACGTCACCGCGAGTCTCGAACCGGGCGCCATTCCCTCCCAAACCAACGGACAACTTTGCGGATACGACGCCTGATGTACATGACGACAGTGGGATCGGGATCCGCACACCGGATACGGATTTTCACAAGTTTACTTTTGGCAACGCAGAGCAACTGGTCGATGTCGACGGAGTACTGGACGGTGCAGGCCGAAGTGATCGGCCAGATGAGCTCATGATGAATGCTTGATGAAGACAGACATGGAGCTTGCCAGGTGAGGTCCTCGTCTTTGGTGTACGGAGTTATTTTGGTCGAGCTCGCACGCGGACCCAGCCAGGGCGCGGGTCGAGGACAACAGCAACTGTGCGCGGACTCAGGGGCGGGTATGGCATGAGGAACGGAACGGAACGAGGCATGATGAATACCAGGGTTCCGTGTGTGTGTCTGGGGTTGGGTTTGGATTTTGACTAAGCGTACGCGCTGGCTTCTTGGATGATTCCCAAAGCATTGATTTACTTTGCCGTATTGCTACAATGCAATGCATACCTCAAGCATCCGAGTTTCTATTCTAATGATATGAGTGTCAAGGTGCATGGATTGGAGCGCTGGTGGTGGAGTCTCGACTTTTGAGCGCTGTCCGAAAACGGAGGACAGCCATGTCGAGTCGAGTCACTTTCAGTGAATGTGCGCAGACAGGCAACAGGCCACCTTGTGTCGAACATCGAGTTCAAATCCGCTTTCAATTTGTGGGAAGTGCACCCGAATAAGCTCTGCGCTCGCTGACGGAGGACATAAAGCGAAGGAAGACTAATGTTGGCTTGGGAGCGTACATAATACTTCATCGTTGCCCTTGAGGGAAAAAAGTGACTCGGCGCCAATCGATAGTGACTGGACTGACTGACTGACTGACTGCGGCGGCGGATCCACCAGATTCAGGCACTAGACTACAATTTAATCGGCAGCGAACTACTTGTACACTTCCGACTCGGTGGCCAGCCATCCAGCCATCCATCCATCCATCGTCAGAGGGCATTAAAAAATTGGGCGCATCGCGAGTAGGATCCCCCATCTCATTCACACCTTGGTTCATCTTTCTCTCTGGCCCAATTGCATTCTTGCTGCATCGTGAGTCCTCACTCAAGTTGCTTGGCAGTAGTCTGTCACAATCCTGAGAAGCGAAAACCGGAATTGGGCCGCCCGCCGTCGGACCACGTCGTTTATTCCTGTGGCAGGATGGTGAGCGCCACCACGGACGTCGCCCTGCGTGGAAATGAGGAGGGTCTAGGATGGCTTGTCCAGAAGTTTGGTGGGACGAGTGTTGGCAAGTTTCCAGACAAGGTATGTCCTCCAGAGCCAGCTCATGGTGACGGACAGATATCTGACTTTTTACCTGACAGATTGCCCGTGATATTGTCAAGTACGTTGCCTCCATGATGAAACCGCGCATGTGAGAGCGTGAGGGGGACCTGGGCTGACTGTAGGAACCAGAGCGAGTTTGGCTGGAAACAGAGTGGTCGTCGTATGTTCAGCGAGGAGCACAGGCAAGAAGGCAGAAGGCACCACAAGCCGGTACGTTTTACACATGCTATGCGAGATTTTGTGAGCTCTAGTTTGCTCATCATATCCCTACAGACTCCTGGGCGTGTACGAGAAGCTGCGTGCCGTCAACACGGCTGGTGCCAGTTATGAGGACCAGCAGCAGCTCATCGAGGAGGCCAACGCGCTCATCATCAACATCTGCAACGACCACGTCTTTGCGGCCGAGTCCTTTGTCCCAGAGACTGGCAACCTTCGGTCCAATCTGATCGAGTGTATCAAGGCAGAGTGCCAGGAGCTGAGCGAGTACATTGTCGCCGCGAAACGCTTCAACCTCGAGATCAATGCCCGGTCCAAGGATCGCGTGGTGAGCTTTGGCGAGAAGCTGAGCTGCATGTTCATGACCGCCCTCCTCAAGGGTACCGGCGTGGACGCTGAATACGTGGATCTCTCCGACATCTTCCACAATGACACAGCCAGCGCGCTCGGACAGCAGTTCTACACAATGGCCGCGGCGGCCTTCGCCTACAAGGTGGAACGCTGCGGATCGCGGATCCCCGTGGTTACGGGCTTCTTTGGCAACGTGCCGGGAAGTCTGATGGAAGGCGACATTGGGCGAGGCTACACAGATCTGTGTGCTGCGCTGTTTGCGGTTGGGCTTGGGGCACAGGAGCTGCAGATCTGGAAGGAGGTGGACGGCATCTTCACGGCCGACCCGACCAAGGTGCCCACGGCCAGTCTGCTGACAAGCATCACGCCCTCGGAAGCGGCTGAGTTGACCTTTTATGGCTCCGAAGTCATCCACCACCTCACCATGGACCAGGTCATCCACGCCGAGCCCCCGATCCCGATCCGCATAAAGAACGTCAACAACCCTCGGGGTAATGGCACCCTGGTCGTTCCCCGACCACAGCAGGCCAGGAAACAGCACACGCGGGAGCCCTCCCTCCTCACACCAGGTTCGCCGCCTCGTCCACCCAAACGTCCCACCGCCGTCACGATCAAGGACAACATCAGCATCATCAACATCCACAGCAACAAGAGGTCCATCTCGCACGGCTTCTTTGCGCGCGTCTTCAAGATCCTCGACCAGCACTCTGTCTCGGTGGACCTCATCTCGACCAGTGAGGTCCACGTCTCCCTGGCGATCCACTCGGGCAGTCTGCTGCTCGAGCACATCTCGGCCGCCCAGAGGGAACTCGAGGAGTGCGGCGAGGTCAGCATACACACCAACATGTCCATCCTGAGTCTTGTCGGTGCGGATATGCGGCAGATGGTCGGTATTGCCGGCCGCATGTTTTCCGTGCTCGGTGAACACCAGATCAACCTCGAGATGATCTCGCAGGGTACGTGACCGACCTTTCCTCTCCTTCTTCTCGGTAAACTAACTTGTTCTAGGCGCGAGCGAGATCAACATATCGTGCGTCATCGATGCGATGGACGCCACGAGGGCGATGAACGTCCTCCATACGCATCTTTTCACCTTTTTGGACGACTGAGCGCGTCTACGCGTCAGGTCCACGTGTGGACAGCTGGTGTATTCTCATTTTCTTATTTCACGGTGGTACTCAATCGAAGGATGGGATTTGGTATATACTGTGCAACGTATGGAGTTTGGGATTTCGGAATAGACCTAGCATCCCATGAATATTCCTTTGCTACTCTGTGTCAAAGTGACACGGTCTTGACTCGTCCACAGGGCTAATGTATTCATACTTGTTTGTCCAACAACACCAGAAAGTACTCCAAATCTAGTACATTATATCAATGGTGTTATATGGTGTTTACCTGCATGCTTGGTGCAGCATTAATGGGCCTTGATGGTGGCTTGTGGGAATGCATAGGGTAGCTGAATCCCACCTCCGACAGGGTACCTTGGACAACCCTGACAGCCTGCCAACCTCAGCTTGACCACAGCTTGACGCATACCAACAGAGGCATTCCTGTTACGCTGCACCAATCGAGAACCGAGCCGCAACCTCCGACTGCCGCTTATAAGCAAGATATAGGCCGGCCAGATTACCCGATTTATTCATTGCCTGGCTGGGGTAGGGGTGCTTGGCCATAGCTCCCAAAGCTACTCGCCGAGCTACTCGTCCCCACGAACATCACCACTCATCGTCGGCGTCCGCGACCTCCGACAATATATCGATTGGCGCCAGAACACTCTCAAACGCGCGCTAGGCACGATGCCATTGCTGCGTCTTGATCAGCCAAGCGACGGTTGATGAAGGCCGAATACCCCCACCCCCAGACATACCTACATTCACGTCCAGCCCGTCTGTTGCCGGCAAGCCAACTTCGACACTAGATCATAGACGAGCCGCCATGTACAAATCAAAACAAAACGCCGGCCGGGGGGCCGGCATCCTGAGCGCTCTACAGGCCACGTCGATGGTAGATTCGAGAGCGAGTCTACCAGCAGGTCAGCGCAACTCCCGGGTGTATACGAGCTTCAGTGGGCTAACAAAATCCAGAGATCCTCGTAGCGATCCTTGACTACCTGCCAGTGGCCGACCAGATGCGTTTCGCCCGAGCGTCTCGACGTATGCAAGAAATGGTCTACGACGACACAAGATGGGTATCACGACTTCGAGCAATGGGGTGTTGGGATGAATTAGAGGCTAGGAAACGCTTCGAAGACGCAATCAAGAGGCGGCGAGAGGCAGCCCAACAGGCCAAGGAGCAGATAAAAACGCCTACAGGGTCTACGGCAAACGAACAGGCTGTCAATCCCACAAGCCCGGCAAGCACAACCTTGTTCGATGCGGCCGCCGAGGGCCACACACGGAAAGCGTCAGCGGACGAGGATAACCGCCGACGACGCATGTCGGAGCTCCGCGATGGGTTCGAGGCGACCAATATAGGGAATACCGTGGTCAAGGACGGCCCAGCCAGCAACCCCGATGCCTACCTCGACGTCTTCAAGCACTCCCGCAGCATACGTGGCGGGGCACGTCAAGAGTTCGGCAAGATCTACGGCGCTCTCGCTCCCTTCTACTTTGACCTCGTGCGTGCCACATCGCATGCGGATCCCATATTATTCAAGGCGTTCCGGGACCCAGAGCGCCAGGGCAGGATGCTCGCCAATTTGACGAGGTTTGCACGCAGTGACTGGGCGGCCGGATGCCTCGAGCGCGAGGAGAAGCTGCAGTCTATGGTGGGCATTTTTGAGAGCGCGGTGCTGCGCGAGTTTGAGCAGGGCTACGAGTTCTGGGACGTGGACGGGCGGATGAAGAGGTATGCGCACGTGCTGCACGAGCTCAATGGACAGGGCGGCGTGGACCTCTTCATCCAGAAGCACCCCATCTTCGACGACGCGGAGCTCCAGTTCAACCCCGTGGCCTGTCTGAGCCGTGCGATCCCGGACGAGATCACTCTCGAGCCTTCCCGGCTGTTCTTTGAGATGCTGCTCGCCAAGGTCAACGACCAGGCAAGTGTCATGGCACGGATATTCCCCCAGCCAGGAAAGGTCTTCTGGGGTCTTCTCGAGCGCATCAAAGACGACATCATCATGGAGTATACCACGCCGCTGTTTGATGAAGCTCATGACCGCAGCATCGCGGCCTACTTGAAAGCTGTGTCGGGCGTTTTCGAGCAGACCCTCCTCTTCTTCCAGTCTCTCACACCACCGCCAGGGTCCGGGGAGGATGTCAAGGCGAAGGCCAAGGAGCTCACCCTGCGCGTGTTTGAGCCTCACCTCGATCTCTATCTACAGGAGGAGCTCGACTTCTTCACGAAGCATGCGGAGATGGAGGTGTCTCTATGGGAAAAGAAGCTTTCCGAGCAAGACTCGACACTCGAGTCCTTTTACATGTCCAACATCAATCGGTCGGCCGACAAGAAGGATTTTCTGAGCTCGTTCAAGAAGGTTGTCATGATGCCCGTCACTGCGTTGCCTAGCATTGGCTCGCCGTTCGCTACTGCGTCGACTGCCTCAACAGCGAAGCAGCCGGTGCCCAACGGTGCCACAGGGGCCGCGGGACTGACAACGCAGCTGTCGAGACCAGGGACGCCCAGCCTGAGTATTCCCATGGAGGGTCGCAAGAGTCCTCTCCCTGACCAGGCCCCCACCGATGAACTAGCCGCCAAGGCTGCTCTCATGGCGTCCAAGTTGGAGGGCATCAAATCACTGTTCAGCATCGAAGTTGCCCTCAACCTGGTACATACCGCCAAAGTCAGTCTTGGCCGGACATCGGTCTTCATGACACTCGGCGGCCAGGTCGGCGAGGAAGCTCGCGAGCAGTGCGCCAACATGTTCGTGGTGCTCCTGCGCATCTTGGGACAGCGTCACGTCAAGCCTGGCTTTGACCGTGCCGTGGACCACTTGTCGCACTACAACCCACGCGAAGTCAGCGACCACAACCAGCAGGGTGTCGCGCCCCTGGTGACGTTTATCGAGCTCGTCAATGTCGGAGATCTGATTTCCCAGATGGTGGATGTCTTTTACGAGCAGCAGCTCGCGGCGCCCAAGATCGCGGACAAGGATGACTTTCTCGATCCGTCTGGCCTGGCGAAGAAGAAGTTTGAGCAGATGCTCGATGAAAGCGTCGCGGCTGGGCTGAACAAGGGCATCGACGTGCTCATGGACGAGGTCGAGTATCTCCACGGTACCATGCAGCTGCCCACAGACTACAACCCTGCGCCGAGCACCGCCGCCGCCGCCACCTTGTCGGGTGGTGATGCGGCCGAGAAGCCGGCCCGGGACGAGTCGGACATGGGACCCACGCCCACCGCGAAGCGCATCGTCGAGCTCGTCTCCAGCCACACCAAGATGTTGACCGGCACGACCGACAAGTCCATGCTGGACGTGTTCAACGGCGAGGTCGGGCTGCGTCTCTTCACGGCCATATGCAAGCACCTCAAGCGCCAGCGCATCTCGACCGACGGCGCCATCAAGCTCATTGCCGACATGAACCTGTACTTTGACTATGTGCGCACCCTGCGCAACCAGGACCTCCTGGCCTACTTCCGCGCGCTGCGCGAGTTGAGCCAGATCTACCTCATCGACCCGGAGCATGCCAAGGACATGGCGAGCGTCATTGCCGACGGAGATCGCTTTGCGGGCATCTTCAGAGCGGAGGAGGTCTACGAGTACGCACAGCGACGCGCGGACTGGTATCACGTTCGGAAAAAGGTGGAACGCGCCATGTATGGGTTAGAGTGCAGTGTCATGTAGTCCTCAATGGGACGTGCTGAACGTTCAACATCTCAAATGACGCATTGGCTGCGCACTGCCATTGCTTGCTATTCCACACAATCTATAGACACATCTCAATGGCTCGCTCCCCTCAGCCCAAGACCGTGCGGAGCCAGCTTCGAATCCTGAAGCAAGGCTGTTCCAGCATCTAGTCAAAAATTGAGCACCACCACACAATGCTTGAATCACCTACACTATTCCAACAGCGGCTTCCGCAGCCTATTTTGTAGAATACACATATCCCTCTATTCGATCCTCTTCTTGGCACTTGCACCGGACTTGACACGGCGCGCAGAGGGCCGGTTCACGTGGTGATCCGGGATCCAGCTCTGATCAGGCTCCACAGCGACACCAGTAGCCTCAACCGCAATCTCGTTCTCGGACTTGCCCTTGGGAGTCTTGGGCGCACCAGCAGCGGCGTTGGAGCGCTTGGGCGCCGGAGCAGGGAACAAGGCCTCGATCCAGGTCTTGTAGACAAAGTACAGGATGCCCGCGAACGCGCCAGTCAAGAAGAGGTAGAGAAAGATGCTGCATTGGCACTGAGTCAGAAAACAGTCAAGAGCAAGGAGCGCAGGTACTTACATCTGGGGATCAAGGAAGCTGACCGGGGCCTCGACAATGGAGGCGGTGTCGTCAAACGCAGCGACCTGGAAGATCTCGCCCTTTCCGCTGGTGATGACGGCAGTGAGCTGGACACGAACCTCCTGGGGGTTCATGTCCTGGGCAAAGGTGTAGGGCAGGCTCTTGGTCTCGCCGGCGGGGACCTCGACGTTGTACTGGACGGCGGTCAGGTTGCGCAGAATGGACTGGTACCGGGGCGCATCGTCGGCGACGGGCTTGGTGGAGACGAGGGCGCCCGTGACGAAGACGACCGTCATGGGCGCGTCGTCCTTGTTGACGATCTCCAGGAGGGCATTGGTGGGTCGGCCGTTAACGAGCTTGACGCCCAGGTCGGCGTCGGGGAACGAGGTGGTGATGTCGGCATTGAGGACGGCGCTGCCGTCGGCAGGGGAGAAGCCAGTGTCTGCGTCCTGGAAGCGTGTTAGACGGGAACGGGAGGGGTCAATTGGGTCATGGGTTGCGGCGCAAGACGTACCTGGGCAAAGACACCCAGGAGCTTGGTGGCCATGACGGCCAGAAGCGAGGCGCTGAAGAGCATGATTGACGACTGGATGGGCGGAGGACCGGACAGTTGAGAGGGGGGAGAGGGAGTGACGGGAAAAGGCCACCAAAGGAAGAAGAGAATGGCAGGATAGAGGAATAGGAGGAGGAGGAGGACGGAGGCGACGTTGCGGAGGCGAGGCGAGTCGCGAGGACGGAGCTTGGATGACTGCAGGCAGGGTCCATCCAGCCAGCCACCAACCGGTTCCTGCCCTGATGCAGCTTCCCCACGTTGTGATCTGGCCTTACCTCACGAACCCTCCCGTTTCTCACTGCAATTGCCCGACTGCATCACAAAGGCTGTTTGAATCACATGTGGTAGACTAGCAAGCTGAGTCAATCACACGAGAGAAAGAACTTGGGAATTACACAATCGCAGCGTGAGCTGATTGACACTGAAAGTTGTGTACTTAATGATAATAGACAGCTATGATGGGCGCGGTTTTCAGAGTACTATGAGTGGATGTAAGTACGAGGCAGCTTACATTCAATGCGAATACTTAATTAGAAAGACCTGCTCCGTCTCCCCAAGCTCTCCTATGGCAGTACTTATACTAGCACTCAACATGGTCACGCTTTATTAGCATCTCGTCTGTGACTGAAGGTACGTACCTTGCATAGGCTCAGGTCCCACTTTGACCACCCCCCGGCCCGGCCGTCGAATCCGACGTCAATTGAAGGAAGGCGCGCTGCGCTTCAAGAAGCTCGACTGACAAGCGGCGCCTGCAAATCGAGTCTGTCCACAAGCACCACTTCTAATCACTCACCACAGGCATATTCCTGGTCAGAACACGCACTTATTTGCTCTTATTGCTATTGCCCCAGGATATTTAGTGACATCTCAGTCATACAAAAGACTTTCACTCCATGTCGCGTCCACATGCGTAGACTGTCTCTCATCAGGGTAGCCCTCGGGTGCGCTCGCCATGGACAACCAACCCGTCGCCGATAGCCTGCGCAAGTCTCTGTTCCTCTGGACAGAGTTTGCGCGCAGGTGTCTCAACGAGAGACTGCCAATCGACAAGTTCCAGACCTTTGCCCGGCTCCTGTACCAGCAACACCATCTGCCGCCCGCCGCGATCGCCGACCTCTTCCTGCGACCGCATCCAAACGATTGCTACAGTATCGATCCCCGAATACCACCATACCTTCAGAAGCTCAGCGATCTGGGCTGTATCGATACCCCAGCCATCCTCAAGACGCTCTACAAGTACTCGTCGGCGCACCTGCTGCTTGAAGAGCAGTCGGTCGGTTCGGGGTCGCTGGCCAAAGACACCAAAACCCCAAATGGCGACAGTGCAGACGCGGAGAGCAAGCCGCTGCGATGGAAAAGCTCGTACTGGGTAGAAGAGGTCTTGTTCTTTAGAATTGTCAAGTCTCTTCACGAGGGCGAGGCGGTCAGGAACACGACGACAGCGTACGCGGTGCTCCAGGTCGTGTCGCAATGGATAGCGCTGTTTGTGGCCACGGCCTCAACGGCGCCGTTGGATGTCATGTCCCAAGCGTCTAGCTTGCGCATGGAATTGGGGTCGGCCAAGGCGGCGTTTGTGCCGCTGCTCATGCGGCTGACCGATAATGAGGCTGTCCTGAGAATCGTCAGCAGGCCCATTGCTCGAGGTACGTAGAGCCAGGACGAATCGATCCTTTGATTGCTCTCGGAGCTAACAGTGTACAGAAATTTGCAGGGAGCTCTCAGCCAATCTCGCTGATTTCTTGCCGCAGCTGGCCAACGCGGGGACATCCAGGCCCATGCTGGACAAGCTCGAATACTTTCGAAATAACGTCCTGGCCAGCTCCGAGCCCGTTGACAAGAAGAAGCAGGCCGTCGATGCCGCTATGAACGACATGCTCGACTCAGCGGCTGGACCGGATAGCTTCGAGGTCCGCCAGGTGCCCATTATCTCGACCCGGACAGGCATGTACATACACCTAAACGCCTGCCTCGCTGGCCGACCCTTAATCAACGACAACGTTTTCATCAGCTTCCTCAACAACAGATATGCTGGCGACAACCAGCATGCTGCCATGGACCTCATATTGGCGTCGTTTGACATTCTCGCCACCGCAGTCTTTAGGAGCAACGCACGGGAAGATGCTCCCCTGCTTCGCTCATTTCTCATCAACAAGGTCCCGCCGCTGCTCTTCCAGCTCCTCCCACCGGGCTTCTCACCCCAGCCAGCCGAGACGTGTATTACGAATGCGCTCAATCAGGTTGACACCGGTCTCTTCCCGACAGCATCCGCCATGTTCAACGAGGACCAAATCAGCAACCCCTATACCTCGAGCGTCAGAGAGGAATTCTGTGGAGCCTGTGTGCTCCACGGTCTCATCAACCGAGAGCGGCTCGAAGCGGTGCTGGGCGAGATGCCCATGTCTAGCCAGCCCGAAAAGAAGATCCGCGATAAGCTCGTGCAGGACTATCTGTCGCACAACCTCAAGCCGCAGGATTTGCTCGCAGACTTGGACAGGGACAGTGGCAACGTCGGCACTGTCTGCCATGCTATCGCTGAAGTAAGGCTCTTCTCCCATCATTTCAAACCGCGACTAATGCTGCGTAGATTATTCGAAGACAATGCCATGAGAAGGATACCATGTCCCTCAAGCTTCTCTGCATCGAGCTTGTCCAGAAACCACAGAGCTTAGATATTCTACTACTGTTTGAAAGTATCCCTACCGTGCTGGGACCTCTGTGCCAGCTCCTAGATCACTGGCGGTACGAGGAAGATCAAGCCGAGTATCAGCCTGTGTACGAAGAATTTGGCTCAATACTTCTACTGGCTCTCGCATTTGTATATCGATATGGTCTCGAACCATCAGATCTCGGACTGTACTCTCCGGGGTCGGCTGTCCGGAAGATTATCACACAGTCTCACGTTGGCCGACCCGACGCTCAGCTCTCCGCACGAGAAAAGGAGCACGTCAATGGCTGGTTACTGGGTCTGTTTGACACGGAAGCTGGTGGTCTCGGTGATGATCTCATGTCCTCATGTCCCCCACAGGACTTCTACTGTTTGGCGGCATCTCTGTTTCAGAGCATTGTCGTCGGATACGCCCACGGCTACATTACGGATGAGGCGCTCAAAAGTGGTGTAGAATGTGAGTTTCCCGCCCAGCACTGGCGCAAAGTCGTTGGCTGACAATTTTCTATAGATCTGGTTGATACGTTCCTGCTTCCGGCGCTTGTGCCAGCCATACGGTTCCTGACCGAGTACCTGTGGACAGAATCAGAGATTGAGCAAAAGGCCGTCATCAAGATTCTTCAACTGGTCTTGCTGCCAAGCGCCATCTCGAGCGAGGCCAATTCTCTGCTGGCTTCTGTGAAGAAGATCATAGCAAAGCCGCTTCACAATGCACTACAGACCTATCTCCACAGGCGCGACCCCAGCAACCAAGATATCCAGCCACTGCTTAACATGCTGAAGGAGAGCGTGCCTAAATCCCGCCGGCTTGGAGGGGCAGACATGAGCGAGATCACGGACTGGTGCCGAACCGAGCCACACGGGCTTTGGAGCAGCCTGAAGACAACGACGCACAATCTCATGCAGTGGACTGCCAACCCTGGGTTGAATATGCCCACCTCATACTCACACCGGCAGTTTATTACGGCGGCGAGGTTGATGGGGCCTGAGCAGGTCCTCCGGCTGATCCTTGAGGAGCTACGGCAGCAGATCCGGGGGCTCTACGAAGCCAATGGCCAGGAGCTTGCTCACCAACCGGAGCTGCCGAGTCTTGTTCATGATGTGGCAGCAGCTCTCATCTGTGCACCCGACGTTACGAAAGAGCCGCCGGCTGCCTGCACAGAAAACCCCCCCGCCTCTCAACAACTGCCTGTCCAACGGCTGCATACGCTCCGCGAAGTCCTGAGACTGGAGGCTGAGAAGTGCCATGAGATCCAAAAGACAGACCCTGTGCTCGCAGACATTGTTGTCCGCCTGTACCGCAGAGTGGAAGGGCTCATGGCCCTTCCGCAGGTCCCCACGGATCTTCTACCACCGTCCAACCTGAACGACATGGGTGCTGGCATGGATATGATGAACACAGATCTGAACAACATGTCTGCAGACATAGACATGGGGTCGGCTGTGATGGACGACATTGGTCTTAATGGTGGAGGAGATGTGAACATGAACACAGGCATGGAATCGCTGGCGGCCAACAACGGTCACCACGACCACAATATCAACGGCAACGACAATGGCGACATGATGCTGGATGGCCTGCCTTCCATGAGCGGGCTCGATGGCCCTCCGGGGGGAGATGGGGACGCCAACCTATTCGACGGGCTGGACGATACCAACCTCGACCTTGATACTCTTGAGTGGCCGGATGCCATGAACATGTCATGACGGGCCCCAGTAGCAGGAGATTGGAAATGCAAAGCGAAGCCAACATGGGCAACATCGGATTGATCACAACCGCGCGGGTCGTGAGAATAACAAAGCTGCGGTCAAGTCATCCCCTGCACCATCATCTCGTGCCATACTCTAAACATGTCCCGTCCGAACGCTAGGGCCCGCGCGCGCGCAAGAGTTGCGCGCTAAGGAAGCTGATTGGTTCAATTGGACTCGAATTGAGACGGCATTCGTGTGCAATCCCGGGCCCGAGTGTTAGCCTACGATACCTGGTGGAGACCTACCGCTCAGCTGGCTCAGACTTGGGCATTGAGCTCTCAGGACAGTAGCATTGATTACAATATGTCCGAGAACATCATCCCGAGGAGACCGGCTCGTGATTGCACTATAGTTATGGCATTAGCGTGCGAGACTGTATAAGAGGCCTTCGGGAAGCCATCCACTCATCACATCCGTTCACTCTATCTTCCCCTTCATCACACAAGGCCCAAGAAAACGTATACATACTCGTCCGCCAACCCAACGACTGAAGCAGACATTCATCATGAAGACAATTGTTGCCCTGGGTGCTGGCCTTGCCGCCATGCCCCTGATCCGCCAGACCATGCGGAACGTCGTGCTGCCATCCGACTCGTACAAGCTCGTCGTCGTAGCCCCCAACACGCACATGCTCTTCCCCCTGGCCATGCCTAGAGTCCTTGTGCCTGGGGCCATGTCCGAGGATAAGGTCCTCCTCCCCGTCTCGAGCCAATTTTCCGAATATCCCAGCGACAAGTTTCAATTTCTCCAGGGCACGGCCGAGAGCCTGACCCCGGAGAGCAACCAGCTCAGCGTCAAGAGCGTGGACGGGAACATGACAGAGTTGAGCTACGACTATCTCATCATCGCCACGGGGTCATCGTCGCGCGACAACACCCCTTGGAAGACACTCGGGACCACCGAGAAGACAAAGGAGCGCCTCTTTGAGATCAGGAATGAGGTCGAGCAGGCCAAGACCATCGTCATCGCAGGCGGAGGTGCCACGGGCACGGAGACGGCCGGCGAATTCGGCTTCGAGTACGCCCAGTCCGGCAAGAAGGCCGTCTACTTTGTCTACAACGACGAGCTGCCCCTCGTCGCCGACATGATTCCCAAGGTCCGCCGGCAGGCCAAGTTGGAGCTCGAGAGGCAAAAGGTCAAGCTCATTCCAAACTCCAAGGTCACAAAGGTCACCACCGCATCGGGCAAGGAGACCGTCCTCGAAATCACGGACAAGAGCGGCAAGACGAACGAGCTCAAGGCCGGGGCCTACATCTCCGCGACGGGAGTCATTCCCAACGCGTCGTTTGCACCCGCCTCCATGCTCGACGCAGGGGGGTTCATCAAGCAGACCACCACGCTCCAGGCCGAGGGCCACGACAACATCTTTGTGGCGGGTGACGTGGGCTCGCTCGAGATCTCAAAGGCCATGGTCGCCGCGGCGCAGACCGATCACCTCGTCAAGTACCTGCCGGGCCACATCCTGGGGGGGGAGGCCATCGCCACGTACACGCCGGACACCAAGAACGTCTATGCCATAACGCTGGGCAGGAGTAAGGCTACGGGGCAGATGAATGGGTGGAAGTTGCCGGGATTTATCGTCTCGCGCGTCAAGCGGAATTTCTTTTCGGAGCAGGCGCCGGACATGGCCAAGGGGAAGAAGACGTCGAGTACCACGTTTGAGAAGTAGAAGCAGAGTTGGGAGATGGAGCTGGAGCTGGATTTTGTGTTACAATACGGGGATTTCTAATATATTAATACATTTTCGAGAACATCTACAGCTGGCTCACCTGGGTCCTCAATCTTCGACAAGGTCTATAACATATAGGCTATAATCACACTGGACCTGTACAAGCGTCAGCGCTCAAGAAGGGCAAGCACTTTTTGAGTCAGACCAGACTGATGCCAGAAGCCCAAATAATTTCGAGGAGGCGATCAGCCCCTGAATGCGAGTGCGGTGTGTCAGGAAAGAGCCTAGATTAGCTGATCTATGTATTTGTTCAACTTGGCCATGCTGACAAGTACATGCAATTGTTAGCAGTCTCACAATTCGAGCAGTCCACGAAAACCAGACGGTTATTGGCTCGATACCCAAACTGACTCCATAGCCTCAAGATCTCGCGTGCTGAAAATGCGGAGAAGCGTCTCGGTGAGGCATGCGTGGTGTAGAGTACGTAGATACGTAGCGCCATCCGTACAATTCGCCACGCCTGCACGTAGGGTCTCGGGGGGGAGTGGTCCAAGAGGGGAAGAGGGGGGAGGTAAAGGGGCATTCCTGCACGCGTGTGAAGATCTCGGTGTTTACTGCAAGCGAGGGGTAGGATCATCCTCGTGGAAAAGATGTTCGTTCTGCCGTTTGTCCAGCCGCGTCGAGTCAAGTGTGGTGGTGATGGACGAATCTTGGGGGCGGACCAGAACACGCTAGCTTGTGTCGAGACCTCCATCGCAGGTCTTCCGGAACAATTGAAATATAGCAGGCCTATTCACGGCCAAATCACAATGACTGTATCCCAAGGTCCTTGTCTACGGATGTGGTTTCGCAATCGAATGCACATCGCGACAAGGGGCTTTCCGCGGGCATGTCTCAATCGGCCAATAATTAGAGAATCGATCGGCTTTATCTCGAAAAGAGCCAAAAGTGACTGTGGACGGGTAGCCTTCCAAGACGCGTCTAGCATGCACACCAGAATACGTACTCGCAAAAGGCGGCAGCTGTTGTGCTCCCCTACGCCGCAGGACGTGGTAGGGTGAGCTACATCGCGGGCGACCCTCAATGTCAGTGCAAGTAGGTTGCAAGGCTAGCCTCTTGACGTTGCGTTCGAGACGGGCCTATGATGCCATTAGTGAGCCAAAGGCGCATAGCCTTTGCGCCCACTGTCATGGCTCCTCCCGCTCTGCGCGCGGCACTTGGGCGACGATATCCGTTCTATTCTCTGGACGGCAGCAAGCTTCGCGTGGCCGCCATCTTTTTTTTTTCTTCCTTTGCCCTTTGATGCCAGCAGAGTCACGCAGGACCCATGAAGAGGAAGATGATGCAACAACCGTCATACGGCATGTGCGACAAGCTCAGCTCATGCCTGCTGCTACCACGCGGACAAGCAGCTTGTGTACCCGGACCACTTGTTCCCCATCATCAGGTCGGAAATGATATCAGTTGCTCGCCTCCCGAGTGACGATGAACGAGGATCTTCTCGCCCCCTTGGTGGACGTGTGACGGCATAACAGACGTCGGCGGCAGACGCACCAAAACGGTGACCGCTTTGGGGTTGGTCTAGGGGTGCTTGCTGACATCATCGGTGGCGGCGGGTGAAGTCACCGCCCGCAAGGGCTCCTCCGTCCACACCACTGGCTGATTGGGACGGTGACTGACTGCCTACGCCCATTAGCGAGCTACGTTAATCTCAGGAGCCTCTTTTTTTTTTCTTTTGTGGTCTCGTCCGTTTCGAGGTTGTCGAGAATGGCGCCCGTTGCGCGGAGCGTTTCTGCTTGTGCGACAAACGGGTGGGCAGGTGAGGTCACCGTTCTGGGCAGCCGGCGTGCTGAAATGGACGGCTCCGTTTTTAACTGATGTCATGTCTGCGTCCATTTGCTGGGGGACTGGACTGGAGCGCGCTCGAGGGGGGGTCGGCGCGAGGCGCGTCGGCGCTTGTTGTCGAAGTGAAACTCGAAGCAAAGTTCCGAGGTCGTTGTCGTGTCCACGAAAAATATTTTGTTCAAACAAGGAGCGAAGGAATTCCACGCGTCTACAAGCTAATGCGTGACTTTTGGGGAGGGGAACGAGGAGAGGGGATGGGACGGCCTCGAGTCGACGGGCATGATGGGAATGTCACCTGGTGCGTGTCATAAACATGGGATTTGCTCGCCTGACCTTGGCTTTTGGCATCTTGGAAGCCCGCCAAGAGCGGCCCAGCGGGTCTTCTAGGCCTGTAGGCAGTCAGCCCGCGACGCCGTGCCGCCGTAATCTTACTTGCAGTGCACGGAAAAGGCGCCTAGGGGGAGCAGAGATTGGGCGTGTGGGGCAGGAACTTGGGTTCTGGGCTTTGAAGGCTGTCCGGCGCCGGTTCAGTGCTGTTCTCCCCAAATCAACTGGACCCCTTTTTGTTTGACCAATAGTTCTGCACAAATGAACAGTTTAGAAAAATTCACTGAGCAGGAGTCCAGGTCGCTGGCAATCGCAACAGTGACCTGTCGCGCCCCAACGACTGGATTGCTCCGCGGCTGCAGGGTCAAGGCTGGGCGAGAAAGAGATGCTTGGCTGCAGGTGAGCCAATGACATCATGCGCGGCCGCGCCGATCTTTCCGTGTTGGGCGGGTTTCAAAGCAGCGGTCCAGCCCAGCCTACTGCAGTCCAGTGCTCTGCCGCTTGCGACGCCGGCGCAAGCCTCACAGACAGTCAGACAGGATGCAAAGAAGCAGACTGGAACTCTCACTCACCGCGACAAGTCCGCCAAGGCCCCTTCGAACAATGACCAGCCTGGTCAATTGTTGTTCAAGGTGCCACCATGTCATATCGCCCACTCAAACAAGTGGCCCTCGTCGCACACGATCAGCAGGGTCTTTCCCAGTTCGTCATTGTCCACCGTCAGAGCCTCCAGTTTTCTCAGGATGTCTACATCATGCGGTCCGAGTGTTTGTGGTGTCCACTGTCCAGTGCAGTCTCCTGCGCTGTTAGTGGGAAGTGGGTGCCGTAAATGGAGGGGTGGGGTGGCAAAGGACCCTGAATCTTCCCTGCACCACACACGCTTCGAAGACGTACGTGCAGCCAAAACCCTGCTAGGTTACGCCATCTCGACCATCCACAAGCAGTCCGCTACGTCGATCCCTACGTCGAGCTAATTTGTGCCAGTGCGTGAGGACAGGAGGCTACCTGCTTACAGTCCGTCAACCCGTCCAGTCCCCGCTGGTGCTCGTCCTCTCCATCTCCATTATAAAGTCCCCGAGTTATCCTCCCCGTCAACTCTATCGCTCATCATTAACCACCACCACCATCACCATACAATAGAAACCAAAAGCTATTACACGGCACAGCCTCTCAAAATCCTCTCCAACCACCAAAAGCTCCTCACTATTCCACCAATCGTCTCACTACCCCACCAACAACAATGTCTTCCGCCGATACCTTCGCCATGAACATCCCTTCCTCCACCTCTCCTCCCACAGACATCTCGTCGTACTCCCGCTTCATGCACGAGCACACCAAGCGACAGATGGAGGCCCAGGGCGCCCTTCCCTCTGAGCGTCGCCAGTCGACCTCGACATCGTCTCAGCAGCACGGCGCTCGCAGCGGGCGCAGTTCCATGACGAACGGCACCAGTCCATCCGAGTAAGCCGGACGGATTGCGCTTCACAGCGACACGAGTGTACCACTACAACGGGCGAGGTTGCCGCCGCCGCCGGTTCTGGCAACCGGTCCCAGCGTCGCCATTGAGCGAGCAGGGAATTCCTTTTTTTTTTTTAACGCTATCACGAACATGCAAGGAGTTCAGGTTTAACTTGGGAAGCATCATGGGCTATGCATACGGGGCCTAGGAGTTTGAATAAGCGAAATCTCTACATTAGGAGTTTCAATACGATATCCTCAGATTTACGGATGAATACCACGTCATCTTCTGGAGAAACATTTTTTAAACAGTGAAACATGTGACAACATTTCTGTGATTGAAAGGCAAATACCTTCGTGATACTTGCGACAACGATTTAGTTAATGCACTTGGCCACAGACTTCTTGTTCAACTAACTACTTTTTAACCAGAACCAGCACTTAGACCTTTCGTGACTAAACTCGGTGGTAGTGACCGATGGTAGGCAATCAGCAATCCAATACGGAGTACTTATGATGAATGGGATATTCTGCTTAATCTCCCGGCGAAAGACATGCTTGTAAACTATAGACCACACTACACCAACGACGGCTTCTTCTTAATGCCCAGCATCGCTGAATGATCCTTCTTCTTCTTGACAACTCTCTTGAAGGTCGGTGCCGTTGCTGCTGCACCTTCAACTGGCGTCTTCACAACAGCCGCCGGCGCAGGGGGCGGAGGCATCAGCGCCTCATCTGAGCCAGGTATGGGCGCGCTGCTAGATGAGGCACCATTTGTCGCCTCAAGATGCCCAGGCACCTCATCAATCTCCACCTGTGCCCTGCGCGCCGCGAATGCTGCCTTGGCCGCAGCTTCATCCTCTGCCTCTAGACGCTCCCTCTCCTCGTCCTCCGCTCTGACAATCGTATCGGCAAAGTCCATCCCCTCCTTCTCTGATCGGTGTATGCGTGCATTGCGCTGGCGGATCTCGTCCAACGCATCGGCCGCCGCCATCTCACGCTTCGCATCTTCATTCTTGGCCTCTAGCTCCGCCATGGCATTCTTCTCTTCCTCGCCCGCCTCCTCGGCCTCCTCACGTGCCAGGCGGTCTAGGCGCTCGTCTGTGGACTCTTCCTCCGCCTCGCGGTTGCGCCACGGTTCGTGGTTCCGCACGGCGCCCTTCACCATGGTGTAGTCGTGTATCTTGGGGTCGGTGCGGAAGATGATCTCTGCGGAGCAGCGGGTGCAACGAATGTAGAATCGGAAGATCTGGATTCCGAGATACTTCTCGTCGGGTGGCGTTTCCTTCCTCGAGCTGCGACGTGTTAGCAAACGGTCACCATCTTCGTGGTCGTCGTCGCCGCCGTTGATGAGATCAGGTACCTACTTGAACTTTCTCCCTTTGTATATGTATTCTCCACATGAAGTGCATCGCCTGGAATCAGTTAGCCATGCTCGTCGCGCGCCTTCAAGAGAACGAGACAACCTACATTGCGAACGGCGCCATCAGGCGCACAGTCTGTACCTTTGGACCTGACTGCTTGGGCCCGCGACGACGACCCAGAGCCGCTGGGTCGAAGTCGGGAGGGTAGTACTTTTGCAGTACTTTTCGCTCAGACATGTTGTCGGGCTCGGGGGGCTGTCGCGACCAGAGAAGACGGGGAGGAGGACGCGCTCGACTGTCGAGTCTGGTAGACCAAGCGAAACTGTGGCCTAGAAGTTAAGGACGCTGTATGCGCGCTTATTCACTTGCGTGCGCGTGCCAGAGAGGCTGGCGATGGGCGTCGGCGTTGAAGGCTTGATGAAGACGATGGAGGTGAAGCAGGTCATGCGTGAGGTACAAAATCCATGGAGGCGCGGAACGGCTCCGTCCACTGATAAGATAAGCCCCGCGAAATGCAAGCGCGCTCCCATACGGCCGCGGATCCAAAGTTTGTCGGCCTCCATTCTCTCTGATCGCTCCAACTCGACCTAATTATTCATCCATTGCTGCTCTGTTGCGTCTCCCCTCTGAACCTGAGGTCCCACCCAAGCTCAACAAGAATTCCGCGAAAGACACGACACTCATCACGACCAACCAACTGCACGACATCCGCGATCCACCGCCATCATGCCCAAGGCTGAGGTTGGCTCGACCAAACACCTGAGCAACAAGCTCAAGTCAAAGGGCCTGCAGCGCCTCCGATGGTACTGCCAGGTGTGTGAGAAGCAATGCCGCGATGCGAACGGCTTCAAGATGCACACGCAGTCCGAGTCACACGTGCGCCAGATGCTCGTCGTCGGCGAGGATCCGCGCAAGTTCATCAACGACTTCAGCAACCAGTTCCAGCGCGACTTCCTGACGCTCCTACGGACGGGACACGGCGAGAAGGAGGTACAGATCAACAGGTTCTACCAGGAATACATTGCGAACAAGGAGCACGTGCACATGAACTCGACAAAGTGGCCGAGCTTGACCGAGTTTGCGAAACATCTGGGTAGAGAGGGCATTTGTCGTGTCGAGGAGAACGAGAAGGGCATCCACATTGCCTGGATCGACAACTCACCCGAAGCGCTACGCAGACGAAACGCGCTCAAGAGGAAGGAGGCGGAGGATCAGGGCAACGAGGAGGTCGAGCAACGCATGATCCGCGAGCAGATCAAGAGGGCGCAGGCCAATGCGCGACACGACAAGGACGAGGAGCGCGATGCTGCCGAGCGCGAGCTCAAGAGACAAGAGGGCGAGAAGATTACACTCTCCTTTGGTGGCGGCGCAAAGTCGACCCCCAAGACAGAGTCCAGCAACCCCACAGTCGAAGAACACACGCCAGAAGCATCCGGCCAGGATGCGGCCCCGAAAGAACCTGAACTACCACAGCAGGAGGAGGAAAAGGCGCCGGCTAAACCTGCAGGATTCGGCGGCGTGTCGATGAAAATGGGAGGGAAGCCACAAACTAAGAATGTGTTTGCGCAAGCAAAGAAGAATGCTCTGTCCGGGGGCAAAAAGGGCGGTTTCATCGACCAGCCCAAGAAGATGAGCGAGGCAGAGCGGATAATGAAGGAGGAGATGGAACGGAAACGCTCAAGAGGGTCTGGAGGGTTCAGCATGCCTGCGCCCAAGAAGCAAAGGTCATCATAGGAGGGTATTCTCATGCGCAGGCGTTAAGGACAATGTGGCTTCACACAGGGATACAAGGGTCGTAATAGAGCGTTCATCCAAATACCATTCGTTGCTCAGCTGTTGTAGTCAAGTGATGATGTAAATAAAAAGAGTTCTTTCCCAGCTCCGTCCAACGCCTGTCGCCGTGATACTGTACAGTCGGTACTCTTCATTTTATTGATCAATCTCCGCCTCACTGCCGTCTCGTCTGCTCACTGTTAGCATGTCTCTTGGCGCGGTGTCTCTCGGGGTTGAAAGCACTCACGGGATATACGGTATCCTATACTCCTCTTCCAGGGTACTCCTCACTTCGTCCGGCAACTGCCCGCTGACCTTGATGGCATACATGCCGGCGACGTACTTGTCCAGTCGCTGCCACTTGGCGACCCAGCTTTTCGTGGGATCCGCGAGCGTGATCACACCCTCGAAAACCTGCGAGGTGCAGCTCTCAATCTGGTCCTGCGAGCCCTGGAGACGGAGAAACTCCTCGCAGTTGGGGCACCCGCCATCTCGGAAGCGCTGCATGCACACTGTTAGATGAACCGAGCTTTCAAGGTAGGTTGGACGAGGGCATCATAGCGTACCGCGTAGGTCTGGACGATGGAGCATACCATGCAGGCGCGCAGGTAGCGTTGCTGGCCGGGCGCGACAAATGCTGACGCCATGGTGGTTCTCGTTGATGAAAACGATGCCTTGGAGGACAGAATTTCCCGGTGAAGCAAGGTTTGGTGTCGTGGTGAGTGTGAAATAGACGTTGGTGAGGCGCGCGGTGAGCCTTTGTTCGCTCCAAGTCAAGGTTATGCATTTATGCGAGTCTTTGCTGCATCTCGAAACTTTCACCCCAAGTTCCCTCCACCCACACAACCTCTACTGAGTTGCCTGCCTCCAGCTCGACCCGTCCTGCGACGATTAGGATCTTCAAACATGACGCAACAAGGGGAAGTGTCCTTCTCCAAGGCCGGCCTGGAAAAGTCGCATGAGATCCTGACGTGCACCGTCAAGAATGCGCCTTGGTCATATGCCCACATGGAGCTTGTTACCGAGTCGGCAGAGCCACTGGAGCTGGACGATCTGCAGGTCAAGTCATACTGCACCGCGGCCTTGCGTCAGTCATTCGGTCTCTCCGGCCAGGCGATACCCGTGGACATCTTGAAGACAAGCGGATCACAGTGCTGGGTCAGGGTGCCACGCGAGGACTTGAGCACCTTCGCGGCAGCCATCACCGCATGGGCAGGTCTCGTCGAGAATGGACAGAGACGCGTGCTCCGACTTAAACAGGCGTCCGACTGGCTAGGCACCATGGTGGGCGGCGATGGTCAGGAGCGTATATGGAAATCATAAGTGTTGCCACCGACACACGGAATCCAAATAAAATTCCCAAGGTCCTGTCCAGCCCTTGATCTAATGATTCTACGATCTACACGGGGTATCTGCGCGCTTATATTTGCAAACTCCTCCGATATACCGTGTCCTGACGCCTGACCATGCGTTATGCGATTTCTGCCCACGAGCACATCCTCCAAGCCTACTACATAAGCGACGAAAGAAGAGAATTCTGGGCGTATGCCTGGGTTCTGGTCAGTACTGGGCACGATGTGCTGCGGCAAAAGGGAGCTTACCATGGGCTTGATGTCCGGATGCGGCACGGCATCGAATTGCTCGTATTTGAGCTTGTAGTCGGGGCCGATGTTGATGTAAGCACCCCTGTTCTCCGTCGAGTCGCAGTACTTGGGCGCCGAGAAGACTGACCGTGTTAGCAATCGACTCCCGTGTGGCTTGTATGGACATACCAGTAATACAACGACCGCCGTGCTGCACCTCGTACCCGTCCATGCGCACTTCGTGACTGCGGATGACTGCCTCCAACCCGTTCTTCTCGCAGAACTTGGCTGTGATGTCGGGACCGAACTGCATGCCGACACCTCGCTTGCTGGGACCGCGGCCCTTCTCCTCTTGCGGATCTGTCCAGAGCATCTCCATCATCAGGCCGGACTGTCCAGGCTGGCGCTGGTTGTGTCGGTTGAGCTTGCGAATGTCGTCTAATGTGACATTGTCGTCGGAGAAAAGACCACCGTGGAGGACGAGGTACTTTTTGCCAATAAGGGTGGCCAGAGGCAAGGCGGAGAAACTTTCCGAGAAGAGCTTGAATGTCCTGTACTTATTAGCGGTGGGCCATGGGGTCGCAGCAGATTGACTTTGCGTACCTCTCGTTGTACTTGGCCTTGCACTCGCCCTCGAAACCGTACACCCTGTTCATATCGTCTGTTTCGTGGTTGCCGCGGTTCAGGAAGAAGCCGTGCGGGCGTAGCCACTTGTACGCATATAGCAGCAGGGCGATTTCCGTTGACCATGAGCCGCGGTCCACAAAGTCACCGTTGAACAGGTACCAGTGCTTGTCGCTCGGGCTTCCGTTGCGTCGGAACAACTCCATCAGATCAAAGTATTGGCCGTGTGTGTCGCCACAGACCGTCAGCTCGACATCCGAAGGGATCTTCATCTCGACCATGGTCGCCTCCTCGTAGACAATCTGTTTGACGGCGAGGATGATCTGGTATACGTATTTGCGATGCAACTTCTTGCCCTGCTTGAAGCGTTCGGTCATGTCATCAATGAATTCCTGCGTCATCTCCTTGCCCAGACGGGCACCGTCGTAGCCCTCGTCGACAGCCATGTTGTCCAGGTCCAGACCCTCAGCCGCCGAGGGCTGGTCGCCGACCTCAATGGCGGCGAAGAAGGCCAGCTGGCGCACAATCTTTTTGCATTCTTCCAGTTTGAGTCGGGCGTCAGTGCTTTGGGGGTTGAGCTCGACGCATCGTTTGAAGTCGGCTACGGCTTCCTTTGGTTTCAGAATCGCAGCGCGAGCAAGACCTCGTCGAAAGTGCGCCTCCAAGCTGTCAGCACTCGAACCATGTGTCGTTGGCATTCCCGGTATTCTGTCAACGCACCTTGAGCATATTGGGGTCGAGCTCTATCGCCTTGGTGGCGTCCGCGATGGCGTAGCCAAAGGCTTCGGATTTGATATGTGCCTTGCAATTTTTGGTCAGCTACAAGGCCTATCACAAGACAGCTGGGTGACCAAGCAGCCGACCCATGGGTGTACCAACCTGCGCTCGATTTGAGTAGAACGTAGGCTGTGAATCGTCGAGCTCGATGGCCTGTGTGTACAAGTCGACGGCGGTCGGCCAGTCGCCCGCCGCGAAAGCCTTGTTGCCCTCATTCTTGAGGTCGACGGCTGTTTTTGCCATGATCGACTACAGCGTCGCGCGTCAGCTCGTACAAGAGGAGGGGTCGTGTGTCGTCTTGTCGGTAGTGGCGAGATGCTGCGGGCAAAATTGGGCGGTCGTGCAAATTGGGGGCGTCGAATCTACAGCAACCGCAATAGTGCGAGACAAATACACGGGTAGAACAAGGAGGGTGGGAGTCGTGGCGGTAGAAGAACAGCAGATATCGAATCTTGGATCGGAGTTTTATCGAAGAATGGCGGGGTGCTGCTCACAAGTTCCCTCGGTTTGGCACCGTTTGGGTGAGCGAGCGTGCGCTGTGCCTGCCTACACCCACTGTACTAGCGGCAGCGACATGCCGGAGGGTGGCGCGTGCACCCCGAGCCTCGTTTGATGCATATCCGCTTGACGTTCCCAGTAACAGCCTCTGATGAGCAGGCAAGCTGTCCATCATCATCAGCAGCCAACGGTGTTAACTACATCGACACTGCTCGCCACATATTTGAGGCCATTACGGCCGCCAGGAAACACAACATTTCACCATGGATCAGGCGCAACAGCCCTCAAATGCGCTCGTGCGCAAAAGATCCGCTGAGATGGCTCTCATGCCGCCTCCGCCTCAAGTGAAGAAAATCAAGCGGCCCAAAAAGGTGCTGGACGAGGACTCATATACAGAGGCACTGTCTCATATCATTGCCAGAGACTATTTCCCCGGACTTTTGGAAACCGAGACGAAGCAGGAGTACTTGGACGCCTTGGACTCAAAGGATCAAGCATGGATATCAAGCGCAGGCAGGAGGCTGGAGCAAGTTTTGACTCCAGGACGCGGCTCAGGCACATTGCCGACTTTTCCACGACGTGGACTTGACGGGGGCCGCACACCCACAACATTCGTGGGAGACACGCCAGCTTCCGAGGCCACCGCACCATCGCTGAGTGCGCGCCCTCGCCTGGACATGCAGATGAGCCTATCCAAATTCCAGCAAACATATACGAGCGAGGACAATGAGAGCTTCTACAAACTCATTGACAAACAGAACCAAAAACGAGCAGACAAATACGCCTGGCTCTGGCGAGGCAATAAGTTGCCCTCCAAGCAAATGATTAAGCAAAAAGAGGTTCAAGATCGACTGGCTTCAGAAGGGCGCCTACTGGATGATGGGTACATGAAGCGGGATCGGCTGGCTATCAAAGACAACGATGACCGGCCCGCTCGCCCAGACAGCTGGCTCGCGGCGCCACGGAACAACTTTATGTATGTACCAGATGGTGTTGAGACGAGAGCTGGTGCAACTCCAGCAGAGGAAAGTTCTTCATCTCGTGGGAGGTCGGACGGCACGATTGTTCGCGAGAACACGCGGATGCCAGAGCCACATGTACCCAAGCGACCGCCATCACCAACCGCCTCATCAATCAGAGACGCCGTGGCTGGACGACCGCGGGCCCGGGATCAGGACTCGAGTGTGGCTGGCGGAGAGACGCCCAGAGTCAATGGCTATGCCTTTGTCGACGACGAGGACGATGGGCCAGAGACTGCAACACCCGCACCTGTGATCAATCTTGGCCCGGGAGATACCAACAATCCCTTCAAGGTACAAGAAATTGGAAAGAGAGAGTCCCTTCGAGACCGCATGGTCGAACGCATCTCGAATTCCAAGAAATCAGCCTCCCACAATGGCCTGACGGGCCGCGTCGACAACACGCCGGTTCCCAAGTTTCCCAGCAGCCCGAGCGTCAAGGGAAATCTCACCCCAGCTGCGCAACGGTTATGGAGCAGGATCGGGACGCCCAGTGGCAGGTCGTCGGGTGGCTCGTTTGGGCAGTCGACTCCGATGAAGCCCAGAGGCTCATTGCTCCGCAGTGTCTCTCGGGCATCTAAACGCGAGTGATCTTGGGGCCAGCAGGGGATAAGGAGCGGAGTATTTGGTTACATTCAAACGAGCAGATAGACATGATTACCCTGATTATATGATATGACACAACCAGGCGAAGAGACAGCGTGTTAATGCGCCATCGACGCCTCGAGATGCCAGGCAAATTCACTGCGTAATACAAGCGGGATCCGGATTTGGGCGTTGTCACTCGCGACATCGAAAAAAAGACCCAGACCCACACGGCATACGCCATCCATCATGACCTTGCATCATAGACACCGACCCAACCTACGGAGTAGACAGGTCACGACCTACATGCGCGCCCTCGAGCAGGAGGAAAGCTAGCCCTCATGAGGTTCGTCGAAGTTGCCATCGACCTTGCGGCCGTTCTCAGGGCGTCACGCTCAGTTGCGTCCAAGCACATCGCCCTCCGATCACGACAGCTCGACGGGTACACCCGCAGCTCGAGCGCAGCACAGGCATTGCGGAATAAAGCTGTCGGGGGCTTCCAGCAGTCATTGCGACAAGAAGAACAAGATGAGCCCCGCGACGCGAGTGGCGTGACGCTTGATGGCAGCGTGCGGCAGGACGCGAATACGAAAGCGCAAGACTGGCAAGCGGATGCCACGCCAACCGACGCCTCGAGTGAACCATCTACGTACGCCCAAGCGAGTCAGAGAGCGGCCGAGATTAGGAACGCCCAGCAGGCGGTAAATACCCCTGATGGCGTCGACGTGAACATTTTCCACACCAGCCGGGGCTCGCAGGTGCTCGAGTCGTTGCGCAAGCAAGGTGCCGCTGGACCACGTATGAAGCGACCTTCGAAACCGAGTGAGGGACCCCCGAAAGAACACCCTCTGAGACACTGGAAGCCTGCGCCGCCGCTTGAGGAGCACTTGGAGCCTGAAGAATCAACGACTGCTGCCAGTGCGAATGCCTCGCAGAGCCCTGCACAAGCACACGCAAAGGAAGCAGAGAGCCAACCCATCGTGCAGCCGACGGAATCAGTTCCAAAAGATGCGGACGCAATTAAAAGTGCGCATCCAGACGCCGACCCAGTGGCTCAGTTGCAAGCCAAGAATGCGGACGAGGATATCATCGATCTGGCCAAGGACCTCACCGGCGCCAGCTCTGCAGCTACACCTTCCTACCAGCTTCGGGAATCAAAAGTCCCCTCGAGTCGTCTGAGCCGTATGTGGAACTACGGCGGCCTCGCGACAGGCATGCTGGGTGGCGCCATCACCGAAAGTGTGAGCAGGGCATTTGGCGGTGGCGGGTCAGGCTCCGTGCTCCTCAGCGGGAACAATATGGAGAGGCTGGTGGCCAAGCTGTCGCGCATGCGAGGTGCTGCCCTGAAGCTCGGGCAGATTATGAGCTTTCAAGACTCCAAGATGCTGCCCGCGCCTCTGCAGGAAGTGCTCCAGCGCGTGCAGGACAGGGCCGACTACATGCCTGCATGGCAACGGGACAAGGTCCTGACCGCCAACCTGGGTGCCGACTGGAGGGATCTGTTCAGTGAGTTTGACGAGAAGCCCATGGCGGCGGCTTCGATTGGTCAAGTGCACAAAGGCGTGTTGAAGAAGAATGGAAAAAAGGTCGCCGTCAAGATTCAGTTCCCCGGCGTCGCAGACTCCATCAACTCAGATCTCGACAACTTGGGGATCCTGCTCAACGCCACGACGCTACTGCCCAAGGGCCTCTACCTCAACAAAACCATTGACAATGCTCGAGTCGAGCTGGGGTGGGAGTGCGACTATGAGCGCGAGGCTGCGTGCGCTCAGCGCTACAAGAAGCTTCTAAGCAACGACGACGACGTCTTCCTCGTTCCGGACGTGTATCCGGAGGCATCCGGCAAGCAGGTCCTCACCATGGATTTCATGGAGGGCGTCACAGTGACCCGCGTCAAGACATTTACCCAGCAGCAGCGGGATTGGATCGGATCGTCCATCATGCGCCTCTGCCTGCGCGAGATCACCGAGTTCAAGTTCATGCAGACCGACCCCAACTGGACCAACTTTCTGTACAACGCCGACCTCGACCGGCTGGTCCTCCTGGACTTTGGCGCCTCGCGCGAGTACCCGGAAGAGTTCGTCGCGGAGTACGTCCAGCTCCTCGCGGCGGCCGCGCGGTCGGACAAGGCGACCGTCAAGACGCTCTCGGAGAGCCTGGGCTACCTCACCGGCCACGAAAGCAAGGCCATGCTCGACGCGCACACGCAGTCCATCCTGACGTTGGCCGAGCCGTTCCTCGACACCGCGCCAGAGGTGTACGATTTCCAGGACCAGACCATCACAGAGCGCGTCAAGGCCCTGATCCCCGTCATGCTCCGCGAGCGCTTGGCTCCGCCGCCAGAAGAGACGTACAGCCTCCACAGGAAGCTCAGTGGAGCTTTTTTGCTCTGCTCCCGCATGGGCAGCAAGGTGCCCGCGCGAGAGATGTTTGCAAACGCCGTGGCCAAGTCAGGCTACGTGAAGAACTAGCAAGCTTACTATTGTATCAGTATCATATGTATCAACACATGTATACAGCACTAGATAAGGGAAAAGGATAGATGGCGCCATCCTGTATGTTCATGATTCATTATTGCTACACCATAGTGTCCCAGCAACTTGGCCGTTCATCGCCCACGCCGCTGCATAAAGTCCAGCTCCTTCTTTTCCTTGCCAGCAACCTTCTTCCTCTTGCGCTCAATGGCCTTGTCGACCTGGCCCTTGCTCATACCCTCGAAGCGCTTGGTCAGCACCTGTTTCTTCTGCTCGCTCTTCTTCAAGTAGAAGGGCGTCTTGCCCTGCGCCACAAGATCCTTCTCCCGTTTCCGGTGCTCGATCAGCAATTGCTCCTCTTCCTGTTTCTTCTTGCGCGCTTTTCGTCTCGACTCCATTGACATGATCTGCCGCTTCAGATCCTCCTTCTCGTCGGGATCCTTTGTTTTCTTGAGCTGCACCTTGAGATCCGCGAGCTCGGAATCGCGGTACTCGTCTAGAAAGGCGTACGCCTTGGCGGCCTTTGCTTCATCCATGCGCCCAGAGGACATGGTGTCAAAGCGCGGATCGCGTGCCGGGGCTCGTTTGTTCTCGGTGATGATTTCTCGGAACCGGGAGACGGGTCGCTTCGAGGTCTGCTCCTGCGGGGCATGCTTTGAGGATCGCTTCAGGTCTTTGGCAGACTTGAATGTCGGTCTTTTGTATTCTGCGGGTCGCTGGTCTTCATCCTCATTGTCGCCACTTCCTGTCTTCGAGCGTCCTGCGGACGGTAGTGAGGCTTGGGCGCGGGCGAGGGCTCCAAACGAAATGGACGCAAGGTTCGCTCCCGGTTCGGGTTCCTCTTCTTCAGACTGTTTATAAAGTTAGATATTGTCGCCAAACGATGTTCCGAACAACTGACGTCTGAACCAGACTCCGAGTCCCGTTGCGCAGCAGTAGCATTCTCGTCGTCGTCGCTCTCTGACGATTCAGATCCATCGCTCTGAGCTTCGTCTTGCGCCTCAGGCGCCAATTCTTCCTCGCGCCGGAGTCGCACGCGTCTTTCGATGCCTATAGGCTGTGCTTTGCGCTTCGGCGGCATGATCAAGGTGAATTTGCTGTGGAAATGGTCGGTGATGGGGAGCTGTCAAAGTGACGGATGGCGGGACAAGGTCCATCATTTTCCTGGCGGGAACTTTTTTGGGCGCGATAAGGGCTTATCGGCAAGACCCACCTGTTTAGTTTTCATGTGAGCGACTCAGACTCATCTTGAGCCTCAGATCTCTCAATGCATCTCGAGCCACGAATCGTTGTACAAAGCCTAATACTCTCCAAGATTTACACTGATGAATCTCTTAAAAAGTCGCCATCTCTTTTGTTGTCGACATAGCTACAGTTACCTCGGCTCATCGGGCCAGATCTTCTACTCTACCAACAACACGCCCAAAGCCCAGATCACTCTTCAGGAGTCTACGAAAAGCAATTATTACTCCAGGAAGCCCATTCAAAACACACAAAACAGTGTCGAATCACAAGGTCGACACCGCAGAACTAGAGAACCCGCACAGAACATCAAGATGCCTATACCAGGCTTGCATCTCCTTGAGGACTCTCACGCCCCTCAGGCGCCCCAACAGGGGTACGTGTCCCTCACCATGCACATGCACATACATTCAACTTACGCCTTCTAGATCCGGAGCTTCAAATGAGACCAAATCCAAAGAGCCAAAACCCCAAAAGTCAAAAGCCAATAAGGATCTAAAGCCATGGCAAGTCCGTGCACAAGCAAAGACACAGCGGAAAGCAGTCCTGTACGTGACACTTTTGTCCCATAGACTCAGGGGATGTCTGCTCACATTTTAGACAGGCCTCCAGACGAAAAGATATACCCAAGTGCCTCGTCAGGAGGTATTCCTGAACCAAGCGTCGCCTATCTACAGCAGTCACTCTGCGCTCCCACGAGACTCCCAGCGCCGAGACGAATCCTCGTCGTGATGGACCTAAACGGCACTCTACTACATCGCCCACAGAAGACAAGACCATCGCACTTTGTCGCGCGCCCCCATGCTGCCAACTTTCTCAAGTATTGTCTGTCCACATTCCACGTCGCCATCTGGTCCTCGGCACGCCCTGAGAATGTGGGCAAGATGGTGGCCAAGTTGCTCACCCCGGACCAGGTCAAGCAGTGTCTCGTCATCTGGGCGCGCGACCGCTTCGGCCTGTCCAAAGAAGACTACAACTCCAAAGTGCAGGTCTACAAGAGACTCGACACTGTATGGCAAGACGAGCGAGTCGCAATTGCTCACCCTGCCGCGGCCAACGGCGGCAAATGGGATCAGTCGAACACGGTGCTCGTAGATGATTCATTAGAAAAGGGCCGGAGTGAGCCCTTCAACATTCTCGCTCTGCCGGAGTTTTCAGGTCTGGCCAACGAGAAGGCTGAGGTGCTGCCGCAGGTCCACGACTACCTGAACGAGCTGAGCTGGCAGGCAGACATCAGTAGCTACATGCGCGCCACCCGCTTCGCGCTGGACGCCAAGTACAAACTACCATCACAAAGATGACGAGTATGGCAATAGTTAGACGGAGACACCTTCGGATGCGTCCGAATTATCACGTATATAATCAATGAGGCATATAGCACGGGGACGCGAGAAGCAGATGAAACATGTATATTTCGTCCTACTTTGTTTAGGAGCAGATCTCTGCATCCACGACATATGAAAATTAGAGAGTGTGTGCGACGTGTTGTCGTGCGAAATATTCGTACGACGCGTGTCCTCATAACCCACATTCTTTCCCTTCATGTCATTCATTGCAAACATTCCGTCATGATTTCTTTTCTTTTCTTTGAGTTTGGTTGTGAGCGCAGGCGCTTACTTGAAGACCTTGCCGTCGGCGTGGGGGTACTCCTTGCCGTTGACGGTGACAGGGCGGTCCCACTTCCACATGGACTCGAGGAACTCACGGTCCTCGGCCTTGGTGTGGTCGAGCTTGGTGAAGCTGTAGCTCTCGTAGTCGGGGGCGACGTCGAAGACGGGGAGGTAGTCCTGGCCACGGATGACAAAGGCACCCTGGATGACGGAGTCGTTGTTCTCGCCGTAGACGGAGGCAGAACCGAAGAGGTACTTGCGGGAGCCCTCGAGACGGGTGTTGAAGCCACCAATCAGGTTGTTGGACATGAAGACGAGGGTGAGCTCGTCGTTGTACTTGTAGTCAACGCGCCAGATGGAGTAGTCCTCAAAGGGAACCTTCTCCCAGAAGTACTTCATGGACTCAGCCTCGTCGTTGTTCGAGAAGTAGCGCTTGAAGTCATCCAGGGGGTAGGCGGACTTGGGGAGCAGCTCGCAGGGGTGCTTGGCCTTGGGGGCCTCAGCGGGCTCCTCAGCGGCGGGGGCGGGAGCGGGAGCAGCCTTGGCGGCGGCCTTGGGGGCCTCAGCCTTCTTGGGGGGGACGTTGGTCAGCTTGGGCTCGTCGAGGAACTCAAGCTTCTCAGCGACAGCCGAGTAGATGGGCTGGTTGATGACGGTCTCGTACCAACGGGTGACGTTGGGGTACTCCTGGCGCCATGCCTTGCCGAAGAGGTACTGGTAGCCGCGGGTGATGATACCAGCAGAGAACAGGTCGGCGAGGGTGATGCGGTCACCAACGAGGTAAGTGTGGCGGAGGAGGTGAGCCTCGACGGTCTTGATGGCCTTGAGGGCGCGGACGGAGGAGTCCTCAACAGACTTCTTGTTGTAGGAGTCGAGGCCAAGGAGGGGACGGAACCATCCACCCAGAGGGGGAAGGACCTCGGAGTTGAAGAAGGACATCCACTTCAGGATAGAAGCGTAGTCCTGCTTGGTCTTGCCGAGCAGGGTGGTCTTCTCGTTCTGGGAGGTCACTATTGCCCAAGTTAGCAAAGCTCTTGCTCGGGCACTACAAGCACAATTGTGACAAGGTCGAAGCAAGGATCAGAAGTTAGACTTTAACAACACACAGTCGAAAAGACTGTTCAGACAGGGATAACTGTATAATAATTGGGCTAGGTCATCACGCAACGCCTCCCTCTCAAAGAGGTGGGAGGGCTTGATGTTGGGTTGTGTAGAGTATACGTACCGTAGATGGCAACGGCAATGGCCTCAGAAAGGGCAAAGCCATCCTCGCCGAGGAAGGCAGGGATCTTTCCGAGAGCGTTGGCCTTCAGGTGCTCAATGGTGGGCTTCTGAGGGTCGGCCTCAACAATGTTGAGCTCGAGGTTGTTGGCCTTCGCAACCGCCTTGATGGCGGTGGTGCGGGGGTTGTCCTGGAGCAGAAAGCGTTAGCGAGCGATCTTCGTATTGAGATGGACAAGGGGAGACAAACATTGCCCCTGGTGAAGAGAGTACCGAAAGCCATCTTGTCGACGTTATCGAAAATAATCAAGATGATAATCGAATGGAGTTGGTTGGGGAGAGAGGAGAAAAGTCGACGCTGCCACCGCTCAAGAAATTTTATTCACCTGCACCTTACCCCGCGCTAATTTGCTCTCGCGCTCCAGCCACAGTACAAGGATCTGCCCGTGTGGCTGGAGTCTTAAGCGGCTGTGGCTGGTGCTGGCACGTGACTTTGAGCCAGTCCGTAGCTGCGCGATCGCGACTCCAGACAGGGCCAAGGTCGACTTTTTTGGTACGACAGCAACGTCCACCCCATTGCCGTCCACAACCTCATCCAGCACCATGGCGTCCTTTGCAAGCAGTTTGCGGCATATCAAATGCCACAGGCAGCTTACAAAGGGCTCGTGGCAGCCTCAGCTTGCCCTGCGGTCACGACCTGTGTCAAAAGTCGACATTCGTCAATTGAGCACCACCGAGATAACCTCACCGCCGACCGATCCAGTCTCTCAGATCTCCATTCCCTTTCAGAACGTCAATCACGCGCGACAAGTGCCCAAGTCGCCGTCCTATTTCTCCCGAGAACCTCGCTTCAACGATCTTCACCTAAAGTTGTTCAACCTCCTGTCAAAGTACCATGACCTACCCACGTTGAAGCCTGCCGATGCACCGCAAATACCATGGCTCAAGCTGGAGCTTGTGCGTCACCAGCTGGGTGAGGATATCAAGGCGTCACAGTTCTCTCAGGTCATGAGGATTGCCAGGCGATTGAACCTGATCGAGCCGAGCGTGCGACCTCCCGCAATTGACATCGCGCTTCGCTTCCTCAGTCGGTCTGTCGACTCAGTCACCACATTCCGAAAAGTCAAGCTTGTCGACAAGCATGGGCGTGCAGTGGGCGTGGGTAAAAGGAAGTCTTCGACGGCACGTGCTTTTGTGGTGGAGGGCACAGGCGAGGTTTTCATCAACGGCAAGCCCCTGAATGAAGCCTTTGGTCGCATTCACGACCGTGAGAGCGCTATCTGGGCGCTGACTTCGACGCAACGAATGGACAAGTATAATGTCTGGGCCATTGTGAGGGGTGGCGGAACAACTGGCCAGGCTGAGGCCATGACCATGGCCGTTGCGGATGGACTGGTGGCCCACGAGCCGGCTTTGAAAACGGCTCTCCGCGCAGGTAAGTTTCTCGGTCGTATCGTCCAGTACGCATTGCTAACATCTAGTAGCCGGCTGCATAACACGCGATCCCAGGACGGTGGAGAGGAAGAAGCATGGTCAACTCAAGGCTCGCAAGGGACCTGCTTGGGTCAAGCGTTAAGTGCTTTGCAGTTCCAACGTGAAGCAAGTCACGCCAAGTTTCTCTATTGGAGATTGTGGGACCAGTTCGTCAACATTGCTCCATTGGATTGCGAGTCGACTGCCGAGCTGTTGGGCTTTGCTGTACTTGTATAACATACGAATATGATGTTGTAAATATAGACCTTCCATGGCATTTGGAACTTGTATTTCGACATTGTCTGCTTGCATACCTTGCGAAGCCGCCGGAATACCGACGCCTACAAGAGGCATGCGATGCCACAGCGGGTGTGATATGTCGGACTCATTGGGAGCGCTGCGGCCGCTCTGGATGTTTGATCGGCTCCGTGATCAAAGCGTGCCCATCCAGACGCCTTTCGAAGTAGTCAGGGTGTTTCTCTAGTAGCCTTGGTGGGCTTTCTAGTGTGATGCTCTAGTCTAACTCTGTAGTGAGGCGCAATGCTGCATGCTTCTTTAAAGTGAGGCTGTGGACAGGGGCGAGCGTCAGCAACTTCTCGAGTGTGTCACCGTGTCTGTCGGCAGCCCTCGTCAGACCGAGCGGTCTCCGCGGACTACCGCGCGCTACGGCAGAATCGTGGACCGTCCGACCTGTCAGGCGGAACATGAACATGACGGCAGTGGTCCGCTCGTGAGACATAGCCGACGTCGTCAGTACACTCCAGCTGGTTCTATCCATCGAGAGTCAACATCATAGCCAAACCGTATCCATAATTGCATCAAGAGCACAGCTGTCGTCGGTTCGGGTGAATCGCCGGACTCAGTGGACTCGCTCGGGCATCTCGGGGCAAAGGGCCCATGACCTTGTCCTCTGAATGGGTCTGGTCCTTGTAAAACGTGGCTTTCGATGACAACGGCCACACAAGGCGTAATCGATCAGATTGGTAAGCGCTGGCGCAGAAAGTCAAGACGCTGCCGTTTGAGGGGGAATCCACGACAAGGATCATTGATCGAATCGCAACTCGCACCCGAAAATGACAGGTTGGATGGGGGAAAGGTCGCGCTAGGAGCCCAAGATCTGCTGATGTATGGCTCAAAGTGTCGCCGGGTCACCCTCCTACAGCTTCGACACGCCCACCAGGCAGACAAGATCATGAGAGGGCTCATCCAGTCGCGTCCCATATGCCATTGGGCGACGCAGCCGTGAGCACGCCAACTTCACGCCTGTCTGGTAACTCCAGGTCCGCAACAAGCGAGCGCTACTTTGCGCGCGCAGACAGCACAGTCAAGAAGCTTTCTAGAAGAAACTACTCGTACGTACTAGTATAGCGCGTTTCGTCGGTCAACCTTAATACGAGCGAACGCTTCCGTTGTCAATGGTTGTGATAGCGCTTATCATGACATTGCCAGCAGTGCCTTTCCAATTGATATAGCATACGCAGATCACTGTGAGAACATGCATAATTTTGATCGTCCCAAAATTTTACTATGACTCGATCAAATGAATAATCTGTGGTGGTTATGTCCAAAGGACGGCCTGTGATTTTGACGTCCGGCATCGTATGGGATTTGTGATGTCAAACGTCGATATGCTACCCCATTACCAGTTCATACTGATTAGTTGCTCGTCCCTATTCACAAGAAAAGAGCCGCGCTTTTACACGTGTGCTCCGAATTTCATTGAAGTACAAGAATCAACTAAATACAGGTTGCCCTCAACGGAAGAACTCTATAGGGTAGGCGTCAAGTTTCATGCACGACGAGCTGTCAGTCAGCTGCCTCTTGGGAAAAAGTGCGGCCAATGGGGAGATGAATAGGCTGCTCAGGTACGCGAATATGCATGCAAATGCAACGGCGGCAAGATCTCCAGATCGCATCGGTGCCTGCATGTCACATGCCAGTCAGCGATCAGGCTTCTGCTGTCGCAGGCAAAAGCCGTCATAGCGCCAGGTACGATGCGGATCCGCCTCGTCTGTTCAGCTTGGTGGTGAGAGCATGAAGCCACAACGTTCACATTAAGAGCGACAGCGTAGGCGACGAACGGGATGAACCACGACAGCAGCTTCGTACCTTCTGCCGCTGGTATTGTATTCATTAAACATGATTATTATATGGCAACGTCGTACAGAGTTAATAACCAAAAGGATACAAGCAGTTCATGTCTCAGGTGTACGCCAGCAGTCGTAGGCCCACCCCCTCAAATGCCAAAACAGACGCCCCTGCTTTGTCTCAAGGGACCAAGAAGCAGTGATGTTCTTGAGCGCAATAGCTGATGCGCTGCTGATTGCCAGACCGACCGACCAATCTTCACCCATTCGGATGGCTGACAAAATGATTATTATGAAGTGCTGTGCATGTTGATGTTGGATCATTAGCCACAAGACTTGAGAGCAACGAGATGCGCCCGCGCCGGAAAATTTGCAGAATCTCGCTGGAGAAGCTGACACATCCACCAATCACATGTTACAGACCAGTCTGCTTTGGCACTGCAGTGAGCACCTGAAAATGCGCCCCAGTCCAGTCGCGGTCCCTCTTTCCTCTCTTGTACTCCGTACGCAATTTTCCACTACTTCCTCACATCATCCAGTTCGAGAGTAATGAAGGTAGAGATGTTGCGCCCATTCAAGAACAAAGCGTCGCTTCTGATACTCATCTCGTCAAACCGCTGCTAAACCTCCACTTCCCGAAGGTAAGGTATCATCCAGGCTGCTGGCTGTCAACACCGTTAGCTCTGCCTAGTCGACCCACATCTTCCGATTGCGAAGCGCCAACAATCCGAGTTGCAAGGTTCATGCGGCGGTCCTGTGCTCCTTTTTTTTTACGTCCAGGTACCGGGAAAGAAGTGTCTGCGACTGGCTGAACAACAGCCACTTTATTATTATTTCCTACGTATCTGGTAGGGCGCACACAGAACACCGCGTTCAAAAGGTTGGATGTTTCTCAGCCTGACCCATCATGATTGGGTGAGGGCGACTCCCTGTACGGTAGGCAAAGAATGAGGCAACACAACCATTGGGCACCAATTATCGACTTGTTGGTCACGAATTAGTCGAAATGCGTACGTACGGCCCTACGGATTCACGGATTTCCGGTGCGACTATAATATCTCCGCAAAAGCAAAGGGCTGCGTTGCGTCCATCTGCGAGGGCACCCTTCTCCTGGAGCTGGTTGGAATGTCATGTCCAGCCAAGCGGCAGTTGCCGGCGAGGCGCGCAGCTGATCTCCAGCTTCAAGTTTAATATTCATCAATCTTCTTGTCTTACCCATACTTCTGGGACTACGATCCGAATGTTGTCGGGTCGCGGGAACAGGCGCAGGCGATCTCCAAGGGAGCCCAAGCGGCTTCTTTCTAGCCACTTGGTCGCCGTTCTGCTCGCAGCTGTCGCAAGGGCACGCAGAACTCGGTAGATCTCGCGAGGGCCGCGATGCCCAGCTAGATGCTCAGCTCTGGTGTGCTTTGATGTCTCGGTCGGGCACTTCATCTTTGCCAATCGGCCGACAACCGTGCTCGCCCCGAAAACACTGAATGCCGGTTACGAACGAGTGATCGAAATGCAGCTGAAAACCGCGCCACGAGCAGTGCAACTTGCAATGCCCTTATCAAATGGGTGGAAGAAACACAATGCGCCCAAAGCCTTCGGTGAGGTGCCTGCCCGCCTGCCTAATTATAACGCCACACCCAAGCACGCGTTCTTTTACGAGCACAGCCCAAACTCAAACTGGCTGCGACACTCGACGTCTTCGTCAGGCACCGAATCAGGCTCAGGCTATTATCATATTACCTCACGTACTACTCCGTACATTTTGACCAAGAAGACAAGTCGCCACCACCGCTTTGCAAGTCTTCAGCGAGCAACATAACTTGTGCCCAAGTTCCAGGCGAGTCCCGACTGATGAAGAAACCTTCCAAGGATTCGGCTGATCGGGGCGGTTCCTGCTTTCTGGTCCGCCGTAAGACAGCACCAGTCATATCTACGCTCTGTTCCGATGAGACGACTTCCGAGACATAGAAAACTGACCAACAAGTCTAATTGCCCGACTGGTTTACTAACAAAGCGCAAAACTTCGGCACCTCAGCAAAAACCAGGCCAGACAGCTCAGGCCCTGTTGATCAATGATCAATCTTACCTCAGGCAAGGGCACACCATTCCAGAGGCCTTAGCGGTCCCATGTTCTCTCATCACTTGGCCTTCCATGCTTCGGCAACTCAGACAACCTTTACATGGGCACAAGCTTGATGTATACAGGTTCTGTAATGATTATTCCTACTGCGATGCTCAGGCGACCAGCAGTTGACTGTGTGAGCGCTCCCTTGGCCACACTCCCTGTCCAGATACAGATCGGGCAGAAACTAGCCTCCACCCAAGGCATGTCCGACGTCTTTGTGCGCACCAGCCGGGATGATATTAGTTTCCCCACGCCAGGGATCCTGCAACGTCCTTTCGGACACACCTCATCTTGTTTGGCTCACACCGTGAATGGAGCCTCCCGCTGCGCGTCGAGACGTTCTTCGTCATTTTCTGGCCCAAAAGCCAGCCTGGCTGTCTGGGGCATGAACGACGCTAGCCCTAGCTCCTAACTTGCTGTCTATGGCATTTTGCCTGAGAGATCCCTTACTGCCCGGGATAAATTTCGAGGTAGGCACCTACTTGTTGATACATGGGCCTTGGACGCCCAAACATATAACCCTCCAGGAGCGCCTCGAGTGCGCCCGCCTCTGAGCACCGACACACATTGGGAGGTTACTGTTGCCAGCATCAGCCCTTTACGACCCCTTGTCAGCATTCTTTCCGTCCACTGGCCTCTGTCCAACCGCGCCGAAATAACATTGGAGGTCAATTGGCGTCGTAGAGGTTCCTCTCGGCCTTCCACTGTACTGCCCTGTGGCCTGGCCGACACGCTAGCACAGCTTCATAGTCCTTTCGCGATTGTACCGATCAGTCCCAGACTGGTCGAATATAAAGTGCCAATCTGGCACTCTACTACCCCTCCCCGACGCCCTCCCCGGGGACGCATCGTCCCAGCCTCACCTCGGAACCTGTTCGTGATTGTGGTTCAGGCTTGCGTGGCATGGACGACCCGAACCAACCGAGGAGGCACAACGATCCGCATGGTCAGCATACGGCAAACTCCAGGTTCACCTCACAGCCGAACAGATCCATACCTGCAACCACAGCCGACCGGTATCGCTCTGCACCCCTCAACACATCGCCTCAAACACCTCGCAGTATCGGAAGCGCTGGGAACTACAGCAGCTACTATCCTGAGCCAACGTCTGCCTTCTCATCCACGCACCTCAACTCGGCAGGTCTAGCTGGATATGGATCCGACTACAGCCACGATGGTCGCCAGCAACAAACACAGCAAGGCTTTGGCGGGTACCCTGGGGCAGCCATGATGTACAACGTAGCACAACCAAACGCGCAAACACCAGTGTACGACACGCAACAGTTTGGCGCGCGGCAGCCTGCAGGCCTTCAAATGATGACGCCCGATGTCGCGTCAACATATTTCGGTGGCTCGGCCACAGAAAACCCATCTTCGCACTCTGCGAGCTTGCAGCAGCCGGGCCAGAATTCGGGATCGTCCACTGCCCTCTACCAGTCCGGACAGGCACTCAAGTACGCAAACGACATGTCCAGCGTCAACGCACCGGCGCAGCATCAGCAACAGCCAGCGCAGGACGTTGCGGATGCTTCCATGGGCGAGCAGCAAGAGTTCTCAGAGGGCGCTCTGCAGGAGAAATGGCACAACTACCAACGACAATTGGCGACCGTGTTTCAAGACATTTCGAGCGGTTCCCTCGAGACCGCAGCTGAGACACTCCTGTCTATTTCGAATTGGTTGTTATCGCAAGTTGCAGAACTGGGTAAGTGCAGGAAACCCCAATAATCTTTGGACGAGTCCATCCACATCATGGTCTCATGCAGAGATGACATGCAGCCGAGTGTCAAGCGCTAATGCAGTCCCCTCAGGTCTCACAACGGATGACGCCAACTTACATTCCGACCGCATCAAACTATGGGACGACTTCAATCACGCCTGGCTGGCACTGGGGCAGAAACAATTCGACCTCATGCAGGACACCCAGCAACTGTCGCGTCCGGCGCGCATACTGTCCTATGATGCCATTGAGAACCTAGGCGACGAAATAGTGCGCCTTTGCAATGACTTGGAACGTCACGGTCTGGTAGACTACCAGTATGGCGTGTGGGAAGAGCAGATCACAGAAAGTAAGAGACAGCGATGCGCGGAAAATTTCGAGATACGACGGCTAATGCGCGAACAGTCATGATGGCATGCCTAGACCTTTACGACAACCGAACACGAGAGTCCGGCGCATGATGACGGGACACTGTCGGCTGTTGATTGTAACACTATTGCTACTAGTAGAACTACCGGACTCTGTGCTTCGACGATGTTATGATACCTTGGGCAACGGAAACAGCACGGGGCTGCTATAGAGAATACCAGTCAATCTGGACGGCGTATGAAGGGCTGGACGACCATGTGGGATTATGTTCATGGAATGCATTAATGGCTGGGCTGGTACGGCGTTGAATAGATATGGGACCCTTTGTGGTTTGGAGATTCATTCACCTCGTTGGTTTTTGGACACGTATTTTCCCAATGGCTCTTGCGTGTCGAGACAAAGAATCTGTGGCGTAATTATGGACAATGAAGCACTCGCTCCCATTTCATCCTGATCCTACGTACGTGCGTACGTACTTGACCCTGCGCCTCCTAATTACTGTGCTGAGCCTTGCTGTTGATCCGCGGCGCCATGAGGGGCACTGACCATCACTGGACAGACATGTCACATCTCAATTCGCATTCTGACCCAGAACAAACCCCTGCCGCTGATGCGCACGGCGATCCGCGGGCGGGTGATTGTCAACATGGCCAAGGGAGTCGCAACATTGCGGGCATCCTGTGGGATGACGGGCTGTGCGAGGGAAACATGACGGCTGACCACTTCGTCCTCTCCCTTGGTACCGGCGTGATTGACATGGACTGGCTGATCCACACTATGAAGGAGGCTTTCGCCCATCAGCGCTGCCGCCACACATCTGAATGTACGTGCGGAACCAGGGCCATCTATCTGCCTCAACAGAAGCCGGAGGACTTCGGGATCCGAGTCCAGGTCAAGGGTCGTTGGGCACGAATTGTTGTGGACTGCTCTCTATGTACCACTACCCGGCGACCGGCTTTGCAAGAAAAGGACCCGGTCGCACATGCATACTACAGGTATCTGTCTGTATGATGGCGAATGTTGGGCATGAAGAATTGGCCTCGTGACATTTGCCACCAACGTCGAGCGTACTTTACCGGTCCTAATGATTACTTAGGCACACGCTTGCGCAGGCAAAACCCAATGCCACGAGCGGTCAGTTGGCCAAGGCCGGGAATGAAGTCCAAAAACTTGTCTAGCGTGGCCTGTCAGATCAGGCCAGACTAATTAAGTTAGCCTAGGAGATTTGTTTGCACGTTTTTGACATTGGCGGATCCCCTCACACCCTCCTCCCCTGATCCCCTCCTCCTCCTGTCAGGGAGGATGCGACTTGTCCAAATCGTAGCCTTGGCCCCAGCCTCACGGGTCTGAACTCTAAACGACTGACAGACGGGGAGGTACCTGGGCGCGAGCTTCGTTTGTGGACCTGCAATGCCTGAGTATGTCAATGCTAGCTGATCGCCAACGACAGCAGCCGTACGTACGGAGTACAATTAAGTACGATGCCGGCGACCCATAGGTCCCAGACAGGGCCCGCCCGCAAAGCTGGGTCAGCTCTCCAGGGTCCAGTGGCTTGAGGCTTGAGCAGCCGAAGCTTATGGCCCCTATGGGTCCGGCCTTGCCGGATGGCGCGTCTGCTGTAAATTGAGCGACCGCGGGCCATGACTTCTACAGGAATCTCGTGTCACTTTGTCAGCCTCGAAGAGACGTGCGCGCGGCCGGCCCCTGGACATTCCTTCATAAGCCGTTCCAAGGATGCGCGTGAGGCTGTGGGCGAGAGAGCAGAACATCAGCTACGTAAGTACAGTCCAGGGCGCGACTTTGTTGGTGTCCTGTTAGGCTGTTGTGCCGTGTCCGATCTGATGCCCTGTCCACTCCGCACGTAGCGCGTGTTTCACGGGCCTTTTCACCAATACGGCGCAGGATTTTGTTTCGTCGTGTCTGTGACCCTTTTTTCTTCTCTGTCGCTTTTTGCGCGCAGTGGCATGATTGCGCGCCGATCATTGCGTCCAATCCTCTGCACACACACCCTCCAGCAGAGACGAGCTGTAATGCTCGACTCCCATTGGCGATCAATGCGAGTACCGAGTTTCTGGAACAAGTATCGCCAGGGGTCACGAGTCGTCAGCGCATTTGTGCCTGACGAAAAGCGCTGCGGATGGAGGCGTGGCGCAAGCCATGGAGGGGCTAAATGATGCTATCTCCCAAGGTTGTGAGATGGATATTGGGTTGAGTGTCGTGGCGCCTTTCAAAACAGGTTGAAGGTTCGGGAATTGGTGGTCCAGTCTGTGGGGAAACGATCGTGGTCCGATCTGGGCGTCTCGGACGCTGCCGCCCAGCGTGACCTTGTTTCTGAAGCTCACCCTTCTGCATGATAATTCAAACCCTGCATCTCAACCCGCATGTAGCCTGTAGGCCGTTAGACCGGTCACAGCATCTCGGGACTGCGGGCTCCTTTGTTCAGGGCCTTCCCTTGATGAGCGCTCTCGTCGCTGCGCTCCTGACGAGGGCACATCGCGTTAGCATCATGTGCGTATAAGAGCCGACAAGTGAGAGGGCTGCCATGGGTTCACTGCAAACAGTAGTCAAATCAGTGCTCCTGGACATCCTGTGCTTTGCTCAGTGACTCATTGGTGCGATCCGAGCATCTGCACTAGAGCACCCCTTTGTGCACTTCATCCTCAAAGCAGCGGAAGCTACTCACAGCACGTGGGATTCCCGACCTGAGGCCAAGGCTCACCCTCTAGAGGATGCGGCTGAAGACCGAATGATGACATGGGAGCCTGTACTGCCCGGGAAGATCACTTCGATCAACGATCTAATAATAGCACGCTTTCAGCTTGTAAAGAATGTGGGCATTGAGAAATGCTTTTGTTGACCACAAATGATGCCGGACTTTTGGGACACCATGCTTGTTCTGGAATCGCCCACTCTGTCATCTGGTGCGTCGTGATATTCGGCGTCGTCCAACGTGATCGCCAGGCTAAAACCTTAATACTGCTCCAGGACGGTCCAAAAGATAGAACGAGTCTCGTCGAGGAAGCGCACAAGGTTTGACGAACGCCGGGAGCTTTCATATATACGGACTGTTTCTGCTCCAGCCTATGGCCCATGCGCAGTGTATGGCGAGGCCCGATGCTGTAGAAAGGATGCATTGGTGGAACTCGGGGCGTTTGTGAGGAAACTCGCAGCTCAATATGCATGTCCTCAAAGATCTCCTTGCTCAACCATGGCCTGCAACCTCATCCGCAAAATTGTCCGCGGTTGAGCACGAGTGGGAGTCCAGCACAATACACCCAGTGACCTGAGCGCCGAAGAATACAGGTCTGAGTGTCTGAACTTATGTAACTCATTTTCGTTCTTGAAGAGCTGCCTAAGCCTCGTCGCGACTGGGGCCATCTTTGGTTCCGGATTTTAGTGAGCGGTTGATTATTTGTTCATCAGATCTCCCTGGCAGGAAGCAAAATCGGGCGTTCCGACGTATGAGGCCGGAGAAGTTGCAGAGCGATGGTCCATGTGAACTGGTCGCTATAAAGTCCGACTCGTGTTGGAACATCTTATTGTGACATGCGATGTGGGCAAACAATGCCAGACATGGCTGTAGCTGTGGTCCGTCATATGTGCAATGTGATCATTGCCTTCTGTCAGCTGCAAACTCGACTGGCTGATCAACCCGTAGACCTCGCTCGTGAGCATTCTCCACAATCGATTGCTTATGACGCTTAAAATCGGGACTGCGCAGTACGCATCTTCAGTCTGGCGCTTTGAGCTTAGTAGCTTCGCTGAGAGGGGAGCCAGTACAACCTGCTGATGGAATTTATCGAGTTGCAGTCGGTCCGTGTTCGCGCATTTCTTCAACTTATGCGCAGGTGATCTCGACGCGGTGAGCAGTATCTTCCGCACAAAGTCGTGCTATGCGCAAGATGGCTCAAAGCCAGTGTCGCTATGTGGATTAGTATCATAGCTAGTCTCGTTATGAGGGAGAACCGCAGTTGTGCACAAAGAACATCATTTCGCTTGTAATCTAGAACTGATCTGCACACTAGGTTAGCAACCATGGATCGGGCGGCGGAGCAGCAACATACCGAGAGTCAAACTCATGCTGACATCAGTGTTCTCTACCATCTTGGTGAACTCCTCGAAGCTGACTTTGCCGTCTTTGTCCATGTCGGCCTCCATTATCGTCTTGTCAACAATCTGCTGCAGCTGCTGGTCCTTGAGGTTGCTGCCAACCATCATCTTGAGCACGATGAAGAGCTCGCCGTTGCTGATGTAGCCGTCACGGTCAATGTCGTAGACCTTGAACGCGAACCGCAGCTTCTGTTCCTTGTTTCCCTTGTTGCTGAAGGCACTGAGTCCCTTAACGAACTCTTCAAAGTCCACATCGCCGCCACCATCTTCGTCGAAGATGGCAATCATCCTGCCTCCCGTGTTAGCTTCTATCGGAAGCGAGGGGCGCTGCAGTGAACGTGCCGTGTTGCAAGAGGATTCGAGGATATCTGAGGAAGACTGAGGAACTCGTCGCGCTCGATCGTGCCGGAGTTATCCTGGAGGTCCGCGTGTCAGGTTGTTCAGGACATTATGCATTCGACTGCACCCACCCTGTCAAGCTTCTCGAATCGCTTTCGCAAGCGGTCAACCTCTTCCCTGTCAACTTCCCAGAATGTCAGTCTGTCGTTGGCGCGTTCGCCTTCGTGGGTTTCGTACAGTTGGAGCCCTCGACTATGCTGTCGAGGACGGAGCTGGGTGTGTTACCCATGTTGGCTGGCGAAGAAGCGGTAAGGGTCTGTCGTCCGTAGAGATGTCGAAAATCAAATGATGTCAAGTGATTTGAAGGTGGTAGTATGCCCGAATGCCAAGCTTGGCGAGAGATAGTGTATGTAAGATCGCTTTGTGGATGCTCAGAATGATGCTGTGCTGCTTCAAACGGGTTGCCGTCAATCGTGGAGGGGCAAGTCGACGCTTAGCGCACGGACCACACCCCTAGTCCAGTACTTGGGTCATGACTTGGTCGCAGGAGTACGTAGTAGGTAGTTTAAAGTTCGCAGCTAAACAATTGTGATCATTGTGAGCTTAACATTTATTCGTTGAACAAACAATCTCTCAATGTTCTCACCGATCATTTGCATATTACAGTTGCCTTACACACGCGCAAGGTCAAGTCGTCGTAAGACCACCTTACTACTACGTAAGTACGTACGTATAATAATTAATTCAAACAAACCATGGATTGCTAGGGCGAGTATGAGTGTGGCTGGCCAGCTGTGGCTGGTGACTGACTAGACTTGGCCGTGTTCATCCCGGCCTAGGCTAGAACGGGACGACCAAAGGTGTCCTCTAGAAAACGCGCTTCTCATTGGCTCTTTTCTAGTCGGGCTTTCACGTCCTCTGGGGCACTGAAGTACCTTCCCCGCTATTTTGTGAGCAGAGTGACGCGTGCGATCCCCCCTCCTTCCTCCACACAACTGCAAAGGGTCATTTCACGCTGGGCCAGCGCCATCTTCCAGCACCCGGTTCGAGCCTGCATCACCGAAAATTCTTCGCGAGGCAAAACAACGCCCAACGTCACCTCATCACCAGGCCACCATTCAGTCATCGAAAAGGGCCCCAAACCACCCTTTTCCATCGCAATTTTTGCAGGAATTTCACCTGCAGACTTTGTTTTATGACTTGATCGCTTTTTTTTGCGGATTTTCCGCTGCCTTTTGGCTCAAATCGCCCCCCCTTGCACCATGTCATCACGCAAGGTTCGGGTGAAGAAGCTGAGCACAAAGACGGCACTACCAGTACTCAGAGAGGACCAAATCGACCCTTCAGAATACGAAGCACTTGCTCCCGATACACAAATTGCGACAGGTGTCGAGCAAGCTGAGGAAAAGGTGAGTTTATTCCTTGTCTGGTATCACGTGTACATCACGTGATATCTCTTGGCATCCCCTGAGTGCAGTTGCTGACTCATCGTTCGCATAGGAGTACCACTTGCAGACAATCCTCAAAGATGCCGGCACCAGCAATGACCAGGAAATCCCTGTGCCACCTCCGCAGGAGAGTGCCATCAATTATGATGACCTCTATCCAAGTACTTTCCGCACGCCATCCACCTACATCCGTTTCTCACAGACGGTGGAGGAGTGCATCAGTATCCACTATGACATGAACTCGGAAGATGATGCGTTCCTCAGGAGTTACAACAGTAAGCCTCCTGCTGCGGGGCCCCTCTCTGAAGATGACTTTGAGCGCATCATGGAGGCGTTTGAGGACACTGCCGCAGAGCAGACACCCTTTGCGGCCGTCGACAACACAGTCGCCTCTTACCAGGTCATGTTACCAGCATTGAATCAAACAGCTGCGGATAACCATCCTGCTGTCTTGCAGCATGCCGAGGAGGTCTACTCCCACTGGAGGCAAAGGCGGAAAGAGCTGAGCAATAGACCTCTCAGGCCATCGCTCAAGTTTGAGACACACCAGGAGACTGACGATGCCGATCCGTACGTGTGTTTCCGACGTCGCGAGGCACGCCAAACCCGCAAGACTCGAGCTCGCGATAACAAGATCGCCGAGACACTCAAGCGGCTGCGGCGCGAGTTGGAGGATGGCCGCCAACTTGTTCTCTTGTCGACGCAACGTGAGATGGTGAAGAAGAAGTTGCTTGAGGAAGAGATATCCTTGTTCGAAGAAAGAGCGCGACTGAAGCAGATGAAGATCAAGTTGGGTCTCAAGGACCCCGACGACGATCTTGTCAACCAGAAGGTATGGCTGCTCTTGACCCCACTTGATGCGCCCGTTGCTAACTTTTCCCACCAGCCTCAGAAACGCAAGGCTCCCGAAGCCCCAATGGTGCAAAGGCCTCCTGGCGTCCACTTGCGCATGCCAATGCGGCCAGATGGCCGCTCTGCTGATGCTGATCTCATCCTGCTCGCTGACAAACGTGCCGAGAAGGAGAATGAATTCCGACACGACATAGAAGTCAAAGTCGCGAATCATCGCAAGTGGAACCAAAACCATATTGACCTTACAAGAGGTCCTCTGTCGCCCGTAAAGGAGCAGGGCACAGAGCTCAAGTTCCGGCCTGCCAAAACGCAATACCTGATGACTCCTCCCGCTTCCACGTCCGAGGATATGGATCTGGACCAAGAACAGGAGCCAGAGGCAATGGCGATTGACAAACCGAACCCGCCCATTTTCCAGTTTGAAGCGGGCGGTGCCGGCAGAGATTCTGGGGCGCACCCGCCGGCCTTTCGTCGTCGTATCGGTCGCCTCAATCGACTTTGGATCGATCGGCGCGGGCTGCAAACACCACCGCGCAGAGGTGATGATGATCACTGTGACCGCTGGGCGTATGACTCGGACTCGGATGACGATGAGCCCCAGGTGTACGAGGTTGATCCGTTCGACATGAGGGCGCTCAAGTTCCGGGCTACGATTCCGCTGAACCCGTACTTCTTCCGAAAGCCGGCACCTGTACTGGACCCGAATCGAGCCTTGCCAGCGTCGCAGCAACAGCAGCAGCAAGCGCCGCATCCCCTTTCACAGCAGCAGCAACAGCAGCAACAACAAGCGGCTGCTGCCGCCGCCGCGGCCATGCAAGCTCAGGCGGCTCAACAAGCCCACCAAGCTCAGCAGGCGCAACAAGCCCAACAAGCGCAAGCTGCGCAAAAACCACAGGCGCAAGCGCAGGCCGCACAATAAGGCTCCGCCTTTTGTATGATATCCCACGAAGTGGAGTGTATACCCCCGATTTGATGTATTTTGTGTTTTTCACTGTTTGGCGCTGGGGCGAAAGGGGCGAGACGGGAATGGTCATCGGTTAGACGGCGGCTTTTTGGTTGTACAGTACAGTCGCATTGCCAGGAGTTGTGGCGTCCGGGTTCATCGTCAAGGCTCATGGGAGACTTGAGGTTATAATGATCGAAAATATGCTCCGCGGGGCAACTTCATTTTTAGAACCGTTCCGATGTGTCTTCTCGTCGTATTCGATCGTGAATGGAGTAATTCTTGTCGTGCGGCCATTCGGTGCCTTTCGGATGTTGCCGTGGTCAGCTGCGATGTCATGGCATTGCGAGCTGTGTGGCTCTCATGTTTGCTGGACAGACACGAGCGCACATGAGTGTATGATAGCCTAGAGACACCGGATAGTCAGCGATATGTCATGACGCATGATATCGTCCTCGCTGTCGATCGGCGACTCACGGTATAGTATTGTGGACGTGCGAGACAAGTCCGCGGCAGTCAAGCGGCTAGGCGACAGTGACGACAGGCCATGCCGCCATACGCAGCCAGCGTTGAAGCCATCGTAGACACAACCTGTGAAAAGATGTAAAAGGCAGTGCAGCGCAAGTGCGGAGTAGGTAGGGAAAAAGATGGACGGTCGGTGGCAGGCTGGATGGAGAGTGGATTTATCGACGTAGGCAGGATACACAATTGTGTGAGCAGAAGAAAACTGGGGACCCGCTCGCTGCGGGTTTGAGGTCCCGACGGGACTGTCAGGCTTGGTGAAGATGGTGGTCATTAATGGTGGAGGCACTGGAGGGGACCCTGGCCCGTCAACCCGTCCCGCCCATACTTTGCTGGATCTAGAGCGGAAAAAAAAAACGAATTTTCGCCCTCTTTTGTGAAGAATTGTCGTCGATTCATTAAAACTTCTCGAACAAGTCGATAGTAGGTTGTAAATTTGCAACGTCACTCTGTAATGCCCATGGATGCCGAATGGTCCATAGATTGATTCATGAAACTAACCACGACGTGATTCTCGCACGCCTTGTCCAGGTGCCTATTCGGGATTGTGCTCACGTGTTATGTAAGCCATGCTAGCCTGTCTTGGCTGCCCCTCCAAAAGGCACGATGATATCAAGTGGGATGGGCATAACTTCATCAAGATAATTTGCTTCAACAGTGTTCCCAAATATCCAGCCATCTACACCTACAGAACTCTCTGAAAGCCTCCACACGCCCCTCTGGTCACCGCCGCGCAATCGATACCAACCGTAAACTCAGTGATCCACTGACCGTCCCCCCAGAGTAGTACCAGCGAACAGTACCCCGCGATCGCTCAAAGACGCGCCGACTCGGGGAGAACATATCATCACAGCCTGTTGCACCATGGCCAAGGACTCCTGGATAGCCTTGGGCTGTGAGGGCTCAGCAAACAAGCTGGGGATAGGCGTCATCAGACACACTTCTTCAAACGAGACAACGATCCTATCAAACCTCCGGCACACCTTTGTCTCGCCGCCTGGGACAGGCTTCCTCCCCAAAGATACAGCTGCCCACCACCGCGCACACTTCCCCCAGCTGGCTCTGCGCGCCCTCAAAGAAGCGGGTTGCTCCATTGCCGATGTGGACGTGATCTGCTTCACCCAGGGCCCAGGTATGGGCGCGCCGCTCAGCAGCGTCGCGGTCGCGGCACGCACGCTGAGCCTACTATGGGACAAACCACTCGTGGGCGTGAACCACTGCGTAGGACACATTGAGATGGGCAGGACGATTACGGGGGCGGACAACCCCGTGGTGCTGTACGTGTCGGGCGGTAATTCACAGGTCATTGCGTATGCCGAGCAGCGGTACCGCATCTTCGGCGAGACGCTGGACATTGCCGTGGGGAATTGCCTGGACCGGTTCGCGAGGACGCTCAAGATCAGCAACGACCCCGCGCCAGGTTATAATATCGAGCAGCTGGCGAAGAAGGGGAATATACTGCTGGATCTGCCCTACACGGTCAAGGGCATGGACTGCTCGTTCTCGGGGATCTTGGCGAGCGCCGATGCCTTGGCGGCTACGATGGACAAGGGCGGCTTCACACCCGAGGATCTCTGCTTCACGCTGCAGGAGACTGTCTTTGCCATGCTGGTCGAGATCACGGAGCGGGCGATGGCGCACGTGGGGAGCAACCAGGTGCTCATCGTGGGAGGCGTCGGCAGCAACGAGCGGCTGCAGCAGATGATGGGCGAGATGGCCAGGGAGCGGGGCGGGAGTGTGTTTGCTACAGACGAGAGATTCTGCATCGACAATGGTATTATGATTGCGCATGCTGGGCTGCTCGCGTACCGGACTGGCTACCGGACGGAGCTCAAGGATACCATGTGCACGCAACGTTTTAGAACAGACGAGGTATTCGTCAAATGGAGGGACTGAGTTCCCATGATTTCAAGAGTATTGCTCGTCTCCTGTGCCCGCTCGTTTCTGCCGAGATTCTCCAGGGGCTAGCTAGGCCCGTGCCTTCTATCTGAACACATTATCATATCGGATTGTCATAGTAGCCTTCCCGTTCCGCGCGCGGAATCCTAACCTTCGTCTGCTGATGTTGGTTTGTAAATAATTGTTGTGACGTACTAGAAACACAGTCTTTGTAAGCATGGTGGTCGCACGACCCCTGGGACAAACGCACCTTGTTCCTGTATCGCGTGGTAGCGGACACGGCCAGTACCCCGTTCTTGATGCTGCTGGTGGCCAGATGGTTCAGCACGGTGTGGTTGGGCATGTTCAGCACACTATTGTCATCTTTCATCAGGACCGCGGCATTGAGTATAGGCTTGCCGAGAAACCCTGGCAAACTCGGTGGCGTGGGCAGCTTCTCTATTGCGGCCACGGCGTTCTGATAAGCCGGCGAGTCTTCCGCTTGGTCAAAGTCTTCCAAGTACTGCGGAATCTCGTTGCGATAGCTGTCCAGTGGGGGCACGTCTCTTCCCTTGGGCGCCTGTCGCCTGTCGTCGCGCGCCGTGGACTGGGCCGAAGATGTCCGTGAGGCGCGCACATCAGACGAGTCTGCTGCTTTGGAGGTGCCGGATGATGGAGGGGGCTTTGTCTTTGGCGCATCTTCTGGACTGACCTCGATGTAGTTGACGAGGTTGTTGCCAAAGTCGACCGTGGTGGGTAGGTCGGGCGACGTCTGCATGATGCCGTCCACGAGGAAGCGCACATGATGGGTTCCAGGGAGGACATGAATCGTCGCTGTAAAGCAGCCGGGCTTTCCTTCACTGCGAGCAGAGTTAGCGTGTCTTCTTCGATGGTCCTTGCCAGCGGATACAAAGGTCCTGAGCCACGGTAGCACAGCATGTGATGCCGGCATCGACGCCGTGCTCCGGGTCAGACCTCGCAAGGGTGGCTGGCCAAGGTTGCAGAGTGTCACTCACACTGGGTGTAAACGATGTTTCCGATTCCATTGGAATATCGATCCTGTGACATAGATCTTGTCACCGCCTCGCTTCCACTCCAACTTTGCAGGGACCACCGGCCTCGTCTTGTCCACGCGCAGCTCTTCAAAGTCCTCGTCCTCGGCCGTGCCCGCACTGAGTCCGGAGCTCTTCCTCGTCAGTACGTCAGCGGAGGATTCACCAAGTTCCCCAACGTCGGGGAGCCCTTGTTCTTCGGGCGCTAGGATGGGTGACCCGGGCGTGTGAACCTCCTCCTCGATCGGTAGAGGCAAGCGTGGCGGGTGTGCCAGATACGTGTCCGTCATGCTCTCGTTGGACAGCAGGTTTGGATCGCTATGTGTGGCCGCCGTGTCTGAGTTGTAGTGCGCATGCGGGTGCCCCGAGCTATGCGACCCGGGCTCCATCGGTACATCGACCGGCTTTGTGGGTTCGTGCCGTACAAAGGGCCTTGACTCGGACGCCTTCTCCATCCTACTGGCGAGGTCGCGACTCGTCGGCGTCGAGTTGTTGCTGCGCGGCGACCCGGAAAGTGACGAGACGGCTGTCCCCGGGAGACTCTTGGGCCTGGAGACGATGGTCGAGCCCTGCGCCTGGGCCAGAGAAGCCTCCGGCGGGGCAGCAGATCTCTGGTGCGTCGAGTGCTGCAGGATGTTGCGCGTGTGATTGCGAGAGTGCCGGGGCGACTGCGAGTCGTGGCCGTGGGGCGTCGCGCTGCCCGAGGAAGCTCCTGTCGGCGTCTGAGGCTTCGACGAGGTGGACGATGGGTGGTTACCCATGATGGCGGACGGCGGCGTGACGAGGCAGCGCGAACGAATGTGCGAGTGAGTCTAGAGCGAGATTGGAGGACACGTGGTGAGGCAGGCGCGCCTCGGTGGACTTCCCGTCAGTCCAGCCCAGTCCAGTCGTCGGAAGGTGCGTTTGTTCTGCGTATGTCCAGTCGTTTGTCACTGTGCAATGCTGGCAGTCACGATGCGGGGTGCCACTTCAGATAGACCGGTCGAGTTTGTGCACTAGGGACTGGGCACCATGCCCACTGAGCTTCCTGTGGTTGATTGGCAGATGCGAATTGAATGCGTGAGCGGGGTGGCTGTTGGCGACGTGTGATTTCTGCTTCGAATGCGCTGGATCGTGAGGCCGATTCGGAGGTTGGAAGAGCTGAAATGAGAGTACCCAGGTATCATGGATCAATCCGGTCATTCCACGCTCCCGGGCTGGGCATTTGGCGGGGCACTGGGCGGCCCTACAGGTGCAGACTGCAGCCTGAGTAAGGTACAGTGGGACCCGCATCGCTGCCAGCCAGCCTGAGCCTGGGCCTGAGCCTGAGTGTTCATGAAGTTGATTGTGTGTTGAATCAATTCACTCGCAATAGTTGAACCCCAGATCAAGCGAGTGAATCAGTAGTTGATCAATACTGCACTTGGTATTTTCTAGCACAATGGTCATGCCCTTTAGAGAACTCTAAAGGTAGATCTCGTGCTACGTACCCGAAGGTGGATGGTCTGTGCGCCCCCAGTCATCCAGAACTCCATGTCCATTGACGTATCGTCTGCCGGCAGCACTGGACTGGGTTATCAATCGTACGTACTCGCACGCGTTGCCAAGTCACGATCTGCCATCACCGGCACCTTCACGCCCGCCACAATGGCCGAGCCAACAGCCGTGTCGGTCATTATCGAGCCGCTGTCCCTCATCTTCGGCTTTGCCTACTCAGCCGTGACAAGCATTCACTACAAGTGGTGGATCCTGCATATGGCAACAGTTGTCGCGTTCCCATTCCAGCTTCTCCTGATACCGCTGCGCATAGTCACGTCAGTTCTGTCGGTGGTGTTCGCGCCCTTTATATATCTTGGCTATTGCTTTATCGCGCTCGCGAGCACCTTGTGGACATGGCTTGCTAGCCTCGAGGTGAGAAATCCCCCCCCCAAAGCATGTCAACAGACAGCTCGACTAACCAAGAGGCAGCCACTGTACACTTTTGTGAGCTGCACACTATCACAAATGCTGCATCTCGTTGAACTGACGTATCTAGGTGGTCACCGCCGCTACAATAGGAATATCTGCTGGCGTCGTGTTGGCCTTGGTGTCCAACTTTGTCTCGACCAAGCTCAGTATCCAGGATTCGCCGTACGATGATGCGGCAGAGGATAGTGACGGCGAGGAAATCAGTCCTCTGCCGAAGCGCCGTTTCCTCTCTGACAGAGGTGACTCGGATGAAGCGGACTGGCAGTGGTTGGAGACGTCCACATCTCCCGTCCGCCGGAAGCGTGCATCTGGTTTGCTGTCACAGACGATACATGAGGAAGATGACTCTTCAGACGCTTAATTGAATCTCTTTACATCGACAGAAAAGGCTTGACGAGCCAGTTCCGCACTTTCCACGCTGCCTTTTTGGGGTATGTTGTTCGCTAAGTGCTTACTTGTGCAATGAAATGCCGTGATCAATCTCTCGCCTGGCCAAACCGAACGCCAAGCCCCCTTTCACGCTGATCCGTTCAGCGGTTGGCCCTGGAAAGTGCCAGGCCTAGCTGTAGCTACCTGCGGTAAACCTCAACTCGTTCCCGTTCTCGATCGCGTCGGTCCAGGCCGGGAGATCGAGAGCGGCTACGCGTCCGTCGATACTCGTCCCTAGGAGGTCGAGGCCGCCTGTCATCCCTCGGTCGATCATCTCTGCGCCGCCCATCGTCTTCTCCCCTATAGCTTGGAATGTACGTGTCTATGTCGCCTCCGCGTGGCGGCAAGCCTCTAGGCCGGGGCGCGCGGTCCATATCGTCTCGTGCACCTGGTGGCGGCCTGCTTGGCGGTGGCCCGCGGTCTCGTGGCCACGGTGGCCGCCGATCATCACGGAATCGTCCATTGTTCGGTGCACCACCGTTTCTAACGTAACCGTCGCTGTTGAAACCCGCCGTCGCGCCATTGGCGTCGGGCCCGATACCAACAGTACCGCCCTTGGGCGCCGGCGGGAGATTGGCTTTGCGGTCGTGAAACTTTCTGCGGTCCAGCTCGTGACTCTCCTCGTATGTGGGGATTTCGTGAGGCTTCATGGGCAGTGGCTGCATCTGGAAGAATGGATGCTCCAGGGCATCGACCGCGTTGATCCTGGTCTTCCAGTCCAATCGTAATAGTTCTCTCAGCAAGCTGATAGCTCCTGTTCCAGCACTGCGGGTTGTCAGTCAAAGCTCCACTTTGATTGGATGAAGCAAAACGACTTACTCTCTGAACCTGTTCTGGAGGTTCCCAGTTCGAGGACGAGGTGTTAGGCCTTGACCGCCGGGGAGCAGTTTCCAACCAGGCATGTTCTCTTCGGTGGGTGACCCCATAAGATCCCAGATGAGCTCGAGCTGGTGTGTGTCGCTTTCACCCGCCAGGATCGGCTTCCCCACGATCATCTCGGCGAAGATACACCTGCAGCTTTGTCAGAACAGCGTTTCCGAGATCATTTGCAGATGCTTACCCGACTCCCCAGACGTCTACTGCGGTGGTGTACTGCTTCAACTGGAGTAGTAATTCTGGAGGTCGGTACCAGCGCGTGACCACAAGACTAGTGTAATCGCGCCGCCCTTCGCCTCGGTTTTGGCCACGAACGGGTGGAGGTCCTTCGTAGTGTCGAGCCAGTCCGAAATCAGCTATTTGCAGCAGGCCCTGGTTGTTGATAAGGATGTTGGCCGCCTTCATATCGCGATGGAGGATGTTCTTGTCGTGAAGGTAGCTGAGGCCTCGCAGGAGCTGCAGGAGGTAGCACTTTATCTGCCCCTCTTTGAAATGTACGGATGGATTCTCCAAGAGACCTGAAAGGTCGTGATCCATGTACGGCATCACCATGTACATGATGGGCTTCTTACGCTTGTCGGCTTCAAACGGCTGTCAACGGGGACTTGCATCGATCGATATGAATGCGACACTCACTGGCTTTTGTTGGATGCTCCACGGCCATATCCTCGAGGCGAAGGACATTCTCGTGTGACAAGAGCTTGAGTAGCTTGATTTCTCGCAATGCCGTAATCGGGAACTGATGAAGTGGTCAGTACCAGCCGATTGACCAAATCTTCCAGACGCCATGGCTCACATACCCCGTCTTTCTCGTGGTGCATGATAATCTTCTTCAGCGCCACGATCGATCCGGACTTCCGCGACCGGGCCCGATGAACCTCACTGGCCCATGTTAGCAAGCTGTCTCCCAGGGAACCGGTTTCACTCGGTTCTTACCCAAATGTTCCCTCGCCCAGTTTCCCCAAGAGCTCGTAGTCGGCTATGCGCGAGCATCCAGCATAGGTCCTCTTAGGTCTCTGGTGGTTGAGGGCAAAGGTCCGTGGCGAGGTGCCCTCCGGCGTGCGTTCGAGGACGCGGTCCATCGCGACACCTGGATGAGCTGCCCGTAATGAACTGGAACCCGAACTTGTAGAATCGTTGGATCGATCTCGTGCGTTGAAGTTGGTGACTTTGGTTTCAAGCCCAGGGAAAGGCTCGCAACGCCATTCGCGCGCAAGCGCGTTCTACTTTCACGTGCCAGTCCGTGGCCACTATGGGAGGCTGTAAGTTTTCTAATGATGGCTTCTTCTGGGGAGCTGTCGAGATGATGGCGGGACGTTTGCGATTAAGTAATTAATAAGGTATGGCGATACACTCGTTGCGAAGAAAGTGTTGCGAGTTCACTGAGTAGATCGCCCAAGGACAATCCGATTGGGGAAGGCGGGGTCTGATGGCAGAATCGCTCAGCGCTAGGGATCACCAAATGCAGCAGCGATGAGGTCAGTTTGCCTTTTGACAGCTCGCACCACCATCAATCAATTGCTGCCACGCTTCGATGGTTATTGAGCTTTGAGAACCTGTCCATCAAAGTACATCGCGGTTCTGGAAATTAGACCAGCCCATCCGTCCTGTCACTTTACCCCGAGTTTATTCACCATTTCCTACCAAGTACGGATACTACCTGACTAAATGCAGTCCCGCTGAATCGTGAATTCATACTCAATCTTTCACTCAAGCGACTGGAGAGGCCTGGAAAATCTAGAGCGGACCATGTGATACTAACATCACGCAAGTAGTGTCGAGATGCCATCGATTGATTGGACTAACATAGGGGAACAGTCGTGAGGATGCCTTCGCGACCAGTCGTGCACCGCAGCAACATGATACTATGGGGTAATAATTACCCCTTCTAAACAGACTTCGAGAACATCCAGTCCACAGTCAAGCGCTTCTTTCGCCCAAGTTCCGACTTGGGTGCACCCGAGCCCCACCGTCGCCGGCACCACTACCCAGACTTCAAGGTTCATGGCCAAAACTTTCGGCTGCTGGCCACATAAAGCAGGAGGGAATTTTTTCCATGCAAGTGTAAACGTCCCAGCGAACTCTCAATCCAGCATACAACATTTTGAAAGAGCATTACTGCTTCACTCGGACTCAAGTTGCCATCTCAGCTCTTATCGCACCTCACCATCTTCCTGTTATCTCTGGCAATCCTCCATACTATACTCCCACCATCTCCAAGTGCCAGCAGGGAAACCTGACAGAGCCTCTACTGGGAAAGTTTCCCAGCTGCGATTCCAAGGTGCTCGAGGATATCGTGTCTACTGGAGTACAGTACTTCAAAGTTCAACCACCAAGCAAGTGTCGAGGACACTGTAAACTTGCGTGTGCCAATTACACACGCAAGCCAAGTACGCTTCCTCGCTCGAGCTTATAAAGTAAACTCATCCATCCTCACTCCTGCACCATGGGGCCTCTACACAGCAATGGGCACACCACGCCCCCTTACAACACCATTCTCCCCGAGTCTCGCGTCCTCATCATTGGCACGGGAGGCACCATCTGTATGCAAGAAGGGCCAGATGGGCTTCAACCGTCCGAGGGATTCATGGACAGTGCCATGGCACCCCGCCCATCGTTCAACGATCAGTCAGGCCCGTCCTTGGGCCTCCCAGCCAAGCACAAGGGCAAGGACATCACGGTACCGTCCCTGCGCACGCCTCCGACCGCGTACAACCGCCACATTCGCTACGGCATGGTCGAGTTCGATCCCCTCCTGGACTCTTCGTCCATGTCGGCGAGTGACTGGGCCGCCATTGCCCTCGCCGTCCAGGAGAACTACCACCTCTTTGACGGCTTCGTCATCTTGCACGGCACCGACTCTCTGGCCCACACAGCCTCGGCTCTCTCCTTCATGATGAACAACCTGGGCAAGCCCGTCATCTTGACAGGCTCCCAGGCGCCCATCTTTGCACTCCAGTCCGATGCCGTCGACAACCTCCTGGGCTCCCTCATCATCGCGGGCACATTCGTCATCCCCGAGGTGTCACTCTTCTTCCACCACAAACTGTACCGCGGGAACCGGACGACAAAGGTCTCGTCAGCCTCCTTTGAGGCCTTCGCTTCGCCCAACTGCGAGCCCCTGGCGCGGGTCAACGGGCTGGGCATCGATGTCAACTGGCCTCTCGTTCTCCGGCCCACGACCATATCCCCTCTATCCGTAGCGACAGACCTAGACACGACCCACGTCGCATCTCTGCGCATCTTCCCAGGCATCAAGGCGGAGATGCTCGACGCCGTCCTGCGTCTGCCTGATCTCCGAGGCCTGATTCTCGAGACATTCGGCATGGGCAACGTGCCCGGCGGCGCAGACGGGCCCCTGACCCGTGTCATCAAGTCCGCCATTGAACGCGGCGTCATCGTCATGAATGTCTCCCAGTGCGTGGCGGGCTTCGTATCGCCAGTCTACGCACCCGGCACCCACCTCGGCCGTGCCGGTGTCGTCTTCGGTCTAGACTTGACGGTCGAGGCAGCTCTCACCAAACTCTCCTACCTCCTCGCTCAGCCAGGGCTTTCCAAGGCGGAAATCACGGCTCGTCTCGCGCGCCCCATACGCGGCGAGATGACCGAGGTGCCACAACCGAGCTTCTCGCACCCTGCTTCGTCGCTCTCGGCTGCGTCCGAACGTCTCACGGTCGAGAAGTCCGCCTTTGCAGCGCTTGGGTACGCCATCGAGGAAGGCGACGCCGCTGCGGTGCGTGACCTGCTCCAGGGGGATGGCGCGCAGTTGTTGACACAAGCCGACTACGCGGGGAACACCGCCGTGCATCTGGCAGCGGTAACAGGCAATGTCGGCATCGTAAGGGACCTGCTCGAGCGCGGGGCCAGCGTCCACGAACGCAACAAGGCAAACAACTCGCCACTCTTTCTGGCTTCTCTGTCAGGGAAAGATGAGTGCGCGCAGCTCCTCAAGCAGGCCGGTGCGCACCTCTCGGTGGAGGAGATTGAAAGGGGTCCGTGGAAGTCTTCGGCCTGATGAGGCGAGCTCCAAAATGGAATTGATTGCCACAACAGCGTATAAAGTAGAATTTCGCCATAGAACTCACATACTGCCTCGCAATTTCTAAAGCTGCCAACCCATGGTGAATAAATACTTGCTTGACAAACTTTCTTCAATTCTACCCATCGCCCCCATGTGTTCTGTTCCCTCGCGTAGTGTACAGCAACAATGCAGATGAGCCAATGCAGCAAACTTGCTCTACAGAGCACATGTCTAACCTGGCTTTCCAGCCTTCTGGCACTGCTTATCGAAGGAAAAGATCGCCACCTCCATTTCTAACAGACCTCGATCGGTCTACGTGATCCAAACCAAGGTAATCGTCTTCCGTGGTGGCAACGCTCCACAGTTCATCGTCTGTCCAGAAAGTCAGCGTGGTTCCCATACGCATGGCGACATTAAGTACTCACCGTCCTCGAGGTATTGGGGTTTTGAGTAGTTAGCTCTCCTCACCAATGCAAACTTGATCTTCTCAAAGCTTTTGCCCTTGAAGCCCGTCCGTTTCTCCAGGCGCTTCTTGGTGTCCGCGAATTTCTCGCCCTCGACCATAAGGAACTTGAAGGGAACGCCGTGCGAGCGATTGACTTCGTTTTGGAAGTGGAAAACTTGGATGAAGTTGCTCTCGTCTGCATCAACCTCTTCAGGGGGCACACGCTCAGCATAGATTTGCGTGTAATCGCTGAGGTTCAGGACCGCGTGGTCTCGCGCAGGTTCCCGGTAAACCCTGTTCGAGTTTGTCTCGTAGATTCTGATTCGGCCGCCCTCAGCCTCGTCAGGGATCTGCAGTTTCTTGATGAGAGCTTCGACGACGTCGGACAATGTTCCAGCTTTCGGCACCAAGAGGTCGAGTGGTTCCTGCAAGCGTGTTAGCCAGTCCCGGGGGGTGCACTCAGGTGAAATTTTACCTCTTTCGTAATGCCTTCACTCAGCCAGGTCAACTTGACGCTCTTCTTCGTGTCAAACTCATCCAGGCTCATGTCAAGGACCTCGAGATAGAAGGCGTCGCTTCTCTGACTTTGACTGTACGTGTTCGTACCTCCCGGGTTCAGAATTTGGCGAAGGCTGGGGTTGGTGCCTCGCCTGACAGGGGCCTTGGGGTTGTTTGTCGAAGCATTGACGGTCCAGAAGCGGATATGTGTCGGCGGCACCCCCAGATGAGCTCCAACACGCTCAGCAAGTGTGTCGTAGTTCAGCTTGGAGTTCAGGACAAGGTCAAAGGGCGCAAACGGCTCTCCTTCAAATCTGGAGGGGTGCGCGAGGAACTTAACCACGCGCTTGTGCTCCAAGAAGTCATAGTATTCCCTTGCATCGTTGAAGCGGTCAGAAGGTTTGCTGATCCTGCTTGCGTTAGTGACGAGAATTCAGCCCGCCATTCTCAGTACTCACGGGTCCTGCATCGTCTTCTCTGCTGTCGCTTCCGAAGTCGCGTTTGCTTCATGTGCTTCCTGGAAACAGATGACGTCGCCGTCTTGTAGTTCGGCGCTTTTGAGGGTTCCTTTAGGCTTCAGCGGCTCGATCATCGTGGGTTTGATCTCCTGCGAGGTTCGTTAGTGACTTGTCGCACGACAAAGCGTCGGATATCTTACCTCCCACAGAAGGAGCTTCTGCTCATCATTGCCTTCCCAGCCCATCTTCTTTTGGATCAAGGGAACAAGCTCCTCCACTCTCTTGTCCTTGCCAATGTACACATGACCCACGCCTCGGAGTGTCTGGCCTTCCACGTCGAAGTACTTGAGGAGTAGTAAAATAGTGTCGTTCTTCACTTGAACCGCATTCGATGGGCTTGCGTAAGATTGCCAAACGGGTTCGCCATTGTCATCGACTGCTTCGGCCTCCTCGATCCATAGTCGGAGACAGCTGTCTCGAGCTGCGGTAGATTTGGTGAAGACATCTTCGATAGTAGGTGTCAAGTCCATGATGGGCTGATCAGGACGAATTGTCCTGTTTTGTCGATTCACCATCAACCATGGACGCAGCAGTTTTGGATCCTTGCCCATTTCTTGCGCCGCGTGCTCGATAAAATCCTTCATGGTCATGGTACGCTGAAGACGGAAAGTGTACGGAGCTGATGGGTCCAATTCGCGGTCGGAGTCAAAGGCGCACATGTCTGTGCCGCTGTACTCGCGGAAAGTGTCGTTCGTGATGGCCTTGACGAGCATGTACAGATGCGCTTCCTTTTGTTCACGCCGGCGCGCTTCTTTAAGCTCGATTTCTTCCTTGAACTTTTGCTGCAGATGCAGGGGGGCGTCATCGTCAGTGACAGGGCACAGAATTTTTTCCACCTTGGTTTGGCGTATGTATACAAGCATGTAAGCGCTGTTCTGGCGTATGATAGGGGCTTTTTTCTGGGTAGGTGCGCGCGGGTTGCCATTGGCTGTGTGATACTCTCCGCCGTAGTTTTCTTCCAACACTTCGCGCATTGTCGCCTTGGTCACTTTATCGTCGTCGTACTTGTAGAACCATCCTTCCTTCTCCGGCTTCAAGAAGGCGTAGTAGTGACCAGCGTTCAGGTCACCGCTGTGCACCAAGACGCCATGAAGCTGGTACGTCCAAGGCTCTGATTTGTCGGCATCCGTGCTGAGATACGGAGCAGCGTCGAAGACTTCCGGGAACTCGTACCGATCGTTGATCTTCATCATCATATCGCGCTGGATGTCGTATTCGAAACGCTTCAGTTGCAGGTGCAGAACGTCGGGGAAGCTGGTGAATATCACACCCTTGTTGGCGTCCTGGAGCTTGTAGTTGTCGCCAGCGAAGTACTGATTCTCGCCCTCGAGCTTCTCGACCTGGATGTAGTCCTTAAACGAGTCCTGGAGGGTCCTGTTTCCGCTGACATTGAGCTGAATGTCCCAGAAATCCTCGATACGACTCGATTCGTAGTCTACATTTATGCAGGAAATGTAGGTCTTGACCTTGCCACAGAACATTTCCGGCAGGACATTCTCGGCCTTTGTGCCCTTCATCTTTTCTTCCATGCGTTCCATCAGCTTGCGCGACAGCTCTTGCACATCTTGCTGCTCGAAAATGTGGCGTGTTTCCCAGCCAAAGGACTTGGTCAACTCATTCGTACCAACAGCCTGGTCCACGGTCTGTAATTGGTAGAAGAGGCGCTGCAACGTATAAGCACTGTTTTGCATGCTTTGGTCGTTTTCTGTAGGAATTTCGTATACTGCCTGCGGGTTGTCAGAGAGTGTGCGAGGTCTTGCGTAGTGTTATTCCTTACCTTGCGGAAGGCGTTGGTGAAGTATAATGATTGTAGCAAAGAATTCAGATAGCAGGTTGCACCCTGGTTCTTGAGTCCGACGAACCCAGTCTCCTTCTTTGAATCATAGTTAGTGAAGTTGTGCCACAGGACTCCAGTCTCATCCTCCACGAAACGCAGGTATGCTGTAATATTGGCAGTGTCGTTTTCGCAAATGGGGCGACTGCCTCCCTCCCACGGCACGTTGAACATGCGCCGAAGTTCCACAAAGCGAGTGAAGCCCCAGTCACCCTCTTCCTTAGTGAAACGGTGATGTGCCGCATGATGCATGTACAAGCTTGGATCGTTAGGATTGGAGAGCACCAAGGAGAACTGGACGCAACAGCTCCACCCTTCGGGAACTTGATCGGCTTCGAAACCATGCTCGAGGTAAATAGAGCATTGGTCGACACCGTTGCCATGTGGGAAAAGCAACACACGCCTGCTGGAGTTAGCAGCTGCGCCAGGGATTGTCGGAACACATGATAGGCTTACCAGGGATATCCACCAGCTTCGAAAATGGGACCATGCTCTCGTTTGCCCCGAGAGCGCCAGTTATCGACTGTCCAGGTGTTGTAGGCATCCTCTAGGATTTTGGGCTCATCGGCTAGGGGCGGCAAGACTAGGTCTTTCATGGCCTCGTCTAGTGAACCAACACGTTAGCGCGCGGTCGCATGGCTTTTTGGGCTTCTAACGCTCCACACGTACAGTCTGTGGCAAGTGGCAGATCTTGCAAGCGGTCCGTGTCCATTTCAGTGGGATCGGGGCTGATGATAGCGACCGGTTCCTTCTCCGACATGTCTTCGAATCCCTCGTAATCCGGCGTGTCCACCACCATCTCATTGGGAGATGGAGGGCTGTAGGCCTGTGAATCAACATGCTTGTTAGATCTAAGACGCATGGGTAAAGAGGAACGAGCGTGAGAAGACATGGTGTGTTCTGAGGATGCTGTGCCAAAACCAAGGCAGGTGGGAAAGGCGCAAGAGCAAAAGTTGAGGCCGCCGATCGAATTTCAGCGTGCGGTGTCAGCTGTGTAGGTGGTGTATGATGGAGGAGCGTGAGGTTAGGATGATGGCGTTACATGGTGTAGGAAGACCTCCGATGTTTTTGTCGGAGAGGCAGTGGTGATTAGCAGGTGCAGGTGACGATGAATGGGGAAAGCGCAACACTTGAATGCCCAGGTACCTGACCGGCAGAAATCAGGGTTAGCCACAAGGTAGCACACTTGTGTTCTTGGCCACTGACAATGGCAATAACCGCGTGGAACGTCAGTGTAAGGTACCTGAGAAGCGTGAATCCGTCTGATCCACTCGGCTTCTCTGATCCTACCATCATCTGGTCGTGAATCGCCGAATCCTGTTTCCGGGCAGCTTCAAGTTGCACAGCATGCGACTTGAAAGTCATATTATCAATCGCACCATTGGCCAAGGTCCAAATCGAATGGCCTAGCGCAAACAACGCGCTGCGGGTTTGCAGAACAAAGACGAACATATAAAGACCTGAAGAAAGACGATGCACGAACCATGATTACGGTTGGCTACAGCAGACTCCTGAGCCACGTGGAAGGGTTTGCTGAGGGTCTGACTCGACTGGTTATTTGAGCACACGGCTTCTTTATGCGACGATATGGTCTGTCGACTGTCGAAGGTCTCGCGATATCCAATGGATACGTCGTCGTTCGGTTTGCGTAGTGGGGATGGATCGCACGGCTGCGCGCGCCTGCAGTTGCTCGAGGAATCGGTGGTCAGAAATAGCGATTCGACGTTTACGGTTTCTCAATCATTGTTGGACAAAGCAAAGGTCCGGACAGGTATCCAAATCCACGTCTTGGTAAAATTCGGTGACAGTGGTGATGTCCTGGAAGGTGGAGTGGGGTTTGGAGAAATGCGTGACGACGCTGATCAAGCTCGGGACACTCGAGGACGGGGGGCGAGAAGACGCTGAATGACACACAAAGCTGGCCGAAGCTATGACGAAAGCTGAAGATCGTTAAACCGCAGCAATGTTCTTGGAAGAGCGACTAGGAAAAGCAGAAGGTGGTTGGTTTACAAAGCGTCGAGCGGTTGGTATTGGAAGTAAGGTAGGCTGCCATGTTGCTCCGTGGGCTTGATAACCGGATACTTTCCACATCGCCTTGGGCCACACCCTGGATGAAGTTATTCCTTAGCTGCCCAGACTTGGCGTCATTGTTGCCCCGTGCCCCTCCTCCTGATCATCACGATTACCCTAGGCCAGGCTGGGGATGGTGTTGAAAGTTGGTAGTCAATTCGATTCATACGCGCTCAAGCGTGGACTCGCACGCAAGGAACGATTGAAGTGTTCGAAAATCGTGGCTAAATATCTTATATTAATGCTGTCCGAATGGTGTTGCAGTTGTGGTACACGCACAACCGTACATGTTTCCTGTCTTAGGGAATGTTGGCCACACATAACATAAAATTGCGTAGAGATGCCTCTACTACGAAAGTGTCAAGGTGGGCATCAAGTGCTACCCAATTATCCCTTTCGTGACATCACCTTGTGGTAGGCTTTCGAACACCACATGTTGTTCAGAATTCAGAAGGCTGAGGCTCTGTCGACGTTAGCTGGGGAAGCGCCAAGCCGACTGCCGATATCGCCAGTGTGGGGTACGTGCAGAGCCTCGAAGAGCTCCGCGCGCCATCGGTTTTGGGAGCTTCATGACATTGATCTCGACGTCAGAACGATCAAACAACCACTTCCTGACACATCGCTCAACTGCCCGCCCCAAATCCCATTAGATTCATCCTCGAATATTCGACACGTCATCGCGCCCGCCCCGACTGTGCATGGCACTGCAACAATGTTCTCCAGCACGCTGCGCGCTGCCAGCAAACGCCGCGGATTAGCACCCAGTCACAGGCCGATACTCAAACGATGTTCGAGATGCCAGTCGTCCGCAAACTTCATGACCAATACTCCTGTCAAGGCCCGCAACAGCCCGACATGGCGCCCAGTCAGTGTACTGGATGAGTAAGTCTGGGGCTTTGTCGATACACCAGAACGTCAGATTAATGCCTGGACCTAGATGGGTGGCCAAAGAGGCACGCCCCATTAGCCTGCGGCAGCTGATGGTGTTCGGGAGGTCATTGACCGAGGCCCGTCTCATCAGCTCTGCGAATTATGTTCGAACCGAATTACCGACGAGGTACGCGCCCTTGGCAAGTCACACAACGTCACGCGACTGACTGAGCGATACAGAATAGCGCATCGCATCCGGGACATGCAGCAACTGCCTTACGTTGTTGTCGAGAATCCCCACATCAAAGACGTCTATAATCTATATTACAATGCATTCGATACATTCCGCAAGGTGAAGGAGATCAAGACGCTGGATGACAACGACAGACTCTGCGAAATCATCAGCGACAACTTGAAGAAACATCTTACTGTGATCCCAAAGCTGGCCATGGGTATCCATGAGTGCGAGGGACTGTTTGACGCAAAAGAGATGGACCGTTTCATGAACACCATACTCAAGTCCGTAAGTTGGCCTTGCTATCTTCCTGCGCAGACCGAAATACTCATCAGAAACTTATAGCGAATATCCCGCCGCGTGATCGCCGAGCAGCATCTCTCCCTCTCTGAGACATATAATTCGCCTCACTTCTCGCCGGGCGCAAAGCTTTCCGAATCCGACTTTATTGGCGAGGTCTTTATCAAATGCAATGCCAAGTCTGTCATCGAGAGTTGCGCCGCGGCCACGCGCAAGATCGCTCGCTCTACCAATGCGCCGGACGTCAAGGTGCCAGAGATCAAGATCGAAGGTCACCTCGAAACCTCTTTCCCGTACATCCTTTCCCATCTCGAATACATCATTGGCGAACTCCTACGCAACAGCATACAGGCCGTCATCGACTGGCATGGCAAGCACGGACATCCCGAAGACGAGCCGCCACCCATCGAGGTGACCATTGCCGAGGCACCGCAGCATGCCACCATTCGTATCTCGGACCGTGGAGGCGGCATTCCCCGCCAAGAGCTTCCCTACTTATGGGCGTTCTCAAAGGGGCCACATAGCCAGCAACGTCTGGCCAACTTAGGCCGTGTGCCAAAGATGGCGGCCACGATGCAGGAGCTGCATATCGAAGACGACCTCGGGCGCGCGGATCTCAAAACGCCTCCGTACCAAAGCTCGCTTGCCACCTTGACAAGTCGGCCGCCAGATCTGCGACTGGGTATGGGGCTGCCCCTCAGCCGCGTTTATGCCGAATATTGGGCAGGAAACCTTGACGTACATAGCTTGGAGGGCTACGGCGTCGACGCCTTTCTGCAAATCTCGAGGCTAGGCAACAAGAACGAGCAGGTCATAACAAGAGCTAGCATGGACGCTGTCTAGCAAGCGGGATTCCCACGAAGTACTTGCATCAGGGCTACTTTCTTCACTATTCTCTTTCAAATTTGAGCGTGGCGTTGGCGTAAGAGGCAATTATTTAGGACACTGTTCAATGCTCATATGTCTCATGTCAAACTTCATATAAAAAGTACTTTAGGCGTCGTAAAACAGTTAATTACATCAGGTAAGTACCTAACTCAAAGAAGGCTCAATAAGGAGTAATAAGATGTGACAATACTAGCAAAGACTCTCCACCCAGGCCGTGCTTGCTTGCTTGCTTGGACGAACTGTCCTCGGAACCACCAAAGGATGCAGTCGCGCAAGTCGTAAATTGCAGAGTCCTGCCCGCCAACCTCTCGGATGCTAGACGCATCTCTTCCAGACATAGTGGTATCTCTTGAACCATTTTCAACTCCAAACCCCGACCTGGAGCATCCGACGAGGCGACCCTCGACGCTTTTAACGACGGCCGTGGCTGCGGACAGCGCTTCCTTGCATGGACTCGAGCTCTGTCTCGAGCTGCTTGATCTGAGCGTGGGTCTGTTCGAGATCCTTGTTGAGACGGTCGCGCTCGGCGATGAGCTTCTGCTCCCATTGGCGGAAACGCTGCTCCTCGATCTTGACCTGCTCGGTGAAGCGCTTGCGGAGCGCCTCCTCCTCCTCCTTAAACTTGGGGTTGTCGAGCTTCCTGGGACGGGCCTCGCCGAACTTGCGGGTCTCCATTTGCTGGGCGCGGTACGCCTCGTAGTGCTGCTCCTCGGTGGTGTGGATGAGGTCAAGCATGTGGGTGCGGATCAGGATGGAGCGGAGCTTCTTGAAGTCGCAGTGATCCTCATTCTCGACTTCGGCAACACCCCATGAGTACTGACGACCCTTGACGATGCGGCCATCGCCGGTCTTGACGTCCTTCTCCGAGCCGATAACGGCGAAAGGCATAGCAGCCATAAGGCTACGCGCATGCTGGGCAGCGGCCTCATCGTCTTCCTCGATCGGTGGCTGGTAAATCTTAATGTCTTGAGCCTCGATAACCGAAACGATCTTCCTCTTGTTAGCTTGACTGGATATTAGGATAGCTCATGAACCTACCCTCTGCTTGAACTTGGCGAGATCCGCCGGGCTCAACGTGTCGGCCTTGGCAATGACGGGGATCAGGTTGACACGCGAGCTCAGCCTCTTCATGACCTCAATATCGAGAGGCTTAAGGGTGTGGCCAGTGGGGCGGATGAAGTACAGGCAGGCGTGGACACGGAGGTCGATCTTGTCCTGTCGACGAGGCTGCTGCTCCTGAAGCATGTAGGACTCGTGCTGGTCGTCGAGGAACTCGATGATGGGCATCCATGAGTCGCGGTTGTTGACGTAGTCGCCAAAGCCGGGGGTATCGATCACGGTGAGGCGGACTGTGAATATCAATCAGCCAGGCCGACTTACATGGTCGATCCGCACGCAGACTTAGACTCACCCTTGAAGAACTTCTCCTCAAGCTCGGCCTTGGTGATCTCGATCTCGACCGTCTTGTCCACCTGCTTCTGGTGGCGCTTCTTGTGGTCGGCATAATTCTTGATGGTGGTCGAGAACAGGGTGTTGATGAAGGTGGTCTTTCCCAAGCCAGACTCGCCAGCGACCTAACCCCTTGTTAGCCTTCTGCGTGACCCGCCCAATCTCGGACTGTAGACTACCATAATAGTGAAGCCGGCGCCGCGCTTCGCAACAATCTTGTGGCGCTGGTTGGGCAGATTGGCAATGCCAATCGGCGAGGCGCTGGTCTCGGCGGCGGGAGGAGGAGCCATCGTGAAGTCGCGGTGTGTGAGAAAGAGGGGACTATGCCGGAGATATCACAACTCAATGCCAGCAATCGTTACGAATGGTGGCAGTAATAATCAGGCGTCGAAGGACAAGTTGTTGGCTCAAAGTCGGAAGAGTCGAGTCCAAGGTGCGGTGGAGTTTGGTCGACAATGTTTTGGGAGCTGCTTCCCAATGTCAAAGTCAGGGGAACGAAGGATGGAGAGCCACCTGCCCGCTGGCGGCAGCTCCAAATTTCCTGCCCTGGCTTCTGGCTCGGGATGCAAGTCCCCTGGGGTCGTACTCAGCCATTTGGAGCTTCTGGTTGGTCCGTTTGGTGGACGACAACCTGGGAAGCACGGGCCATCTCCTTTTCGCTCCTGCTAGCGCCAAAGCTGTCTCTGAGCGGATCAACCATCTGCCGGCTACCAGTTCTGGGATCTCAATGCGCTCTGTCGCGATAAGATGCGATCCACTTAAAAAATCAAGCCGATAAGCGGACAGTTTTTTGGACGATGGCATCAGGTCGTGCCTCATCCCACCACGACTGACGATGGAACGCAGGTGACAATGAAGACCGACTTCAAGGTGCGTCGCGCTCGCTGAGATTGGTCGCGACGACTCTCTGACAAGTGTGTAGTTCTCAAACTTGCTTGGCACTGTGTACTGCCAGGGCAACTTGCTCTTCAGTCCAGATGGCACTCATCTGTACTCCCCTGTCGGCAACAGGGTGTCCGTCTTCAATTTGGTCGAGTATGTGCGTTGAATCAATGGCAGGGCAATTGGCTAACCATGATACAGAAACAAGTCATATACTCTCCCGTTCGCGCATCGCAAGAACATCGATCGCATCGGCCTAACACCCCGCGGGAACCTTCTGCTCTCCATCGACGAAGACGGTCACGCTATCTTGACGAATGTACTCCGAAGGATCTCGATCTATCACTTCTCCTTTCGATCGAAAGTCACAGCTCTCGCTTTCTCGCCCTCTGGTCGCCATTTCGCCGTAGGCCTTGGTCGCAGAACCGAAGTATGGCAGGTGCCGTCAACGCCGGACGCGAACACCGAGGGGGAGCTGGAGTTTGCCCCCTTTGTCCGGCATCACTCTCACATGGGGCACTTTGATGATGTGAGATACATTGAATGGTCCACGGATTCGCGGTTCTTCCTCACAGCGTCGAAAGACTTGACAACGCGAATATGGAGTCTGGATGCGGAAGAAGGGTTTCAGCCCACTGTGCTGTCGGGGCATAAACAAGCTGTCGTCGGAGCTTGGTTCTCCGAAGATCAGGAGACTATCTACACAGTCAGCAAGGATGGCGCGGTCTTTACGTGGAAATACGTGAAGCCGAAGAACCGTATCGAGGACGACAGAATGGACGAAGACGACGATGAAGACGCCGACATGCGGTGGAGGATTGTTGAGAGACATTACTTCATGCAAGGAAGCGCGCACGTCCGGTGCGCCTCGTTCCATGCCGCGTCCAATCTGCTTGTTGCAGGCTACTCCGACGGCATTTTCGCCTTGTACGAGATGCCCGACTTCAACAACATCCACAAACTGAGCATCTCACAAAATGACATTGACTTTGTCACTATCAACCAGAGCGGAGAATGGCTAGCCTTTGGTGCCTCGAAGCTAGGTCAGCTGCTCGTCTGGGAATGGCAGTCGGAGTCGTACATCCTCAAGCAGCAGGGTCACTTCGACTCTATGAACTCGCTTGTCTACTCGCCCGATGGCCAACGTATCATCACGACGGCAGACGATGGGAAGATCAAGGTCTGGGACATTGAGTCTGGTTTCTGCATTGTCACCTTTACCGAGCATACGAGCGGCGTCACAGCATGCGAATTCGCGAAGAAAGGCAACGTTCTCTTCACAGCAAGTCTCGACGGCTCTATACGAGCATGGGATCTGATTCGGTATCGAAACTTCCGCACCTTCACAGCGCCCACGAGGCTATCCTTCTCGTGTATGTCCGTCGACCCAAGCGGTGAGGTTGTCGCTGCCGGCTCCCTGGATTCCTTCGACATTCACATCTGGTCCGTACAGACAGGGCAAGTGCTTGACCAGCTTGCTGGCCACGAGGGGCCTGTCTCGGCATTGGCTTTTGCGCCTAGTGGCGATTCCCTTGTCAGTGGAAGCTGGGACAGAACAGCGCGCATCTGGTCCATCTTCTCTCGGACACAAACAAGCGAACCTCTTCAACTCCAGGCTGACATCTTGGATATTGCTGTGCGCCCAGACTCTCAACAGTTGGCTGTCTCAACACTAGACGGGCAGTTGACATTCTGGACCATGTCGGATGCAGAGCAAGTGGCTGGCCTGGATGGACGAAGAGATGCCTCTGGTGGGCGCAAAATCTCGGACCGCAGGACCGCAGCCAACGTGTCCGGCACGAAGAGCTTCAACACGATCCGATACAGCACTGACGGAAGCTGTATCCTCGCCGGCGGAAACAGCAAGTACATTTGCCTGTACTCCGTCACCACAATGGTCATGTTGAAAAAGTTCACCGTCTCTGTCAACCTGTCATTGTCTGGCACGCAAGAGTTTCTGAACAGCAAGCTCCTCACAGAGGCTGGGCCGGCCGGCGAGCTCGATAGCCAGGGCGAGGAGTCGGATCGCGAGAACCGACGAGACGCGAGGCTGCCTGGGTCCAAGCGTGGTGGCGATCCTTCTGCGAGAAAGAAACAGGCCGAAGTGCGCGTCACGAGCGTTGGCTTCTCCCCCGCAGGCACCGCCTTCTGTGCGGCGTCCACCGAGGGCCTGCTCATCTACAGCCTGGACCAGACGGTGCAGTTCGACCCTTTCGACCTCAATATGGAAATCACACCAACATCGACACTGGCAGTGCTGGACCAGGAGAAGGACTACCTGAAGGCTCTGGTCATGGCCTTCCGTCTAAACGAGGCAGGGCTCATCAAGCGCGTCTTCCAAGCCGTGCCACACACGGAAATTCCCCTTGTGGTGGGCGACTTGCCTACCGTCTACGTGTCGAGGCTGTTGCGTTTCGTGGCCGCCCAGACCGAAGAGTCGCCACACATTGAGTTCTGTCTATTGTGGATCAAGGCTCTGGTGGACAAGCACGGCGCCTGGTTGGGCGCGAACCGGGGCAAGATGGATGTCGAGCTCCGCGTTGTGTCGAGAGCTGTGTCGAAAATGAAGGATGAGATTCGAAGATTGGCCGACGAGAACGTCTACATGGTGGATTATCTCCTGTCCCAGGCCGACAAGGGACAACAAAAGTCGGTAACACTGGACAAGGTGATTGCAAACGGGAATGAGTCGGTGTCATTGGATATGCAGGATGTGGTATCGGATGATGGCTCAGAAGGCTCTGATGGATGGATCGGCTTAGACGACTAGATGCAATGTAAAAGACGTAATACCCTGTTTTACAATTTTGGTACATCCTTCCAAGCACCCTCAAACCCGGCTGACCTGACCCAATTCGAGTCCTGCTCGCCTTCAGTGCCCTCCAGCAGCAAGTAATGGGCCCTGAGCCAGTCGTCGCCCTTAATCTTGAGCCACGGCTTGTCCTCTCCGAACTTGTTCGTCTGCTCTTGTGCGATGAGCAGCGACCTCGCCACCTTGATCGTATGGCCATCGTCCATGATACCATGGAATCTGGGCAACAGCTCCTTGGGCTCCGAAGCTGCGGTTCCATCCTTCATAGCAAAGGAGTGCAGAGCTTCTGGGTGGAGTGGAGGACAGCCACGCGCGATGTACTGGACCACATCGATACGCATCTTCCACTCTAAAAACCGGACCTTGAGGGCTGTCGGGATCCAGGCTTGCTCATTGATCGTGAGGAAGATGGGGACGGCGTTGAGATGGTGACTGTTGATGGTTGTGGTCAGCCTTTGCCGCGCGCCCTCGAGAATGAGATGGACTCACATCAAAAAGAAGTCATATTTGGGGACATGGGGCGGATGCCACGAAGACGCCGCAGCAATGTAGGCAGCATTATGCGCCATCTCGGCCGTTCTCTCCTCCAGTTCCTCAGGCCGGACCTTGATCTGACTGATGTAGTCGAGCGCCTCTTCAGGCGCCCTCGCCATGACGCCGTCACGGATCTTCTGGCTGTCGTCGAGTCGAGCGCTCTGAGCGAGCTTCGCATGCTTCTTGTCATGCAGCTCCTCAAACAGCTCTGTCAAGGGTCGGTACGTGCCGGGCTCAAGCTGCTCTGCACGCTTCTCCGCCTCGGCGAGGAAGCCGCCCAGCCAATTGTCGTGCACTGCCGTCTGGGCGAGAGCCTCGGCGACAATGGCAGGCTGCTGCCACTCGACACCAAACATGAGCTGAATCATGGGGTGCAGGAAGCCGGCAAAGAGCCTCTCGTAGAGGTCCTTTGCGGTAGCGTCGTCCTCCTTGAAGATGTACTCCTTCAGCACGTCCTGCCAACTCTTGGTCTCCATCTCGGTCTGGAAGAAGCGCAGAAAGGCGGCATAGTGCTTGCCCTTGCCTAGATACTTGGGGGCCGCCGCGGGATAGTCTGTCTGAAGCTCCCCTACGATGGATGAGTCTGGTGTCGACGCGCGAATCTGGTAGGAAGCGTTCTTGGAGAAGGCTGCCTGCAGGGCAGAGGGGCCAGCGCCCGTGCCGTATAGTGTGAGAAGATGATGAGGAATCTAAACTGGTCAGCAGTGGCCAGACACAAGCACTAGCAAAGAGGTACTTACGTGGTTATGGAAGCCCCCGGTGTTGAAGAAAACGTGGTGGTTCTTCGCGCGTTAGTCAAGCGAGGCGTACCGCAGAAGGTATTGATAGGACCTCACCTCAATATCTTTCTGTAGAAGCTCTGAGACTTTATCGGCAGAAGCATTGTCTTGTGAGAACCGCAAGAGACCAGACTCATGCGGTTTCACGTGGATGTTGTATGGCGTGGCCATGGTCGACAACGTACAATTAGCGGCTGGAACGTTTCGGTGCGCAAGTCTATGTATGCTGGCTTTCCAGGGGCTTCTTATGACTCTTGTTGGGAGCATGGAGATACTGAAGGCCGCGAGATCAGATTAGATCCTCCTTTGTGTTCTATCGTCAATGTGTTCTTATGTCACAATGTCGTGTCCGTCGCCTTCGGCATATCGGCTGTCCGAACCTCCACTTGTAAGTAAGCAAAAAGGTTGGATCAGACTATGACGACTGTGTGGGAAATGCGGCACTGCTGACGAAGTGGTGTCTTGAGGCTGGTTTGTTCATTGGAGGTGGGTGAACGAAGGCCGAAAGACCCCGGATTTTGTATGATCTCATGGCATGCACAAATGCAGTCTAGCAGTACAATGCGACCGGAGCTCCGAGGCCTTACAAATCAAGCAAGAAGGCTCACATTCACGAGATCAATCAATGTACGGTCATGGAAGTGTGTATTCCGCCTCAAGGCTAATTCAGTTCAATAGTCATGTGTATCATTTCCAGCTCGGAGAGCTTGATGCCACTGTACGAAATGGTATCCAATCGCTCTATTTCCCACCATCAACAAAAAGAAACCCTGGGGCAAGCACCAAATCTTGCCCAGGCACATCGATCAAAGGGGTATCCAACTCAATGGGCACGCAACATGTTCCGAGCTCGAGGAACTCTATTCCTCCATCTCCTCATCTGAAGCGTCCTCAAAGTCCATGTCGCTGAAGGTGTCGCCTTCCTGGGCGTTCACTGCCAGGTAGTTAGTACAAGGACGAAACACTCAAGAGTGCATGTTCAAGGGAGGTAACTCACTGAAATACTTGATGGCGCCGGGCCAGAGATCCTCTGCGATGCAGACGGCGACATCGTCAGCGCCGGGGCAGATCTCCCAGTCCTCATCCTCATCCTCATCCTCGTCCATGTCGGGTTCCTCGGGAGCCTTGCCAGCCTTGCGCAGGGCACGGACCTCCTCGAGCTTCTTGGTGGCCTCCTGGTGCTCAGCATCGGTGATCTTGGTACCGTGGTAGCCGAACCAGGAGAAGAAGCTGAGGCCGTCGAGGCCAGTCTCCTCGATGAGCTCCTTGAGCTTCTTCTTGTTGTCCGAGTCGGCCGCGTCCTCCTTGTACACCTTGCTGACGAGGTCGAGCATGCCGTTGGTCAGGTCCTTGCCCTCCTTCCACTGAATCTCGACGGGGACAGAGACGTAGCCGGAGGAGCCGTCCTTGGCGTTGCGCCAGTTGAACTCCTTGGTGAGCGTCTTGTTCTCAAAATGGTCATTCTCAGAGAAGGTAAAGGTGATCCTGACGCTGCGGGGGTCACCGTTGGGCAGCTCGTGGCGCTCCACGTGGAGGTTGGTCAGGGAGGTCATGAACAGAGCAGCATCGGTGGGCTGGATGTACTCGTCAATCTCGGGCGGGGACTGCTCGATGACGAGAGGCCAGAAGCCAGGGATCTTGTCAATGACGGCCTGGCGCTTCACGTAGAGGTCCTTGGTGAGCTCGTGCTGCTTGCAGACTGGGCCGACGAGTTAGCACGGTCCGGTCACTTGGTAGAGGGGGGAGGAGGGAGCTGTCAAAACTTACGAATCTCAACCTCAACATCCTCAAACTCGTCCTCAAGGGCCTCAAGGGCGAGGTACTCAACGGGGTGTTCCTCGGCAGACATTGTTACTAATTTTGCGGTAGTTTAGGTAAAAGATGGTGTAGGTCAGAGAATGATATGTGCGGGGGAAAGAATAGCAGGCTACACCAAGATGAATATACTTAAGGCGGATGGAAGCTTCCAACAAAAAAGATTTTGTGAGAAATTAGGGGTCCATCATGTTGCCCCTCCATTTGACATCATACGGTCCAATCAGGCTTATCGATAAGCCTCCAGTGCCGAAGCTCCCCAACTTACCCTGAGCTACCCCTCAAGGAGCTGTCTGCTGAAGTGCAAGCTCTCTTTTGTGAACCAGAAATTAACTTACGCAGTTCAATGATGACAAGGTGAGGAACTACCATGTTCTATTTCGTATCATCATCATGGCGGATGATCAATGGTACTGGCAAATTTTCAGTGACACCTAGCGCCCAAATTGCTTGAGAGCTGGCAGGCGGTCTGCGAAATCCACGTCTGCGCGACGTGCATTCGCTTGTAAGGTGGAGCAAATCCTCACGAATGACATCGCGAACAATTCAATAGCCAGGGATCGTGAAAAATTTCTGACAATGTCATTCGCCTTGTCCTAGGTAGCAATACTCGTAGTAACAATTTTCTGGAATGGCAGAGTCTGCGAGCCATCTTTCGGGGATTTAGCACGTGACTGACTGAAACATTGAATCAGACAGAATCACCATCCACGTGTGAGCTGTCGACGAGCAGTGAGCACACACCACTTTATGGCTCAGGTAGGATGTCTACAGTCTATCAAAGTTGTTCGTTAGACATGGACAATCTGAAACATCGTCTTGAGATGTGCCGAGGCTAATGCTTGCCTGCGCGGAACATCTACCAAGTTACTCTCAAATCCTGTCTGGATTTGTTAACAGCCCCTTCGCGACACGGTTCCTTCAGAATCTCAGCGACAATATACGATCCATCCAATGAAGTGGCTCTCTTCACATGGCCTCGCGGCGGATATGAGCCCCCCGCTCAAACCGACTCTGAAGCACTCCTCACGCTCCTTCATTGCTTCGAGGCACACCCCACGAAGAACGACTCCCGCCCAAGAACAGAGCATCGGACCACGAACCCGTCGACAAGAACTGTGCCGCTCAGCTGTTTGAACGCTGGATGCCTCCTCTGTTGTGGCACAGACCTCCAGCTCCTCAGGACAGCGGTCCCGATCCCTTTCCGCCTTCTGGACACGACACACCATGTACTACAGGTACGTAGTACGTAGCTGAGCGGCTGAGCCCACAACTGGCCCTGCGGCCGTTTCAGCTCTGCCATCCGCCTGGATAGACACCCTCATGTTTGCTGCCTGAGCCGAGCCGTGTTCTGACTATTATTGTAATTAGTATGGGCTTGTTGGCTGCACGAGATGCACCCAAGCTGCCGCGCCGCAGCCAAGCAAGGCAGGCCTGCATGATAATGCCGGTTGGTTGGGACCAGACTCGAGGTTGCTCAGATGGAGAACGGAATTGGGTGGTCGCCTTGTGACGACCAGTGCCGGGCGCAGTGCTGGAGGCCACCTGGCCTGTTGTGTGTTGTCATCAACCGTGTCCAGTCCCAAGTACTCGGTAGGAGTCATGCTACGTAGTATCGTCAGAGGGCAGGCAGTTCACCCGCGAAAGACGATCGACACCCGCACGTTACACGGCCGGAGCCAACCGACACATCATGTGTCTGAATCTTTCACATGCCCATATAGTACATGGCACACTGTGCCGGTGGAAATATCTCAAGACAGCTGTTTGTCCTGGTGCTTCAGCTTGGCCAAAGCAAGGCCTGGGCACCGCCGACAGATGGCGGGGCTGTTTTGCGCAAAGGCGACGATGGTGTGTATTTCGGACGCAGTGGAGATCGACGATTATCTCGTGTGTTTGGTTGCAATTCAACAACGCAGTGCGTATGTTCAAGGGCGAGATGTTGTTGCTTACAGTCGGCGTTGGCAATCAAAGGACCTCCGCATGGACTCTCTTTTCGTGATATCCGCAGCCTGTCTGCCGTTCCGCATATGCAGGACCCCTCGCCTCCGTAGCTTTGCAGGCACATACTGTTCCATCAATTACTCAATCATTCCAAACTTCCAATTAATTAAAATAAGGCACAGCCCTCCAATTTCGACGAGCCTGTGCCCTCGGCAACTTCCGAATGAGGACATGGACACGCTTCGAGGTACGAAGCGAAGCGTCATGTCTGACCCAAAGAGGGGACATGACCTGCTGGAGGGAGCCCAATGTCAGCACGCCATGGGATCACGATGGATCGAAACGGCCCAGGTGCTTGGACCCCAAACTTGTTGGAACTTGGCGACTAGTGATGACATTGACCGTTCGCCGTTCGGGTGAGGAATTCAGCTTTGCCGCATCTCAGGGTCAGTGCACTCCGGTAGTCGTACGATCAGTAGTCGGTGTTCCGTTTCGTGAACATTGCCACGTTTGTCGTAGCGCGGCCGCGGACTAGTGACGCGCGCGCAAGCCAGCAGGTGGCGTGCGCATGCCGCTGTGGAGGATCTGACCTCCAGGCGATGTGCGCTACGCGCGTATCGCGACCAATGGAAAAAGTCCAGTCATCTCTGGCAGCTGAAGATGCGGAATGCTGCTCACCAGCCACACAACACTACACCCCACTGCCAGGTTCATTAGCGCGCACCGTGACGGCCCTGACGGGTGGTGAGTGGAGCAGGCGGCCGCCGTGTCCCAGGCTTGCACTGCTGCACTGCACTGACTGCAGGCAGTTACGGAGGTGGGACCAGACACGCCCTAGCCCTGGACTTGGCTCCGGTAGTCGAAGATAGGACCCATCTCACAGGGTCCACTGATGGCACACAACCTTGTCCTGTGCCGAACCGAGCGGAATTCAAAACGTGCAGGATTTCGGCACCTCAGCACTAGCGATGCTCGCTGCATGCGGAGGGATCTGCTTTGGTTTTGAGGGATCACCTTCCTGATTCTTGCACATTGCCTGATTGCTTGATAGCATTGCTAATAAATCCCAATCTACCAGTCGGTGAGACCTGGGCGAGGAGCGCATCCTTTCCGTCAGTGGCAGCGTGCGTTCGGGCGCGAGGGGAGACACTGACATCCGGACTGCGTACCAAGCTGGAGACTGGAGGCTCTGGAAAGTTGGCTGTGTTGGTGCGCAGCTTTTCCGCCCAAGAGTGAGAAGCCTGTGTGTACTGAACTACTTGTAAACGACTGACTGGTTTGAGACTTGTTGCATCCGGGGCGCCCCGAGAGACTGACTGGCATTTTCGACATGTCCTGGAATTTCGATGAGTGCATTCGACATGGCCAACAAGCTTCGCCCTCGTACCAACTTGTCTCACATGAGCAGGGTGCGACCAACATCTAAATCGAAATTAGATGCGGTGGTCTAGCCCTCAGCCGTCGCCCCGCAATCTGCCAGTTGATCGAGGAGGACGGCCCACGATAGGTACGTACGTACATGATGATGTTCCGTACTATGCCCACTGCAGTAAGCATCCCGCCGTATTCTTCGCTCGTCACCAGTCACCTTCCCTTTGCACGAATCACACCGAGCCAGCCCGCACGATCTTCCCGGGCGTCGGGCCTTGAGGATCACATGGGTTCGAATTTCCAGAAAAAGAGATGCCTGAGCTCAGCTTGCGGCATCCATCGGCTGATGCACTGCTTCTTGCAGCAAACGGACGCACTGGATGACTGGACACACCTGGCTGGGATTGGCGAGTGCCAGGCCCCCTTCGATTCCCAGGGCAAAAGAGGCTGTTTTGTGGCTTTCCCCTCCCAAGACAACAAGCAGCAAATAGTATTATCAGTCTGAAACTCCAGTCTCAATGACAAATAATCCCTCGCGCTATATGCTGACTAGCGGTTGCAAGTCTCACGCGCGTTATCCGACTCCACGACTACCGCCCCGGTGCCGACAAAGGGGGGGGGGAGGGGTCACAACAGTGCTGAACCAGGATGCCACGAGGGATCCGACCTCCCCCCGGGGCTCTAGACTCTACTTCGTAGAGGCAGTCACTCGTCTTTTATAAGCGCCATACCCACTCGATCCCTTGATTATTACTCGCACGTGGCTGGGGGTGACCACGTTGAGTGTCATCGATTAGCATTGCCCATTCGTCACGTAAACCGTGACCGCGCGTTCTCACATGATACCGAAATGTGCCATTGTCTTTTGTGAATGTTCGTCTATCAGTTCAAGGATATGCTATCATAGCAGCCGCCATCCACCGTTGGCGGTGACGGAAACTCCTTTCGGTAACGAATATATTAAATTAATCAATAATTACCGGCCCCGAGTTACTTCACAAACACCTCGGGAGGGCCACGGCCCACGGGTGCTTTTCGGGAGAAGGCCCCTGTCCTATCTAGATCGGCCCCGACCTTTTCACCTTAATCGAAGCCACTTTTCTATATGATCGACACGTACTGTCCGGACAGCGTCGTGATACGTATCAGTATTGTCTGATGCTTTTCTAACAGCAGCATACCGTTGCTTGACAAGCTGGGTCAATCTGCTTCTGACTGTAGGTTGATTTGTTAGCCCCCCTCGACAGGCTGTGTTCAGGGGGGGGGGAAACTCGTCTATCCACTCGCTGTCGATGCTCGTCGTGGTTTCCGTCCCGAATTGCCGACCAATGACCGGATACCTGGTATGAAGGATGTCCCAACATTGCTTGGCCGATAGGTGCATATTACGAGTACTGTGCGTACGCACATACAGCACCGGTCCAAGCTAGCAAGTAGCGAACAACCTGTATTGTCGAAATTGCCGATCCAGCGAATCAGTCACGACCAGAGATCCTGATCAATGATTCATGCGTCAAGTGCCGCGCTCCAGCTGTCTGAAGACCATTATGCCGACGTGCTCGTACGGATAGCCACGGTGGACTAATTAACTGCCCGCATTATTCCCGCACTTGTAGAGTGACAGGGGCATCGGGCCATCAGCGCTATATACAGTGTGCACAGCGCCTGATGCACAGGTCACCGGCACTGGCACTGATCTTTGCGGAGGAACCTCCATCCGTCTACAGCCTGAAGTGCCGGAACGACGGTCAGCGGTGTTTCCAGAAACCCCGAAGCAAGCCTGCTGCGGGGGTCCTTGATTCGTCGCTCGTAGCGCGCCATACATTGTGCCACAGTCGATAATTAGGGACTCAACTGACGCTTGCACGCTGTGTTCTGGTCCATGCATTCCGCGGAGGTGTCATGGCCACTTCCATCAGTTGCTCCTAGTCGTCAGTGCGCGTCATAAAGTATTCACAAGTTAGGTTCGACAACGAGAGCCGCCGTGGCAATCGTGATGGTCTTCTGCAGGGAGGCTGCTCCAGCAGCGTCAGATTGGGCGGACCCTCGGATTCTAGCGCATCGTCGTACCGAAGCCGCCGGAGGGCCCAAGCAGCCGCTCGGGACCGAGGGACTTGTGAAAGCTAGGCGCGCGTGAGACACTACAGTACGTGCTGAGCCACATGCTGGCGACCCTACAAACACGGCCGGGGGGTCTGTCTGCAACTCTGCATGCAGGCGGCAGCATGGGAGGGGTCCAGTCTGTCGCTCTCGCTTAAATCCCTGCTGGACCCTACCTGACTTCTTGGCAACAAGACATGGGAGGATGTCATCCGCGTCGCTCGCTCGTGGACTCGTAACAGCCGGGTGCCGTATCCGTACTGTGCCATTCGTGGCCGGCACTTGCAAGTTCTATGCAGCTTATCGCTTCGTACGGGTTGCTGTAGAATGATAGGCAATTCGGCACAGTACCCCAGGCGCCTCGATTAATGCTGGTGGACGTACGGTCACCAGAGTGACCTCAAAGTTACCAATAAAGACAAGAAAGAGACCATGTGCGTCACATGCTGGTTGTCGCACCGTCACTGAAAACACTCTGGAACTCTTTGACTCACCTGCTCGCTGCTCGCTGCTCGCTACTCCGTACATGGGTCGACTTCCATAAGGAGGATCGTCGGTGCAAAGCGATCAGGTTTCGTCGTGGTGGGTCACTTCATTCGGCCGAAAGACCTTCCTTCTCCTTGGTTTGATGATCGTCGCACTCCAGTCAGTGTAGTGCTTCAGGAGACATCAGGCCATCGAGGCGAAATCGACATTGCATTGCCCGGTGTGAACTTTTCCACGGGCCGCCGTTGCTTTTGGCCCCAGCTCGAAAGCCAACTGCCTGGGAAGCCAGTAACGTAGCAGCAGGGCGCGACCAGTTCGGTTTTACGTACGGTAGTACTTGTTGGTGGTCAACGCCCACAGACCACCGAATGTGCAATGTAATGGCTCGTCATGCTCCCGTCGATCGTCGTGCGTCTGCCGTCCAGAGGCTGCATGTGGACACCATGCGTCGATGCCTTTGCCAATGTGTGTTCATCTTGCTTGCCCGGCCAGTCTTCTCCAGACTCCTCTCCGGGGCACTCTGGCTGACCCGTTTTACCACGCACGTTCCTCATTCACCGAGAGGGAAGCTAGCAACAAGCGCCAACTCTCCTGGCAACGACCGTGGAGCTCTCCGCACGAAGCGGCATTGGCAAAGTGTCATTACTAATTGCTTCACAGACCGCGACAGACGTGCCGTCTCGGAGACGGCCGGTCTATCCGTGCTGCGTGATGCGATTCGATAGACGGGACCAATTTTAAGCTGTAGGCCCTAGCTTCTTGATAGACGGCAGGAGTTCACTATTAGCAGAACCGCGATAGGTTAGCATGGGCCGAGTGCCAAGAGCTCTGTGCTGACGTGTGGCTCAGTGAACAAGAGGGTGGTGATAGTTGTAGATTGCTCCCTTGCTTCCCCACGTGAGGCTGGAGTCGGCCGCCAGCGTACAGAGCTCGACGAGGGGTCCCAGCAGGACGGGACTGGATAAGTACAGCTTGGAATCTGGGTGGCCGACATTGGATGCCGAAAGGCTGCAGCTGCACTTGGCAGGTCTTTTGGTGCTGTGAACACTGAAAAGTGAGCAAGCCCAGGTCAGGGTAGGCCATGCGCCTGGGTGTTGATTATTATGTGCTCACCACCAGTAATTGGAGGGGTATTTGGTGGCTCAGACCAACAGCGGGCGGGACCCAGGGCGTGCCGGTCGTCAAGCCACACTGGCTCTCCAGCACTGTCGTTCGCCTGTGGCAGGCTTCGACACCGGCAGGCGGGAGACGCTAGCGCGACCGCGTAGCGCCAACTGCCATGGATGTGCCGGATTTGTCCATGTGTCCGCGCGGAACGGCTGACATGGCTGCATGGCCCTGCCGTGATCATGTCTCAGACAGACTGCCTGCAGCGCAGGGTAGTATTATCATCATCTCGCCGTCGCCGAAGATTAATAGCTTAATAGGACAGCACCCTGGTGATGATGGACTGACGATATCGACAGCTGAAATCGTTTAATGGGCACAGAACCGCCGTGATGCACCTGTGTCGTCTTGGTGATTCATATCGCCCAACGGCACGAGTCATTTTCATCTTTCACGCCTGCCGACTTTTGATTAGCCACGCAAGGCGACTGTCACCGTCGGGACCTCCTCAGCTGTTGGCTTGATGCGCGCGCAGGGAAGCAAGTTGCTTTGCCAAGAAGCGACTTGAGGTGAGTTTGGCCGCAAATTTGCCCGCCGAGCCCTCAGAAGTTGGGGGCGGAAACATTTGATCCTGGACTGGAC